ACATTTATTCATTATTCTCCATTTATTTTTTTGTGGGCGCTCGACCATACAATACTGTACAGTACTTTGAATGGTACACGTTCGAGATGAGATAGAGTGATGAAATGGGTTTGTGTGCTAGCTGGATCGTTACATCTCAGAATCATGGGAGGCGGCCGGCAGCTTATGGAGGCTTTCATCTAGTGATGAATTGCCAAGACTTATAAAGATTTTGTTTTTTATCCTTAAGTAAACCACAGGACTCCCAGACTTGCCTACGGGATGGGCTGCACACAGCAAGAAAAATAGAATTGCCTGCCTTTGTTTTAAGGGCCACCGGCATGCGCATGTCCGTTGAGGGCCTGTCATGCGATGCGTTTGCCTGATACACTTTGATGCACTTGGACAGAAAATAGCCTGGCATCTGCCTCGTCTCATCAGCCCTGTCAGTGGACAATGGGCCGTTTGGAATCACTGTTGTTGTGCGCTTTCTTTTTTGGCCATGGCATTCAATGGCCGTTCTCAAATTTTGCCACGACGGTTTGCTTTCAACTCATGGAATAACGACGTTTATTTAACACGTAGGCTTTCGCTGATGTAATGCATTGACATGTTCTGCTCACGCGACAACTTAACTATTTAGCTGGTGGGTGTACAACACATTTAGATTTACGCGTTCTAACCCAAAAACTTTATCATGAAAATGTTGATGGTTAGGATCGATTGTTTGTTTTCTTTATAAATGGCTCTGCGTGAGCATAAGTGGCTCGTGATTGGAAATAGGTTGCGAGTTCAAAGCCTTGTTGGTGGTTGACTCATCGTCTTTCTGGGGTCGATAAGTCAAGAGTGGTTGTCCTGCAGAGAGTCTCGTCCCTGCTATAGGAAGGTCTAATTAAATTAAATTTACACCACTGGCTCAGGGATGTAATGGAGATAGGTACCGCCTCACTGCCGAGCAGGCAATTACGTTTACAATGATAATGATTAAAGCACATTACCCGAGAAAGCCTGCTCCAGGCCTCAGGGATCTATTTATATTTTCAAGAGGTGTCCTGTTGTTTGACATTTGTTCAATTATTCGTGCTATCAGTTCATGTGTCAGGGTTGACAGGCTCTAAGGGCAGTGTTTGTTATACAATCCTTTGGGTAAACCCATTGTGGTGTGAAATTCCATAATAATGAGTGACATAAGAGCGGGCAGCCCAGAGCTTCGTGTATTCACGAGCCCATCCAGGGAGTTTCCGGACCAAAGATGGAGTGTCCACCCAATTTAGCAGGCTCCGCACTGAGGTTTCCACTTGGCAAATGGACCACAAACGCCACTCCATAAAGTGTTATAGCGAGGATCTTCCCGGATGCAATTAAGCACAATAGCGCAGCAGGGCCGCTGCTGTTTTCCATCACTGGTGACCACCGTGCACTCCATCAGCTGTCAAGGGGCAGATGGGGCTGTGACACATGGGGCTCTGCGTCGTCAGCCAACTTTTACTGTCGCTTCCTTCCCACAGTAAAGTCGGTGCCCATTTGGACCTCATCATGCAGTAATAATGATGATGATGGTGTGTTTTTGCCAGTAGGGGGTGGGGGCGATGATTACTGTGTGCAATCCCAATTGAGCAATTAGTAGGTGTTTTTTTTTTACTTGATAAATGGGCGTATTGGCCGTACACCGGTACAGCATAACATACCAGTCCATATAAAACAGTCTAAAATCTCAATTTGAATCTGCAAATCTGTTTATCGGTCTTTAATTGACCCTGTCCCCAGGTTTGACGCGATTCGAAAGTTAATTCAGTCTGCTGAGGTCAATATTGACCGTTGATTTGGGTTTGTTGAATCGAAGAACCGTCCGATCAAGTCTAGCGCACGAGGAGTCAAATCTGCCTTTGTAACACGAAGCAGCCAATGGTCATCAGGCTGTGTGCTGCTTTACAGCAACAGGCTGTGAAGCTTCGTGTTTAGCCACTCCTAACATTCGTCTTCCGACTGCTTCGACATCACGAGAACTGATTTGACGCACTCCACAAGATTTTCTGACCGGGGTTTGTGATTCGCGGGAAAATAAAGAATGATTGATAACATTTCCTTTTTATATATACCGCGTATCACCGGTGTAACTTCAATACATTCAAACGTATGCCATGACGCCGGGACACAAATGGCTCAATTAATCTCGACTGATGTCAAAAAATCTTAAACGCCTACTGCGAAGCAGGCGGTGTGTGTGCTTCATGGCGAATACGCCCATGGTTATAACCAGGGCCGCCTGCCAGATTCGAACCGAGAGCCTCGGCAACAAGTGGCGAACACGTTACCGCTGAGCCATATCACCGCGCCAAGTAAATTCTTACGCCACCCCCTCCTCTCCCGGCGATTGGATAAATGATCACAATTCAGCATAGCGGTTAGATTCAAGGATGAACTAATTTGTGTCTGATTGTTATCGTCTTGTTTGTATTGATTATAATTCACGATTCATCATTTGTACAGTCTTAGTTTTAATCTTGATTTGAAGTTTTCCCAAAGTAGCCTAAATGTAGCAGCACATGAAATACGTTGTACATGACAGTATATAATAATTATAATAATTACAGACCCGTTGTCAATCCACGACTGGATGAAAGGACTAACCGTGCCGTGTAGGTCGTGAGGGTTATTTGACCATACTTCACCATGCTGCACGGTGTGGGGTGACGCGTGGTGGGGGTAGGGGAGGAGGAGCGAAGGCAGGACCGGTCTATAGATGACTCGCCACTGATGTTAGCTGTGGCCATGGATCGCGCGCTCACCAATGGGCACCACCACGGGCCCAAATTACAAATACTGAAATCGCTCCTCTATTCTACGACTCGGGGACCTCGTGCAGTGCCTCGAGTGGCCGTGGGGATTCGCGTCGACGAATCGGTGGTAACACGATTTTTTTGTTCCTGGGTAGTAAGTGTTCTTTTCGAATTTCTTATGCCTCAAAAGTATAGAAAATGTCTATTATTCCCCACAAACTTTGCTTTTGTGACCAGGACTTTACGTGAAGCAATGACACAAATGCACACCGCGTTTTCTCATTGAAAATAAGTAAATTTCTAAATATCACTGTCCTGGTCAGTTATAATCCATTCTAAATACGCGAAATTTGATACGCGGATACTTGCGCCGTGAGCTTACGCATCTATTTTAATCGATGAATCAATGCGTCGTTACTCACCGAATCGGGGGCCCCCTCCAAACTTGGTCAGGAAGAAGCTGAACGAGAGTTGTGGAGGGGGGGGGGGTGACACACGTCAGCTTTTGTTGTCCCAATTTGTAGCCCCAAGCCCGGCTTGCGTGGCCGTCACGCCACCCTCCCCACCCACCCCGTGCACAGCTCTGCTTTAAAAAAAAATCCCTCGATATGCTCCCGAGAAGGAGCCAGTTGAACCGTGAGACACGTACAAATCATGCCAAGGGGAAGGGACCACCAGAGTGACAATTAAATAATAAGATACAAAAGCCAAGGGCGCGGCCCTGTAATTGCTTGCTCATGCCACTGCTGGTAGAAGGAGCTCAACTCAGGAGAGCTCCTGGGAGCTTCCTTCAGACGCAGCTACATTGGCCTGCACTGCCACGCAGGCGAGACTTGTTGTAAAACGTGAGAGTGCCCAAACTCTACCCCACCACACGTGACCTGCCGATTGATTGACTGTGGTGCAGCCGTTCATGTTGCTCGGGTGGATGGACAGAGGCAGTAGGAATTTCAGAAACCCCGGGCGAACAAATACAAAGTATGAAGATGTTTATGTGATTATATAAAACGTATTCTACTTGTGAGCATGACCAGCAGTGGCCGTTAAAGAGCAATAAGGCCACTTTGTAAAACGGTGCCTGCATCGTAGGCGATCATCTGGCAGTGGATTTATATCACCATGGCTAACGGCGATATAAATTACTCAACTTCTATTTGAAACAAATATAGAATAAGCCGAGTTATTTATCAGGCGTATTGTCGACGCGGTGACTGTGTCAAGGAACAACAGGTAGACTTCCAGGTGGAAGGTCGCGGATATCGCGTAACCATCCTGTCACCTGCCGCAGATTGACAGGCGAGCACTGAGCTTTATATAGAACCGAGGCCACCTTCCTTTGCATGTGCGCACACGCACTGCCATTATGTTGTGGCGTGGGCTGTAGCAGTGCAATATATCAGCCACGTTAGCTCAAGCCTTCCGTAGGTCACGTGACGTGTGTGTGGCCACCCCGTAGGTCACGTGACTTGTGTGCGGGCACCGCTCTGCCGCTGCTGCCCGCCCGTGAACCGGACACTCCGCCTCCCTTCTCTCTCCCCCCCCCTCTCTTTCTTCCCGTCTCATCGTCACCCTGTCAGCCCCGACGTCTTGGTCCGCCCATTCATTGTCCCCTTCCTGCCCGGTGCGCTCCATTCTCTCCTCCTGCTGCTCATCTTGAGCTATGCCCTCCTCTTTGTCTGTCTTTCTGCGGGAGAGAATTGACCAGGCTCAACAATACTTAGGCTTCCGAGATTCGAGGAGATCAGGTACTTTTAGGGGGGATGCATTGTCGGCAAAAGGAGGCTTGAGGAGAAGAGGGTATCATGGGGGAAATAGGAATTCTGTACTGAGTGAGGCATGAGCAAGCACATTGATGTGGTCAGTCATAGGAGGTGTCTACAAATCCACTTTCTAATTATAAAAAATACGTTTCAGTGTTGTATGTGTCATTTTTATATTTTCTGTAAATGCTCAGACCTAATCTCTTAATTATTAAAAATAATATTTTAATCACACGATGCTTTTTAAATCACATATTATTTTATACGATTCCTTCAGCTTCAGTATTACACAATTTCCTGAGCATTTTCAATATTTATATGTGGTACGTAAGAATTATGAAGACACGTTACCCACAATGCTACACAGCAATGCATAGTGAGTGGCTTTAAAAATATTTATAGGTTGAACAAAAATCATAATGACATTTTTAAAAATATTAATATTTCCTTTGTGTGTATAAATGTACTCGTATCTCACCAGGTGAAAGGTCACAAGGATAAGCATTTTAAGACACCGATTGGACTGGCGGAAATAAAACCTTGCCACAAGAAAAAGCACCATGATAAGACTGGTAAGTACACAGAGCTGCTTGCTGATAATTATTAGTGGGGAAGGCAAAGCTTGCATGACTCACATTGAATTTAACAAGAATGTTATTCACAGACAATATTCCTATTAAAAATAGATTTGTTTAATTAGGCCACATAATGACCTCACCCAAACATATGTCGTGAGACCCACAGCGTAACTTCCATTCATGATTTGGTGGTTAGTCACCTCCTACCATGATTAATGTTCCACATGATCTTCACCCATTGATAGCTCTATAAAATGTTCTATCAGACTGACTGTGTTGTCTCATCCTGTATTCAACCACCACACTGCAGATCTAAACACTTCCCTTTCTGTTTCTTCCCTTGCACTGCTCCGCTTTGAAATTCCCTCCCCACGTCTCTTTTCCCAAGCTCTTACAACCTTGCTCAATTCAAGAACTCTAGTAACTGCTATCTAGTACGCACTCAAATAGTGATGTTTGTTGCTGGTCGCTTGATAAAACTGAACAAACAAATTAAGAAATGGCACGAAAACAAAGACACAAACAATACAAAAGTTATGACTGATAAATTCGTTCATTAACTCTCCACATCCCAGACCACAATCCCAACTTCTCACATAAGGCAGGAAACCTACAGAGGAGCGGCGGTGGAGTGGCCAAAATAGTTACGACTAAATTAAACCGATCGGGCAAACGTCCAAAACGTGAAATGATCCGATTTGTGTCGTCGGCGCGACCGTGCAGATCCCGATGACTCCGAGTCGGACAAATCGGACGACGCGATCGAGCAGCTGAACAAGGAGAACTCGCGCAAGTCGCGGGCAGTCGATGGGCGCGGCCGGCGGCGACGGTGCCGCCGCCGGGCTCGGCCAGAGCCGCAGCTGGTCGGTGCGAGCCGCCGTGGAGCGAGTGCAGTCCAAGGTGACGCCGGGCAACACGCCGCTGGCCAGGCCCGGCGCCCGCAAAACCAAGAGGGACGTGAGCGGCGTGAACGGCGACGACGGCGACGACGACGACGAGGAGGGCTCGGTGACGGAGAAGGAGACGGACGAGGAGTCGCCCGCGGCGGGGGACAGCGACCCGCAGAGCGAAGGGGCGATCGCGACGGGCCCCGCCGCCGTCAATGGGCGACCGACGGACGACGAGGCCCGCGTGGACATTGCGAGAGTTAGGAAATGCTCGCTCGTGGCAGAGAAAGCTGTCGCCGCCGCCGCCGCTGCCACCACTGCTGTCACCGCTGCTGCCGTAGAGCCGCCTCCTGTTCTGCCGAGTCCTTGTAAAGACTTCTCGGCAAAGTGAGATGCGCGCCGGGTGATGTTCCCCGGCAACCAGCCCTCCCGTGTCCCCAACCACCGTTACAAGAACAAATCACGAAAATCGTCAAGTCGCCCAGACCCGTTACGGTCTTGTGGCGCTGTCGCATTGAGATGCTTTATACATTTACATTGTGTGCTCTTTTGTTGCAGAGCTTGTGCTGAACCAATACAAATAGTTCAACAAAAACACATAATGCCTTGTTGGCCATGGTACACAAGCACATATAGCAAAAATTGGCCCTTCCTTGTATGGCAGTGTCATTGACGAATGTGTTGAGGTTTTTCTTGCAATCAATTGCCTGTTTGCTGTGATATCAAAAGCAGTCGGGGCTTGCGCTCAATAATCTCTCCGTGTGTTTTACCCCGTGTCTCAACAACCCCGCCCCATTTGAAAGGTCGCAGGACAAAGGCCTATCGAGCTGCACGAATTCCCAGGGTGCGGAAGGCGGAAAGGACAAGAGGGAGGCAGACACCAAGAAGAGGGCGACCGAGGGGAAAGGTCCCAAAGAGGACAGCAAGAAGAGCAAAGTCGACGAGGGGAACGATGCGAAGGTTGCACCCGTTGTTACCCAGACAAAGGAGCTGAAGATAAAGAGCAAAGCCTCTCCGGGCGACGCCCCGAGCAAAATACCGAGCGAGGCTCAGAAGAAGTCACCGAGCAAGGCAACGTTGGGCGACGGGCCGAGCTTGCCTACGGGCGGCGCTCCGAGCAAGGGGCCGAGCGATGGCCAGAGCAAGCCGACGGGCAAGGGACTGAGTGCGACTGAGAGCAAGGACTCGAGTGAGACTCAAGTGGGCACGGTGCAGGCCGAGTCTGAAGAAACGCCGAACTCAGAGGCTTCCGACGACGTTTTAGGTTTGTAGTCCGTGACCGCTCGCGGCCCGCGGGCAGCGACGGGGTTTTTTGGTTTAGTCGCATGGAGGTGGCGCGCACGCGATGCCATCGCTCGAGCCGATAAGTCGTGATGCCCACCGCGAGCACTCGAGCAACGGTAGAAGTAAAGTGTGTCAACTCTGGACTATCCCACTCGTCATGTGTGGCAATGATATTGTAAGCAGGTGATCAAGTGCCATTTACTATGCAACACGCATGCACTTATTGTTGCTGTTTCGTCGAGACCGGTGGTGTAGCATGGTTGGCATGGCACCACCCCCCCCCCCCCGCTCTCCCGAGCTCTCCCGTAGGTTGACTTAGCCTCAAATGAGTACCTGGTGCAATGTGTAAATATCACCACTCATGAGACAAAGGCGGTCATGCTGACCACAACACCCCCTCGTGTACCACGCCGGCCTTCATAGGCGCTCGCCAACAACACTTTGCATGAACACGATCTGTCGAAGGCTACGTGGGGGATCTTTGCGGATGTTTTTTGTGTGTGTGTGCGATTTAGATGACTGCCCTCCACCTCCGGCTCCGTTTGAACACCGCATGGTGGTGCCACAGAGCGAAGCGGTCAGCACCTCCTACTCCATCAAGCAGAAGGACGTGCTAGGAGGGTGAGTGTGCGCACACCTCGCAGTTCTGGGGAACAGGGAGTGACGACGAATCGTCGTGCGCACGCCCCGCGTTCTGTAAACGCTCTCCAGCTGAGCGCACGTCCTCGGAAGTTTTTACTTATAGCGACGATAACGTCACCTTACTGAGCCACGCAGTGAGGTGACGTCACACTGCGCGTGCCAGTGTGACGTCATCGCTCCGGCCCACAAGGCTTCTTGATTGTCGCTTGTTGTCCTCGCCAAGTTGTAGGCAACACCTCACCGACACTTTGTACCCTCCGACAGCTGTGACACTTCACGTTTAATTTGTTATCACTCATAATAAAGGTTTTTGGGTTCGATCGCTATTATGGATAAATGTGTTGTTAATGTAAACGACACATGTACGCGTTAACGACACATTTATACGTTAACGACACGTTTATACTTATGCGATCTAAACCAAAAACCTTTTATCATGAGGTTATCACTCCTGCAATGAGATGATAACTGAGTTGTGCCGATGCACGCAGTCACTTTATTTTTCTGTCCAATTCAACATCAAATGATCCGACTTAAAGCGCACGAGGCAAGTGTGCAATCTGCCGTGATGGAAATGTCACGCAAGTTGTTTCCACGGATATCTCAAGTTCAAGTTCATGTATTAGGTACATAGCCCTGTGAGCCATTCGGCTCTTGAATCGGGTGCAACCGCAACAAACAAAAAACAAAAACATGAACAAAAAAACATCTTAAAGTGAATATGTGACTGAGTGCAAACAGAAAATCTAAGAAAAGACAGTAAAATATTGCAGAGAAAAGCACCGTACACTAAAATGAGAAGTCAAACAACAACAACCACAAGACAACTTAGATTAAGGCCATCAGTCTAACTCTGTACTACAACAAACAAACATGGCCAAACCAAAAAAACGTATCTCAAATCACCAAAATAAAGCCATAAAAACAATAAAACAGTGGTCATAGGAACTGTGACCGAATTTTCACAATTGGTACTGCCAATTGGTACTGCCAAAACAGCTTCGAAATGAACTCTTGGAAGTGCTTGCACAAAGGATAGTAACATCTCATCCTGTGTTCTTGGAATCATTCTTCGTATTTCATGTAAACGAAGTGTCGCAATGAAAGCACACGCGTTCGCCTGTTGTCGCAGAGGGACGGTTTGGACGGGTCCACAAGTGTGTTGAAAGAACGTCTGGAATGACGCTGGCTGCCAAGGTCATCAAGGCCAAAGGAGTGAAGGAAAAGGTGAGTGGCACAGTGCGATTCGTGCCGGATACGACCGCACTGGCGATCGTGATTTGTAACTTTCATCCTTGCCCACGTATCCTCGTTCAACTTTCACGTGCCATTTTAGTGTGGGACTGTGTGTTGTTGTCTTGGTGTGGTCTGGGACTGTTTTTACTGTTGTTTTGCTGCCTTGCCCAAGCTTGGAAATTGATGTACTCAAGCAATTGGAACTTATATACGTTATTTATTTGTACTCTTAGTTTTTTCGGTAAAGTCACGTAGGTAAAAAATGAAATTAAAATTAATAAAAATAAAATAATAAAAATCACGACGTTTCGGAGGCAACACAAGTCTCCATCATCAGATGGGACCGTCACAGCTAGATCTGCTGTATCAAACAGACAACGGTGGCCGGGCGTGGTGCTGGCCGCTCGTTTGCTGTCCCGACCTTTATAGGTGCTCGCTAATAGCACTTGCCCCAAAATCCTGTTAAGGCTATACGGGGCATATTTGTTTTGTTTTTGTTTGTGGGCACCTATTAGTTGCTAGTTTACAGCACTTGCCCCATAAGTTTGTGCGGGCTACATGGGGGATCTTTGCCTGTATGTGTGTGTGCGTGCGAGCAGGACGAAGTGAACAACGAAATCAGCATCATGAACCAGCTGAAGCACAACAACCTCCTGCAGCTGTACGACGCGTTCGAGTCCAAGAATGACTTCGTCCTCATTATGGAATAGTGAGTGGCTCGTAGACGCACGCACACACGCACGCGCACACACACGGGGTGGCCCGTGGGCACCGAGGCATTTCCCTTCATTTTGACACCCGGCCCAAGGTGCCATCTTCCCACCCCCACTGTTGCGGCCCCAACAAAGATCTTAAACCACCAACTGCTTGGTGGTGCCTTGGGGCAGCTGCCCCGTCTGCCCCATCCTGGCCCGTGCCACCCCACTCACGCCAGAGGGGTGGGGTGTTTGATGAATGCCGTTTATCATATTTGTGATGAGTAGGTAAGCATCGTACTCAGATTTTAAATGCTGTGGCTTGGCTCTCCAACACACCGGTGTGCTGTACTAGTAACGAATTGGCATGTTCTGTTTACAGGACAAACCTTACTAATTGGCTGTGGTGATGGGTTTAACGACACATTTCTATATTTACGCGATCTAACCCAAAATAACTGTATAATGGATGATATTGGTCGCGAAAGCCTCCTGCGTGTTAAACTTTTAATGTTTTTGTTTATGGCCCAAGCGGGCCCCGAATGGCCGAGCCTCCCCTGGCCGCACACATTCACAGCACACGAAGCCACCCTTCGATTTGTCACGCGTGTGACATGGTTAGACGTAGGGCCCACATCTGGCTCTTTTACAACGCCGAGTGAAATACAACGCCTATTAATTTCATGACAGTTTAAAAACAAACTCCGTTTTGGAGTCGTAAAGATGGAATATATAAGGTTTCTCTTTAACTATACGTGCGCTATATGGCCTGCCTCTTCACATCTGCAGCCCATGCTCACCGCCTTCACCAGCCTCCATTGACCAGCGTGATTTAGTTTGGTTAAATGACCCCCATGACCCCGTACTGCGTGGGGAGGCCCTCATCCAGCATCGGATTGACAAAAGGGCTGTGTATCACTGCGCAGCCACGCAGTTCGTATACGCACACTTCGCGATGAACCTGGCCACCCGAGTTCGATTCCCAGCCGCAGGCAACGTCTCTGGTGAAGGATATACCAATAGCCGCCATTCGCCACTAAGTGACGGCGACGTCACCACGGCGCCTGTGCCAGGCCAGGTGCACTTTGAGGCCACGTGACGCGTCGAAGGCTCGCTGACAGGAGGAGATCCACAGGCAGACCCAGGTGCCAAAGTTTGGCTGACTGAGATGACTGATAGATGCACCAACTGTACCCCCTACGGTGCCAACTTGCTGCGTCTTAGCCACCTGGCGCTCCGCTCATTGTTGTGAGCGTCGCTCCTCTGCCCTCAGTTGTTGTTGGAGGGCGACTGCCTCCAAATGCCCAGTAGCGTCCTTCACGAGTCCCTTCCACAGAGGCCGATCTTGACACCGCTGGCACCGGATTTATACACCCACACTGACCAACGTGGTGAAGTGTGGTTAAACAACGCCCATTGCTGACACGGTGTGGGAAGGTCTTCATACTGCAATGAGTTGACAAACGGCTGTAAATTATTATTTATGCACGGTGTATGCCAAGTTAAAATTAGAACATCACTTCCTGGAATCGTTTTATTGCTGAGACACCGAATCCAATAGAGGCAGCAAAAACCAGATGATGCCATAAGGGAAATCTAAATTGCTTAACTACTACCAAAAACACATTCAGCCCAAAGTGTTTCTGTCAGATATATTTTAAGCTGCTCTCTACACTTAATGTTAAATAATCTCATGTTCGCTCTAAAACGTGTGTGCATATGTCATACGCACTTGGATTTGAGTCTGTTCACCTTGAAGAATTCTTAAAATGACATTTCTATGCTGTCTCAAATGATTGTTTTCTCAATTTCTCTGTCTCTACACGACGAAGAATATCCACTGCTCGAAATATCACCTGCGGGAGTGTTATTGACGAACGTGTTGCATTTCTGTTGATTGTGCTTGTGCACCACTGCCAAAGCACCATCACGCATATTTGTTGCAATGGATTTAGATAGGTTAATATCGGTGTAGGGAAATTCACACTGAATAACTCAAACTGCTTCTTGTGTGCACGGCAAACTCGCCAATGGTGCCTTGAGGAAAGACAATCTGAGAGAGGCAAAAAATTAACCCGTAAAAACTAAGTTTTTCACTATAAATCCTTTATATGCGTGGCGGCTAGAGTCCTCTCGTCCTCTGGCTTGAGATGGCTGCCACCTATGGGCCAGATGATTGCCTGCCACCATTAAGCAATTGGTAATTAAATATTATTTATTTTTCCTAAAGAGTGTAAAATTTTGGGGAAAAAATTTCACGAAAATAAATTGTCACGCACAATGAGTCTGTGTGCAAAATGCCAGCTCGACTGGATCACGGGAAGTGGGTTAAAAAACGACCGAAAGATTTGCACGGTCGTAAGCGCGCAAGCAAGCAAGTGAACTTAATATAAAGGATTTAAAAACGGTCCACGCTTGGTCGACTCTCCGCAGCATACACGGCGGGGAGCTGTTTGACCGCATTGTGAGCGAGGACTACAATCTCACCGAGCTGGACGCCATTATCTTCATCCGGCAGATCTGCGAAGGGATCCACTACATGCACCAGCAGTACATCTTGCACCTGGATCTCAAGGTGCGTCGCCTGCACCTCCCACACCGCACTTGGGACTCACCGCTGCAGCCAATCCCACGGCAGTTCGTGGCCCATACACTCGAGTTTGGTCACAGTTCGCATGGTTCAATCAATTAATACATTTGTATATTACGTGCCAATATCGCCCTCAATAAAGTAGGCATCAGTGCACATTACAACGGTCCGCTCCTTGGCTGGTGCCCAGCCAACTCTGGGTATGGTGGGTGACTGGACACCCCCAACATTTTTCGGTAATAGACACCCTGCAAAAATACCACGACACAAAACCCTGGCATTTCTGACAAGGTGACAGAAATTTTGGTTATGCTGCTTATGGAATCTTTAAATACACACAAGTGCACGAACAGTAGGCTCAGTGCTGAGTCGTGGATCCTCTTTGTCATCTCCAAAAGGACCAATCATGATGACGATGCCTCCATATTACAAATGGTGGCCATACTCCCTGGTCATGGGTGTGATATTAAACTGCATCCACTGATGGTGCTACCCAAAAGAAACACCGGTGAGGAAGGGGAAGGGAAGCCACCTTAACTCTCCCTCGCTTGCTAGGGCTCAGCAACTCTGGTGCAGGGTGTGACATTGCATGGCTAATAGTGGGTAGCAGAATGAAATGTGATGCAGAGAGCTTGAACCATAGACATGAACCTGCCCTTGGCAAAATTCCAAAGTTGAGCCAGGGCAGTGTTGGCGTTATGGCTCTTGTCTATGATTGTGCGCATCCTTTGCAGGGCCAAGTCAATGCCCTGCTGCTTGTATCATTGGCTGTAGAACATCAAGAGAGCTGGTAACTCCTAAACCTCCGAGGGATTTTGTGCTTAGCGGCAGTACAGATTGGATTTTTAGCTTAGGCTTTTCAGAAAGTGTTGCTGACATTACGTATTGTATCAGGGATGTTGCCGCGGTGTAATGTTCAGCGGCACAATGGACTTGCAATGCAGAGGTCGTCGGTTCAGTCTCCCAGCGTGCCAGCTGAAACAATGGGAAAGATTCATCCAACTCCTCTGTGCATCCACGACCATCGATCGATAGATCATGTGTCACGTGGTAGAGTGTGGGCACTCACACCTCTTACAAATGTCTGGCCAGTGTGGGGAAGTCGGCACAAATCCCCTCTTAGATGGGTTCCGAGAGCTCCCGCGATTTGGAGGCCCTTCTGCCAGCGATGGTTTGAGCGAGAAATTGCAGGGCTTCACCTTCTTATAGTTCCAGCATGTTTGAGTGACCCTTTGTTTGTCTTCTCTCCTCTCATTGCTGTTCTATCATTCAGCCAGAAAACATCCTCTGCGTCAACCGGAAAGGAAACCAGATCAAGATCATTGACTTTGGCCTGGCCAGGAGGTGTGTCTGCAACTCAGTCTGCCCGACGTATATCAGCGTGCGACGCTAAGTTAAATATAATTAAACGCAGCCTGATGAACATCGCGTGCAAAATATTTCTGTGTACATTATTTTGATATGTAAGTGTTTCCCCTTTTTACACGAGTTCTTTTTCTTGTAGAACCGTTAACAAAAACAGTCGCGGTATCATTGTTATTGTCTGTAAAGAATCCCGCATACTGAGCTGAGGTGTCATCAGGCTGAACTGCTGTAAGAACTACATGGAATTAAGTGAAGGCCTTGTTGACGATCTGCTGCTGGATGACGACCTCCCCATACCATCTAGGCCATGGTGGCTATTTGCCCACACTTGGTCAGTGCGGGTCGGTGAAGGCAAAGGAGTGCAGACGTTCAGACGTTTGTAACATGGTGCAGTACAACATAGTGCAGTACAACATAGTGCAGTACAACAACGGATGTGTGCTTCACTTTGCTCTGCTCACAATGGAGCCTAGCAGCAACCTATAACACCTGTTTTGTGTGTGTAAGTTGTAAATCTGAGTAGTATCCAGGCTCCATCCTGCTTAGCTTCTGATATTTGATGAGGCCGGACGCATTCCCAGGTGATTTAGTCATTAGGAAAATGCAATAACGATACTATTGTTATTTACCAAGAAAAAAAAACCCTGCTGTGTGCTACAGGTACAAGCCGAGGGAGAAGCTGAAGGTGCACTTTGGAACCCCGGAGTTCTTGGCGCCGGAGGTGGTGAACTACGACTACGTCTCGTTCCCTACCGACATGTGGTCTCTGGGAGTCATCGCCTACATGCTGTGAGTCGTGTTGCCTCTCCCCCACGGCATCCGTGACCCCACGCGGAGCCCCAGCCAATTGCATCTGGGACTTGGGGCGCCACGCTGATGAATTTGCGCTTGGTAAATGATTGATAATTCAGACTTCGATGCCAGAAGGTCGGTTTAGAGGCAGTGTGCAACGTAAATATTGCGGCGAGATTGTAACGAGTACGGGATTGCGCCGAGAGGGGGAGGAGGAGGCGGAGGCTTTGTGCTCGGTGACTCGTTAACTGGCAGCGCCACCTTCTTTGTGTTGTCCCCCCAGGCTAAGCGGGCTGTCCCCCTTCATGGGCGAGGACGACAACGAGACCCTGACCAACATCGTGAACGTCAACTGGGACTTTGACGACGAAGCCTTTGAGAACGTGTCGGAAGAAGCCAAAGATTTCATCTCTCGGCTACTCATCAAGGAAAAGAGGTATTGCACCAGCTTCACACCTTGTGAACTTTCTTCCTTTTGTTTGATTGAATATTTTTTATGGATTACATTTTTTTTTGCTCGGGTCAATATGTCAATTATTCGTGTCACTTCAATGGTGACAGTTTTTGACTTCCTCTTGATTGCACTTCATTTTGCGCTTGAAATTTACTTTGCTCAGTCGGTGTCAGCCGCTGAGGTCGTGACAGGTTTCCTTTTTCATTCCTGTTGCTCTATGCCCCCCGTAGCGTTCGTGTTCTGCTGTAATGTACACCGATGCACTACTTTATTGAGGCCGCTGTTGGCACGCAAGACAAAGATGCATTGATTGACAAGGGGCACACTGTATTTTTAGAACACGAGCAAACAATGGCCATAAATACAGCTTCTTTTTCAAAGTTTAATCGAATTCACCACCCTTCCCACTGCTGTATGCCTCCATCCTACCGCTGTATGAGTCCTCCTGATGCCATGTCAGTCCTGGGGATTGTTTGACCAAACTTTACCACATTTGTCTGTATGGGTTGGTGAAGGGGCATGGTCCAAGGATCGGTTCAAATATCCCGTCGCTGATTTGAGCCAGGATTACGAAATTATTGCAGGTCGCAAGGATCATTGGGTAGTGCACTAACCACTCGCCAGAGGTTGAACAACCATTTCTAAAATATACTATTCAAAAAAATGTCCCGCACCTCCGATGAGCAAGGGTGGCTATGCACGGTGCGAAAAAGGTTAAACATAAATGCAGCCATAATCAGTTATTTACACAGGGTAACATCAGTTGTTTGGCCTTATCAAGTTGTCAGTCATGGGGAGAATCAGGGGGCATTGGCCCTTGTAGAAAGCAGTACCCCCCCCCCCCCCCCCACTGAAAATCTAAATTGTGACGGAGTGAAAGTGCTTCCAGTGTTTGCCATCGCCTTGCTCATGTTCAGTGCCCACTGCTCTAGATCTGAAATAAAAAAAGAACACTTCACAAACGTAATTGTTTAATATCAATTGGACAGACATGTGGGTCATAGTTTTGAAAGACTAGATACACATGTAGTGGTCTATGCTGAGCTGTGCGCAATCACTGGAGAAGGGACCCATTTGAATCAGACCCCAAAAAACTAAATCCATGTTCCTGCCATGCCCCCAAGAGAAAGCCAGGGACGGTATGTGAGCAAGAGGCAGAATGGAGGGGACACTGAGAAGCTTGGCAATCCAGAGTGGTTATTTAGAGGCCAGCGTGGCGTGCAGGCAATTCCATTTTACGCACGAGATAAAGTGCCCTCTACTCTGGCGCAGGCCTGAATGGCAGAGGGCGAATTGAAACGGGGATACTGGGGCCTGTTGCACGATAGGGGGTAAGCATTGCATGTCACCATGCCATTGTCATGTGGTGCTTATCGCGGTGGCTGCAGCAACAACAAAAAACAGGATGAAGTGTGAACAGTTGTTGCTGACATTACTGGCGGCAACATGGGCAATATATATATATACTGCAGTGCTACATGTATTTAGAACATGCGTAGTAACTAAATAAAATACAAAAATTATAGTCTATCCCCTTTTTCAATGCTTTCTGGGATAAAATGTCCTTGTGCTAAGCTGGGTAGGGTTAATCTTCATCAATATTGCATTTGGATGATGATGATATATAATTCAGAGAATATCTAATACATGTGTTTTACATTTGTCACGCACATTTTACAATTCATCATCAGCAATTATTCACTGCTGGATAAAGGCATGTTATGTTTGCACAGTGACATAGTTATTGAGTGTGCAGGCTGTGAAACTGCACCAGGATTCATAGAGCAGAGGGGCTCAGGATCTGGGCTATGAATAGGGGTGAATGTGGACAAGGGGCTCCAAATCATCCCTTGCAGTGGCGCTGGCTTGTAGTAAATGTTACCTAGCACAACATTATTTTTCCTGTTCAATCTGCACTCTACTGGTAAGAAATGAATTTAGTCTCGTAGACTCAGCACTTTTATAGAATGTACCATGTCCAATATTTGTAGTTTGTCGTGGAGTCTTTTTTTTTCTTTCTATACTTTGTTCTTCCCCATTTTTATAATGAATGTGCCGTCAGCATCATGTCGTGAGACGAAGCATTTATTCGGATCTCTCGCACAGCAGTTGCAACCCCTGAGTCTTAGAGAACGGTCCACATAATCGGATGCTTCAGAACTACATCCGAGGTCCCTTCAAGCTCTAACCCTGGTCCACAAAGTAGTAGCAGACAGCATTTTCCCACCTGCCTCTGCATACGAGAGTTATACCGATATACTCATTCTCAGAACTGGAATTTTGCCCAATTAAATTTTACAACCAATTTTGTTGTCGTGATTATTTTTTGCGTGTGATGTCTTCGCTTAAACCTTGGCCTCTGTTTCCCCCCCCCTGCAGTGGCCGAATGAGTGCGTCTCAGTGCCTGAAGCACAATTGGTTAGTCAATCTCTCGGAGCGCGCAAAGAAATGTAAGGTTCGCCTGAAGTCACAGCTGCTTCTGCATACGTACATGGTGCGACGGATGTGGAAGGTACATCTCATTCGTGTCCAGTAAATGTTACTAAATAACCTCACGAGCTAATTCAATAACAGTTTCAAATCAATTGGTTAGTTATGTTAACAAAATCTAACTGTCAACATTAATCCATGTACTCCCTCATGTAATAATTCCACGAATGGTTTTTTCTCTGCTAAGACTAAAACCCTAATTGTTCACCCTCTGCCTTCCCTAACATTTATATTTTAAGTGTTTTAATCCTCTCATTTAATCACCGATGATGCAACAGTGTAACAATTTCAAAGTCAATTTGTAATTAATGACTCAAATACAAAAAAATTCTGCAAGGCGATTAGGTAATTCTATACGGTATTGATTTAGCTCTTGTAATCTATGTAAAAAAAAGATAAAATGCGATATCAGGAAAAACGTAATTCACGTCGTATGAAAAAGATGTACCATAGCCGAAAGCTGTCCGCAGCGTGCACCATGTCCACTGGGGCCTTGAAATTTGAGAATGTAACTTTCCGCTTGAAGTGCTCGCTTCTGCAACACTTGCGTTAAGAATGCACATTACAAAGCAAGCAACGTATGAGAAGATATTTTCTAAATTACAGAAACTCAACACATTCGTCAATAACACCGCCCGGACAGGAAATAATGTATAGGCGACGTTTCAGGCAATGACCCTTCATCATAGCAAATCGCATCTGTGTGCTTTTTTTCCCTTTGAGGGCAGTGTTATTGAAGGATGTGCTGATTTTTTGTTATTTGTGCAAATGCGCCTCTGCCAGTGAATGCAACATCACATATGTTTCTCTCTAAATTCTGCTCTATTTACAAATTGCCCGCAATAGAACACTCGAATACAAATCGCCAAGCTTCATTGCTTTGCTATACAATTTGTTACGGACTGCATTTTAGTTTCGGAACGGTGGCGGTGAGAATGATTTTACAGAGACGGCTTAGACTGCTCTGTCTTTGTTGTCATCCGGTAACGGTGAGGTTGTCAGTCGGGAGACAGTGGCGCAGAGTCCATTTTTGTACTGGACTTACCATTCACGTCTTCGCACACGCTAACCGGCGTGGGGTGAAGTACGGCTACATAGCCCCGCACGTAGCGCGTGGAGGCCCGCATCCAGCAGTGAACTGACAAAGGGCTGTACACGAACGTGGTGGCTCGACCCGACTGCATGTGCGTAAGGACTTGTGTGTTTTTGTTATTCCGGCAATTTAGCAGAGCCCAGTGTTGGTAGCGATACAAGCAGACGGCATTGCGTCAACCGACGAAACTTGCACCTCGCCTATGAACAAGAACAACGTTATTTATTGGAGTTATGAAATCTCTTAGCCAAATCAAGGTAGTTTTTCTTACTCGTTTCGGCGATTTATAATTTATTTATTTTCTGCCCCTCCCCCCATCCCCACGGTATAAGTCGGCATTCACTCACACTAATACCTGTAATCGAAATTAACTCACACTCACACCTGTAATGGAAATTCACTCAACACTGGCTGGCCTACACCTGCAGAGCATACAAGAAGAGTATCGCTTACTAAGCCTTCTGGTCTGCAACTTTGTTTGTGTTAACATCACTTACCGTGTCTTCCATTGTTCCCCGTTGCTTTTTGCACATTAATGCAGTGAACCCCCTCGTGCCCACACTGATATTGCGGGTGTTAGGTGCAGATGTTATTGTCCGTGCTGATCCAAACATTTTACTCCGATCAGCAGCCGATCGGCAGAATGCGTGTGGTGGGGTAAAGTGTGGGTACCCCCACCTCCTCCAAGATGTTTGACCGGCGTGAAAGGTTAGGCCATTAATGCACAGGAGAGGTTTTCTAGAGCTCCCTCTCGTAGTGTCAGCAAGCCATTGCAGCCCTGCACCTTTATCTTTATTTACTAGAGAGTGGATAACTGGATGAACAACGTTCTGAGTGGATTTTAATCGGGTGAAGTCCACTGATGAAGGCAGTCGGAAAGGATGCATTTGCCGCAACTTCTTGATTCCTCCTCTTATCCGTGCTTGAGTGTGGATAACAGCAAGAATGGATTTGCAGGTAATAGCAAGAGTTGGGAATAGAGTGGGCACACGAGGTGTTTCACTGTGCTGTATTCTGCTTATGCTGTGTGTTATTTTGTGCTATTAAATGTTGGGAGATTAAATGTTGGGGGTGATGATGCAGAGGATGGTAATCTATGGAACTTGCTCTGACTTGCGTCACCAAGAAAGCGTTTCATGCGCATTTTGCCTGTGCATAATGCGCTTAGTTGGAATTTACTGAACGCTGTTGAATATACAAGAATGTGTAAATGTGCAAAAGCATTATCATTGTCTATAAAAAAATTACGATCTCAAGCTCTTGATTTAAAAAAATAATTGAATAGATATAATGTGCAATGTATTGCCATTATTCACGTGTTGCCAGATGGCTATTCATCAGCAGCTTTATAAGTGGCATCGTGCGGTGGTTGGCATGGGACTGGCACAAGGGTGTTGCCCGGCATCTTGAGTCCCTCGGGGCCCATGGGACCCGGTGCAGTTCCACCGCCTGCACACTTGATAGATTACGCCATCGCTCTCGTTCATGGCAGAGCTAACATTCACACACAGAGAGCAGCTCCACCAGGTTTTAAAAGGCCTCCTCTAAATCGTGAATTGTGCCCTCATATGTACAAGTGATTAACCTTAAATCCATCCCAATTAGTGCTTTTGGTAAATGTGTGTTTTTATTTGAGTGCTAAGGTTAAGTGTAGCTAATAAATCTATTGTATACTACGTGATATACAACATTATTAACTTTCCAATTAACCTTTCCATATGCCCTGGAGTGAAATCGAGGCTTGCGTATCTCTCTAATAATTAGAGAGGGATATTTAGGCTAATCCATACACAACGACAAATCACCTTTTTGATATCACTTGCCCGCAATGCATGTGATGTACAATGAACATTTTGGTAAAGAACTCGGTTAAAATAAACAATTAGATAATTGTATTTACATAACGACGATAAGCTCAGGGGCTCTAATTTTACACAGAATGCTCTCTAATATGGGCAACGTTAAATAAATTAATGTACTTAATGATGTATGCAATACAATACAGTGTAGACATGTCAGTTTGAACATTTATAGCCAATGGAATGAAACAGGAATTTCATGGGCTTCTTTATGCCAGGGACTCTGTTTTTATTGGTTGCACATTACACGTGATGGCATTTATTTGTTTCCCGTCTCATTTGAAGTGTGCGCTTCTTTATTTTAACAGAAAAACTTCTTTGCTGTAACAGCGGCGAACAGACTTCGCAAAATCAGCAGCTCCACCAGCCTGGCCTTGGAAGGAAGTGAAAAATGAAACCAAGTTGTTCAGTGCATTGCTCAGCTCTGCACGAGTCACTCAGATTAGCTTGGTTTTTTTGACCATTTTTACCCAAAAGTGCCTCGATCGTACTAGTAGCGTCATGTGACAGAACTAAGTCTCCATTCGGAGCTCCTGAAGTGCAGTGCCACCGTTCGTGTGCGAGAATGGCCCACGGAAGTAGATATCGCAGAGCCGCCTCTGAGATTGTTTAAAATTGACCTCTAAAGGTGGCTTGGTTTCTAAATGTCAGCGGAGTCAGTGAGCTCCGATCTCCACAAAAGATGGAATGAGTCTGGCGTTCATGAAGTCAGGCGTGTGCTCGAGATGGATGCGGCTGTAAATTGTGCAGGCATTTTAATGTGGAGCCTCTTCACTTCCGTCACTAGGTTCCACTCCCAATGTAGCAAATAAAAACTAGTTTTAGGATTAGTGCGATTAAAGGAAAGTTCATGTTTTAAAATGGAAAGATCATGTATTTGTAAGTCAAGCATTACTAAGCGTGTAAGAGTAGGCCAGATATCCTGTCGATGGGCTCTCCAGAGCTCCCTGACGAGAGCTCCCCCTAGTGGAGGCCCTTCCGCCTGCAGGGGTGGGAGAAATAGATTCAGGGCTGCACCTTTACCGTTCCCTTTCACACGACAGTGTTTGGGTATGCGGAAATTTTACGTGATATTTTCTGATTGAGTAATTGGTTAGCATGCACTGTTTAAGAAACGCAACGTTGAATAAAGTTGTTTGCGTGGAATTTATACACTTAACTATCAATAAATTGTAATTTTATTGTACATTATATCTGGATGGTTTTATATTCCTATCATGAAACTCTAGGATAATGCAATGCCAAGCAAAGCTTTTGACATTCAATATAAATTGAAGCTTGGAGTGGTTTATCTGATTTTTTTTTTACATTTAGCATGTTCGACTTATTTTTTGTAACAACATAGCAACTTGAGTATTTAATTACAGTAGGGAATTACGAAGTAAATCTGAATTTGTGCAGGCATTGTATTTTATATGAGGAAATGATAACTGCTATGAGGATGCATATATTATATACGTCGATTAATTTGCACATGCCTCTCTCCCTGTTTGACCTTTTGTGTTACTGCTGCATAAGCACACGTACAGGAGAGGCGGAACCCATTGATTGTAGAGTGCGGGTTAGGTCAAACTGCCTCGCACACCAGGCACAAAGCACCAGCGATGTCCGTATTTAATCTACCTTCCCTATGTACAAGAGGGAGTGCTCTTGCCAATAACGCCTGGTCATCTTATCAGTATTTTTAACACAACAAGCCTCTGCCCATGAGACTCAAAGTTTGCTTGTTTAAACAAATGCTGCTGGAGAATATAAGTCTGGAAGACCATTTGGCTTATGGGATGAAAAAAATATATATATTTTTACGTGGAGTGACAGAGTATGTTAATTTATTGTATTCTCCATGCACATATCGGCTAGCCTAGTTACGCTTGCATACACACACTGGGAATAAACTCTCTTGCATTGAGTGGAAAAAAATGTAACTTGTGGTATGTGAACTTTTACGCAACTGCATACTGGCAGAAACATTATTAAACGTTTTGAGGAATACCGTTTTTTTCTTGATGATAGATGGATCATTTGTCAATGTCCTTGCACGTGGTATTGTATAAAGTAATTTGCACATTTGCATATTATTGAATTGCATTAATTAGTTCGTCCAAAGTCATGGAGATGTGGATGACGATGTCTCTTTATTTTGCTAGAATCTCAAGATATCAAGTTGTTTTACCAGGATGTTTTGTTCAATATTCAATGCACTTGTTTATTTTTATTGTTCTGTTTTTATAAAGGGTTACCGACGGGCTAGGAAAATAATACACACGATAAGCTAACACAACAAACGTATTCTGACGTTTTTAAAACTTAAAAAAAATATCCCCTGTGCACAATATTGTGATTTTTGTTAGCTATTTATGTGTGCTCATATAAAATCATCTCTAAGGTCACAGTTTATCCCAAAATTAGAAATATATCATGATAGTACTTGGAAAAGATTGTTTAAAAATCACATAAAAAAGTTCCCAAGCGGTATTTGCGAAAATGATTTGCCCTAAGGCTGTGAGATCTAAATGTTTGGTTTTTTTCTCTCAGCAATGTAGTAGGCGTGTATTGATTCAGCAAAGTAAAGGCAAGCTACCCAATGTGTTGTCGTGTTGTCCCAAGACGTACCGCCAGGCATGGTGCCTGACGTTTTGCTCCGCTTACTGGGAGCTTCAGGAACTGCATTCGGTTCTTGAAGAAGCTCCCCGGCACATGGAAAAGCTCTCAAACACGCGGAATGGAACGTCAGACATCATGTTGAACAAAACGCGGTACAACCTAAAAACTTAGTAATGTAAAGTTCAACTTTATTAAAAAAAATCATACGGCATTGTGCGTTATGCTAGCACCCTTCTGATGGGACTAAATTGTAGGCCATTGACTCAGGGTCAACTCTTAAGACGAGATCGGTTCATCGGCTGTTAATTTTCAAGGTCCCAAACGTCCACTTGTTTAACCTAATTTAAATTGTGTTACTGTTTTACTGAAATAACGACGGAATTGCCATTGTGGAAGTTATCACTTTTCTTTAAACTGCAAAGTAAAAACTTAATTTGGGCTTCTTGAACAATGTTTAATGTGCTACCTGTGAAAGAAAAAAAAAGTTTCAAACGTAAAGTGTGGTGTTCCTGGTTGGGCTGCACGTTGATTACTGTAAATCTTTTCTCAATCTTTCGCCATGCACTACTGCGGGAATCTTCAGGAGTTTAATTGATAATCTCACCTAGTATCCTCAATGTGCAAAGACTCGGGCGAGATGACATCATTCAACTCGTGAAGATGCCCGCAGTGTTGCGTGGTGACTTGAGAAAGCTCGACACACAGCATGACCTTTAACACCACACTTGAGATTCACGTAAAATATGTAATTGAACTCACTAAAACAATGAATCCATGAATTAATAATGAAGATACTGTATATTAAAGAATGGGTTTATTATATTTACCTGCTGTGGATTGGATTACAATGCTTCTTTCGTACGTCTAAGTTTGGTCCTGCATATTAAAAAAACATTGCGTCAAAAATCATACATTATTAAATGGTGGCTTACGCATGAATTGCACAGCTTATTGAAAGTCAATTTAATTAATGCAAGTATACAGTTGACTTTTTATGATATTCCTTCACCACCCAGGGATCAATCATGATTTAATCCGTACTAAAATCAGGCTAAGATTTAGGTGAGTGTGCAGTAAGGCAGAGGTGTGGACTCGAGGCATGTGACTTGGACTCGAGTCAGACTCGAGTCATGAATTTGATGACTTCAGACTCGACTCGGCAAAATGTACAAAGACTTGCAACTCGACTTGGACTTGCATAACAATGACTTTGTCCCACCTCTGCAGTAAGCCCTCTACAGATCTCCACTCGACGATAAGCCGCCAAAATATCAAGGGAAGTAGAATTGTGGGCTGTCATTTAGCCAGTCGTGATTTGCGGGAAATTTGGAAAATTGCGTAGACCGTTGACTCTACCCAAACTGGAGCGTTAGTTTAGCTCACAGTTTTGAGTATCAGTAAATAGTTTATAAAGAACGTGTCGCCTTCCATGAAGGTTGCGTATGATGGGGTTGTGAGGTTCAGATTAATGGAATGGCAGTTACAGTTTCTGTTAACTTATTGTTGTAATCAATATGTCTGTTTGTGTAAGTCTACATGGAGAACTAATAAAGAATGCCAAATATAAATCTTTCCATATTGTTATATTCCTTTGAAAAAATCATTAAATGTTACAAACAACACGTTTTAGCCTTTGACGGTAGAATGCGTATACAGTATGAGCATGAATCTAAATTGCCAAAATATATTTTACGGATTATTCTAACATAACTACATTTACTCAGACATGTCAGTGGGCACTGGCATAGTTTAGCAACATCAATGAGCCAATCACATACCCTTGTTTCACTTGCCCTGTGGGTGTGCTGTCACAAAGCCACATCAGACCCTCGGAGTTAATAGAGGGATACACACACAAACCTTAAATCACTTTGGTAAAACACTAACATTAGTAAGGATACTCTTTGGTTCTTTCGGTAAAGTCACGTAGGTAGAAGAAAAATAATAAAATAATATATCACGACGTTTCGATCACAACACAAGCGGTCGTCCTCAGGCGGAAAAAATAATCCAGCAGTGGAACTGCTGAACCATTATTATTTTTCTACCTACGTGACTTTACCGAAAGAACCAAAGAGTATGGCTTTCCGCAATCACGAAAGCTTCAAATCAAGATTAGTAAGGATATCCAGATGATTTTACAGGATACCCTGTATGTTTAGTGATTTATAAATAAGTAAAACATGGATTTGAATCACTTTTCTAAATCTCGTCAGCAATGTGGCCTATTAAACATTGGTCTCAAAGTACATGCTGTATCCTGGTTGAACTACATGTTGTTCGACGGTTTTTGGAGGTGAAACAGATGTTTGTCAAATTACCAACGCAGTATTTTCATCGACAACGCAACACAGCAGTGTGTGTTTTAATGCGTACGATCGCACACGGAACGAAGCCACAATACCAGCAGAAATCCACGCATCGTCATCAGTCATGATCAATCCACTGCTGGATGAAGGCCACCCTAAACCATCACCGTCTCCCACGGTCCTGCAATGAATGTAACAATCCATCTAGCACCTGCACACGAGCAAATTTGATCGCTCCATCTCCGCAGAGGTCATCGGCTGGTGTCCCTCCTGTGACAGCCACTCACTCCACTTGCCTCCATCCCTTCTCGTTACTTGTCCTGCCTCAGACAACTTTTATTCAGTCAATCCATGCGTATAGAAACAACAATATGTACAGATAGGTCAGAAATATTTAAAGCCGCTAGCATGGTCAGCATTTGCCGAATGGATCGTACGTTCACTGCTTTTAGCAAAATGTATCAATCGTGAATTGTGGATAACTTAATAAATGTGGAACTATCGCCATCAAAAAAATGAAATTATATTTTGTTCAAAGTTAAGTTAGCTGGTGATGCTGGGTAGACAGTGGAACACAATTAAATATAAAAACAATTAAAGTCGAAACATTAAATAAGGGACGTTTCAGACAATAGCCCTTCTTCATAACAAACGTTATGTCCATCGGGTTGCCTTTTCCGCACACCATATACTCTCTATACCCACAGCTATGTACACAGAGGTATACTTGACGTGGTGTGCCGGGTGCCAAGCATTTTCTGGCTCAAATGAAGCCCTGGCGGATGAGGAGCGAAAGGGAATGTGTGGTGGGTCCACTCTCCCCAACACACCGCCGGTGAGTGCTGAAGCAGCGACTCAGTGGCCACGTTTAGTTTCACGTGTCAAGGCGAACTCATTGGGCCGCGTGGTGAACATTGGCTTCGCGTTAAACCACTTGCGGCAGAAGTCTCCAGCGCACTGGAAGATGCCCCCCAACCCCTCTCCCCCCACCACCCTCCCACCACCCCCCCCCACTACCCTCCCCCCACAACCCCCCCTCTCCCACACCCCTCCTCCCCACCACCCCCGGACCCTCCAACCCCCCCCACCGCGCGGACACGAGAAATGAACGCTGACGTCAACCTCAGCGGCGTCACGTTGGCGTGCGCGACGACGTCACGAACAACGACGCGATGACGTCGCCACCGCCCCAACCATCCAATCAGCGCCCCTCACGACCCCGCCCCTCACGACCCCGCCCCTCACGACCCCGCCCCTCTCGTCGTCGTCGTCCCCCCCCGCCCCCACCCACCCCCCGCCCGCCCCCACCCCCCGCGACGCAGTCACATGACGAGGGCGCAGATCGGACCCGAGCGGCCAGGCCTCAGCGACCATGGTAAGTTCTCACATCCCTCACAAACGTCTCGGATTGCTTCAGCAATTCTTGTTTCGCGTCACGGTACACGGCGGCGCGCTTGGGCGTCGACCGCGCACACGGAGGGCGCCGCTGGGTCAACGCGGTGTGGGCGAGAAAGGCGAGCGGTTTTGAGGGGCCCCATCCGCTAGGCCGCTACGGTCCCTCCTGTGTTGTTTAGTTTCCCTGCCGGGCTTGGGAGCGGGAAGTTCCGTAGGGCGATAGGCGCCTCCCTCCTCCCCCGTCAACTATTAAATGTAATGCAATTTTTTTTTATTAATCGACTAAATGCCACCGTATCTCCGGATTGTACCAGTAAAGACCACTGACATTTTGATGTTGAGAATGATGAAATGTACATTTTAAGTGAGGGAAGAGAACTCTACCATGTAAGGCACTGCGAGAGTTGGACATAGAGAACAGAAAGGGACTCACATCTGCAGGTGAATATGGGGATTGATGTCAGAAGGAGTCGCGGATGGCCAGAAGATGGGCGTTCTACACTAGTCGCATGCAGCAGAGATTTACTTTCCAGTCAGTGGATCTTGACTGAGGGCTCAGGCAGGATGCCTTGCTGACTGAAGCAGAGGGCACAAAGAGGGGGGCAGAGCGAGATGAAATGGGAGAAGTTATTGCCAGGGAGGCTATGGAGGGTCTTGAAGCCGGTGAAGATTTTGAGCGATAAGAGTCAAGAGGAGAAGAGAAGTAGCCAAAGGGTAATATGGAGGTATTTTTAAGGAAGTTAACGCCATCCTGCAATTGATCTGAGATTGGAGTGAGAGCCGACAGAAGCATCTGAAGACTTGAGATGGTCTGCTCTCGATTATGGTCACGAGTGAGAAGATTTGCAGTGACGTTCCATATATATCAGTGTTCTTCATTGCAAGGCCCGCAGGCCACTGGCGACCTCTGGTGGCCTTTAGTGCGAACCCCGTCATGCTGTCAACCGCAATGCTTTCAAATGTGTCGCGGTTGTCCCACTGATGTCTTGAAGGCGAAAGTGGCCCACTTCTGGAAATTCGTGAAGAACACTGTTCTAGATAATTTTCAGGTTAAACATTGAAGAAGCCATAGAGATGTCTTGCAGTAGTCACTGTTGAATTGACAGATCAGAAGTCCACATCTTCATCCTTTATTTGTGTAATTTGTCTTCCCGTTACTGCAGTGCATTTAGCTGCATTCTTAATAATTGCATACCGTACTATACAACTTTAACCATTGCCTCCCGTGAATTTGAGAATGTGTTAAATCTAAAGTACAATCCTGTACTCTTCCTTTAAATATCCTCCGCTTGTTCAGTTTTCCGTTTGGAATTTGTCACAAGTGTGTTTGAATAAGAGACCAATTTTATACATGATGCATTTAATTTGCTGTGTCATAGTTCTATGTTGTCCTCTAAATTATGGACGTTTAATTGTGTTGAAGCTTCCTTGAAAGGGCAAAACATGTTTGTCCTGTAGTCTTCTTGAAAAAAAAACTCCCTTCAGGAATGTAACTTCTTGTTTGGTTTGTACCTTGCTGTAAGTAAAAGTTAATAATTGCAAGGCGCGAGCTTTTATTATTACAACCTGAAAATGAAATAAAATTAGCAGTTGTGCTTTAAAAAGGAACTACTGTACAGTATTTTCCTTTGCTGTGTTGTGCCCGACACAAAAAATAGGTAGTATTTTATGTTTTAACATTTTCATTCGTAGATATACAAAATTACAGGAACTGTTTGTGATTATTTTTGCAATTATTTTATAGGGCTGTTAAAAGGGCTTCAATGAAATATCCTTATTTCACGTTATCCTGTTGAAATTTGAAAATCAGGTAAAACAATGTGCCGTGTAAAGTCTTGTTTTGTATGAACAAGCTTAGAAATACTTATGCTGGTGTGCATTTTGCGATTGAAATGTTAAAAAGCGGTTGTCGGCATGGCTAGAAATTTGCCAGGTTTATGCTGGTGGCACAGAGCGGGTTTAGCTTACGCTTTAGCCTGTGATACAGGGATCTGCCCAGGAAGAACAAGAGAAGCTGCTGGATGAAGCCCTGCAGGTGGTGAAGGTGCAGTCCTTCCAGATGAAACGGTGCCTGGTAAGGCAGTTTTTCTTTTCTCAAACGAATGTTGTTTCTCGTTACAAACGGTTCACCCCATTGCTACGCACAGTGAATTAATGTGTGGAAATCACATTTTTAGTTTGAACATTTGCAAAAGTTAATCGGTTTATTTGATGAAAGAGCTGTATGAACAGGGTTGGCTTTGGTAGCGTACGGTAAAGTGGGGCTACCTGTCCACTTCCATTTTTCACACTAATAAGATGCAAATTAAGTTATCTCATGCAAAGCTGAAGAATCCTTTTTCATTCTTTCCAAAATGGTGTACACTCCTATGTGCACTGTCTTGTTCCATGTGGTCTCAAAATATTATTTGTGAGTATAACATGACGGAAATGGGTATTTTAGCAAGCATCTAATTTTTTCTTATAAATGTATATCTGTTTTTGTGAAAGGACAAGAACAAGCTTATGGATGGACTGAAACATGCATCTAACATGCTGGGGGAGCTCCGTACATCTATGCTGTCTCCAAAGTGCTACTATGAGCTGTGTATCCTTTTAACTTGATTTGCTATTCTTCCAGCTATTTTCAGTGTTGGTTTGCATACCTCAAATCGTATTTTGATGAATACATAAAGGTACTGTTTCACTTGTATTATTAAATGCCTTCATTCACATGACCGCACACATTTGGCTACTGTCGCACATCTTAGAATGAGCAGTGCTTTCTAGAATTGGCACAACGCTTTGTAACGAATCGTTTTTAGTTTACTGTTACGAAACCGATATGTTATGCTATAGTCTAGGATACACAACGGTGTCATTGTTAATTAAATTCATATTGTATTATTATACTCCCTGACGCCTGGGGGGTGCACAGATATGGCTGTGACAGATGAGCTTCATCACCTGGAGGTGTTCCTTATTGACGAGTTCACGAAGGGTCGGAAAGTCGCTGATCTCTACGAACTGGTGCAATATGCCGGAAACATCATCCCCCGTCTGTGAGCATCTTCTCTCCCATACATCGCAGTAATAGTGTCACCAGGAGCTTACCACGGAACTAGATGGTTGCATTTCTAGTTTCAACAATGTTTTTAAATCTTTGTGACGATCAGCATAGTACCATTCACCCAGAACATTATCATTGTTAACATTTGGCCATGCACTTTCCAATCTAAGGTACTTGCTGGTGACTGTTGGGGTGGTCTACATCAAGACATTTGCACAGTCTCGCAAAGATATATTAAAGGACCTGGTGGAGATGTGCAGGGGAGTTCAACATCCCCTGCGCGGGCTCTTTTTGAGAAACTACCTGCTGCAGTGTACACGCAACGTGCTGCCGGATGAGGGAGAGGTTACCGAGTGAGTACTGTTACCACTGTCCTTTCTATTTGTTCACCAGTATGTGTACATTTGTAATGTCATCTGTAAACCACAGGATCTTACCTCTATTGTGCATTTAAACTATTTTTAAGTATATGATCATCATCTATGATTAAGAAATGTTTTCTTCAGGCACATTGGTATTTTGCTTTTCATTATTTCAACATGTTTTCATGCACCTCTTTAGTTCTTGATTTAAGAGGGATTTTACGTAGCTCAATGTAATCTACGATATTTATGTAAATAAGTCTGGGACACGGTAAATGCAACAATTCCTTTCCTCTGCTACCCCCGATAGTGACAAGGCGACGGGTGAGATCGGAGACTCGCTGGACTTCGTGCTGCTCAACTTTGCGGAGATGAACAAGCTGTGGGTGCGAATGCAGCACCAGGGGCACAGCCGTGAGAAGGAGAAGCGCGAGCGCGAGCGGCAGGAGTTGCGCATCCTTGTCGGTACCAACCTGGTGCGGCTCAGCCAGCTGGAGGGCGTCAATGTGGACAGGTTCAAGCAGGTCAGTGACCTCTTTCAATTGTTTTGTCTCCACATGTAGGCCACTCTCAAGAGAGTACCATTGTTGTATTTTTCACTTTAGGCATTTAATTGTTGTACTGTCTGTATGGCTGATGTGCTGCTTGTTTAGTTTACAGAATGTTACAAAATATTTTGGTCAATTAGTAAATGGAATGTGTTTTTTTAAGGTGGTGCTGCCCGGAATTCTGGAGCAAGTAGTGAATTGTAGAGACGCCATCGCACAGGAGTACCTGATGGAATGCATCATACAGGTGTGTGCTGGCCAGAGCCGTGTTGCTTTCCCTGCATATTCACTTGAAGCAGTAATTACAGATGCAGAGCTGAAATTGTTTTTTTCTAAAAGCAGCCATCCACTCCACCCAAAAATATTGTTACCCGTAGCAGTTGCACACAAATAATCTCTGTTCATAATCTCTGCAGGTGTTCCCTGATGAGTTCCACCTCCAGACCTTGAATCTCTTCCTCCGAGCATGTGCCGAGCTTCACCAGAATGTCAATGTCAAGAACATTATTATCGCCCTGATTGACAGGTGTGTGTTGAGATATTGAGTTCACACTCTGTTGTAATGCAGGGGCATGTATTTGAATAGCTGCCTACACACTTTGCTGTAAAACCTGCTTCTTAGCGAAGGGGTAAACCAGCTTTTTGTGCCAAAGAGCTCAAGTGAAGTGATCATGTTCTTTGCTGCAGACTCGCTCTTTTTGCACACCGTGAGGATGGGCCTGGCATTCCACAAGAAGTGAAGTTGTTTGACATCTTCTCGCAGCAGGTCGCAACTGTCATTCAGGTACATAATAAATGGGGGAGTGTAAGTCTTCATCAGACTTTGTTTTAATACATACTACACATTGTGCCCTCTTTATGAAATTGATGTAAATGGTGCCACTGAGATTTCCAGGCACAAACGCTTAATTTCATGTTGGTTGTAACTGTACTGTGGAATTGCAGTCCAGGCAAGATATGCCCACTGAGGATGTGGTGTCACTACAAGTGTCTCTGATCAACCTGGCGATGAAGTGCTACCCAGACCGAGTGGATTATGTGGACAAGGTCCTGCAGACTACAGCTGACATTTTTGGCAAGCTCAACCTGGAGCAGTGAGTCAATCTGTGTTTTACAAATGGTCAGAATAATGTTTTCGTATTGTATTTAATAAATAATAAGTACTGCCGACATCTTGGGTGTGTTTCCAGGAAGCTGCCCGTGATTACGCCGGCTTTGCAAAGTTGTTAGTTGATGGTCTCGGCCTGGTCAATAATGAATTTGTTTTTGCATTTAAGTTTCATAAACGTCTATTTTTGTAGTAGCGGGGGTGGCAAAGTGCTGCCCTGTAATGTTGAGGTTTCAAAAGTAGTTCTGTGATATATCCTTCCATGGACTCTTCTCTAACATGCGGTGTTGCCCTGCGAGAGTTCCAAACAGATTCTTCATCTCATGACACCCGATAGTACAATTAGGATAAAATAGTTTTTTTATACACGTGAAGCTCATGAAAACTAAATGCATTTACGAATATTGTTTAAATTAACAGTTAATTGTGGAGAAGATGTATGCGCTGCCATTACTAATACAATGCATTCAAGACTTGAGAAGAAAAGTAGAAATAAAAATTATTTTCTTGTGTTTTTGCAGTGTGGCCACTAGCAGTGCCGTGTCTAAGGAGCTGACGCGTCTACTAAAGATCCCGGTGGACTCGTACAACAACGTGCTCACCATCCTGCAGCTGAAGCACTTCCGCCCACTGTTCGAGTACTTTGACTACCAGTCGCGCAAGAACATGAGCTGCTATGTGCTGGGCAATGCCCTTGAGCATGACACCAATGTCCCCATGCAGGATCAGGTTAGCTTGTGACCCCCCCCCCCCTGCCCCCTTGTCTCTGTGTGGGATGCATGCGTCTCGTACTTATTATTCAGAGGTGCTTAAAGACATGTATATTGTGCACATTTTACGAATTATGCTTTGCATCAAAGCCATAAATATACAGGCTGGATTGTCACGTAGTGAAATAGTTTTTATGGGTGCGCCGAGGTGGTGAGATGTTCACTGCCTTGCCTAGCATACAGGAGGTCATGGGTACGATCCCGACCCTGACGCTTGGATATTTGGAGTTTTCATGTTCTCCCTGTGATCCTCCGGTTTTTCCCTCCACATTTAGAAACATGCATTTATAGTATTTGGCTGCTATAAATTTCGACGTGATGAGCCACTTCATTGAGCTATCATTTGTAGGCATGTCGCCTCTGAAAAAGAGCTATAATAGCTCCGTTGGCCTTGCCTGGTAAAATGTAAATAGTTTAATCGTTTAATCGTTCTAATTAAAAGCTGAAAAAACACTCTTTGAAGCGAATATTTATTTTATACAGCGATATTATCAACTATTATTTTTAGGCTAGAGAAAATTATCCATTAAATGGAGTTTTTTTGTAATTAGTGAGTTTCAATTACATAAATAATGCATAATACAATGTGGATGACAAGAGGTTCAATATAACCGCTGTAAAAAAATACTTGTTGTCGATATAAACTTGTGAACATGAATGTTGTACAGTGTGGAACCCAAAATACAAATAACATACTTTATAGATGTGCACCTGCAGTGTTTCCCAGGCTATGGATACACGTCATCAATGAGGACAAAAACCAAGATCATAACATCAGTCGAAAGCTTTGCTCTGCAGTGATGTCATTAAATTGAATATGTTAAAACATGTGGAAGTGATGTCACTAAATTGCCAATTATGCACTTAATGTTTGTAAACTCTTTATTTCTTATCAAACTTTAGCACTCGCGTCTAATAGACCATGTCTAATAGCCCAGCACACACCCTAGGTATGTATCTACAAGTTTAACGTGTAGGCTTTAGTATGACTATGAATCTACAAGATAAGATATTTATTGTCATTGGTGCATGATCTCTAAAGGAAGTCCAAAATTATGAACGGTGGCATCGTAGTGACGTGAAACCCTCTTGCCATCCCGCCCAGGTGGACTCGCTGCTGACCCTCGTCTCATCGCTGGTGCAAGACCAGCCAGACCAGCCAACTGAGGAGCCGGACCCCGAGGACTTTGCCGAGGAGCAGGGCCTGGTGGGGCGCTTCATCCACCTGCTCAAGGCTGAGAGCCCTGACCAGCAGTACCTGGTACTGCTCACATACACTCCTCGTTGAAACTTTAAACACTTACCACCATTGGAATATATAGTGATGGCCTACATTTAACAGGCTCCTGCACTCACCACAGCAAGTTGTAATGGTGCATGCCTGTAATCCAGCGCTTAGGGGGCAATGGTAGTGTATCAGGCTGATTCGTAAAACTCTCCAAACTGCTGGGCTGCTGGGTGGCCAGGAGATGATAGTGCACTTAATGGGGTTGTGAACCTGTCTGCAGAATTTAGTTATCCTCTTGTTCAAGTCGGTTTTCTCCATTTACTCTTGCACTGTTTTCCGTCAGCACATAAAACAGTCTTAAAATGAATTGGCTAACTCACCTAAAACAGTCTTGAAAACTGAGTGAAGCTCTCCTGGATAGTATTTCAGCACAATAACTGACGTATTCTTCGACAGTGAGTGCATAATAAACCACTTCTCTTTAAAGGAATAGAAGAGAATAAATACACAGTTTACTGCATGTGCTTAACCTTTTTCTTAGGGCGAGCAGGTCTTTAGGTTTCTCCATCATATCTCGTTCAAAATAGTCAGGAACATGCACTCATTTTGCAGGTCATTTTTGGACTTTGCTAAATATGGGTCTAACCATCATGTATTTTGTCTACTTTGTGCTTATCTATTTGTGTATTTTGGTTGTATTCCACACACTGACGTTAATGCAATTCAAATTATGAAGAATATTCAATTCATGCCACCGCAGCGTTGTATATTATTCATGTATACCAATAGGCAAGTATGTATCCATGCATATGATTTGCCCTCAGAACATCAAACTCGTGCATCATCAGAATCTATATACTCGTAATAAGCTGCTCCTGTTTGTTTGTGTATCTTTGTCTGAAGAACTCTTAGACTGCTCCATCCATCTCGGTCAATGAGGTGTTATTTATGGGCTTATGACATGGAGTATGCGATCAAGGTAGAATTACAAAAAATATATACCTTTGACCCAATTATTTGGCTCATCAGCTCTGGTGCATGACATGAGCCCTGCAGTCCTTAAAAATGAAATCAGAGACATGTGCCATTGGTGTGTGCGGTGAGCCAGTGCATCTCAACGGGCTTTCTATTATATTTAGCTGATGTTGGAGGCATACATCATGGGTGTCGGGGTGCTATATGCTGGCTTGCCAGAAGAATACAGGATAGCAAATGTGGACCCCACCTGTTCTATCTTTATGGGTTCTCTCCGACATGTAAACACATTAATTTGGTGGCAACACCTCAATATATAGAGGACTACAGAGCTTGGGGATTTTTGCACCAGCTCACAGCCTGGCTGCCTTTCCTGCTTGTCTTTGGTTCCTTGTACCTCGAGTGATTCTCTTTTTTCGAAAGTGAGTGAACACTGTGCGCATTGCAAGTTGACATTATTATAAACTGGTGAGTGGTAAAGAGAAGGTTGCGTTGATGAGTGGTCAATGTCAGGTGCCTGGTGAATGTCTGACATGGGTCAGGTGAATGTCGTGTCATGTGAGTTTCACGTCTCCCCATCTGTATATCGGGCTGCACACTTGTTTTATTTCGACCAACATAAGTCATGGTGTTACTCTGTCCATCTCAGATTCTAAACACGGCGAGAAAACACTTTGGAGCCGGAGGAAACCAAAGAATACGGCATACTCTGCCACCCCTGGTTTTTGCTGCTTACAGACTGGCCTTCTGGTACAAGGAATGTGCTCAGATGGTAAGTGAGAGAAGATGGAAAGAATGTGTTAACTGTGATCTCGGCCACATGCTGCAGTGGGTATATTACGTGCTGCACGATTTCCCTGTCATAATAAATTTTCCTAGTTTTAAAATGATTCTCGTTCATTTTGAAAAAAAGATTGAATATCTATTGATCTACTTGCAGGATGACAAGTGGGAAAAGAAATGCCAGAAGATCTTCACATTCTGTCACCAAACCATCGGTGCACTGATCAAGGCAGAGCTTGCGGAGCTTCCTTTGCGCCTTTACCTCCAGGGGGCTCTTGCAGCCGGAGAGATTGCTTTCGAGAACCACGAGACGGTCGCTTACGAGTTCATGTCACAGGTTCGTTTGCGTGCTCTGTTGTGAGGGCTTGAACCACAGCAGTTGGGGCTGGTGACATTTTGAAATGTCCGCAACTGACATTTCAGAATGACTGACGTCGCATGGAAATGTATGTCGGTGCAATCGTTTTCCTCTGACTCATGCCTATAATTCGGTACGACAGAGGGACAAGGGTTGGCAGATCATATAGGTCAAAGTATAGAATATGAATTCTTTGCATATATGTGAATATTGTCTCATGCATGGGTTGTCTGGGTCTCTGGTGCCCTCTTACATGCCACTTCAAAAATATCACAATTCAGAACATGAGTGAAAAGGTCTTGATACTTGAGGCTTTTTATTGGAAAAGGTATAATTTTAATTATTGTGGTTGGAATTTAATTTTGGTTGTAATTTTTTACGTTTAGCTGTTGGCATGATTTGATTAGATTTTTCATACTTTGCCCGCACACATTCAGGAAACAAATTTGTCGATTTGCAGGCGTTCTCGTTGTACGAAGATGAGATCAGCGACTCGAAAGCGCAGCTGGCAGCAATCACGCTCATCCTGGGCACTCTCGAGCGCTGCCACTGCTTCTCAGAGGAGAACCACGAGCCTCTGCGCACGCAGTGCGCCCTCGCGGCCTCCAAGCTGCTCAAGAAGCCCGACCAGTGCCGTGCAGTCACCGTGTGCTCTCACCTCTTCTGGTCTGGCCGCACCACTGAGTCAGGGGGCAATGAGGTAATGTGAACACTCGCTGTCTTTTAGATATACAGGCGTACCCCAGTTTACGCCCAGGATGCATGCTTTCCTGAAAACCTGAACGGTAATCAAAAGTACTTGAATCGAAGCAAAGAGATGGGATGGTGGATCGTAACGTAGTACAGAACATAAACATAGGATGCTCAGTAAGCCATTGTACATCTATATTGCTAAACCATTGGTGTGAAAGGTAAGTGTATATTATTGATATACAGTAGATCATTGATTAACCGGTGGCTTTGGGGGCAAGGGGGTGCCAGATTTTTATTAAACGCTGGATAATCACATTATTTAAAATATCTTATTTTTGCACATTCATTTATAACATGTTTTTAGTTTTATTTTTTTCGTGTTTTACATTTGTTTTATTTTAAATCGCCATAAACATACAAATAGACAAAATAAATATCCTCCTGTAAAAATTAGCTATTTACTGTACCGTACTTACCACTCTAATCTCAGAAACTCTGCATGGGGTGATTTATGTAGGCGCTTATTTAAAACATGTTTTTGACGCTCTCTGGACCGATGCAGCCTTCAGACCGGTGCTCCAGCAAACGCTGAATTACACTCACTTTTCTCCGGATCGCACTGTATATATATTTTTTTATTACTGTAGTTATTAGTCACGAAAATATATAGTGCAGTATTTTCAATGTTTAAGTTTTATCTAGTGTATAATTTACTGTATTTAATATTTCGCACTGAAATCAAGCATAGCTACTTTTTTTTGTCACGAACACAGTGCCGATCGCCAAACTTTGGAGCAGTTTTGCCGGATTGGCCCAGGACCGCCGGATAATGTTGACAGCCGGAAAACCACGCACCAGCTAATCGATGATCAACTGTATTAAAATTTCTGCTATTATGTATTTATTATTATTAGTTTATCATCTAAAACTTATTTTACACTTGTATAAACATAGGTGCCATAGAAACGGTATGTGGGGGAAAAAAATATTAACTGTACGTGACCGTATGAAAGAGATGACTAATCAGAAACGCTAACGCTCTGGCGCCATCTGGTGGATGAATGTCGCCATGCCACGTCAGCAACGTGGTGTTGCTGTGGCCTGATGAAGCTAGTTGTAATTACTAATGGCAAAAGTTGTACTCAAATTTAAATGTTGTGGATTTGCTCTCCAACACACCGGTGTGCTGGACTAGTAACGAATTGGAATGATCTGTTTACGCGACAAACCTTACTAATCGGCTGTGTCGGGTGGCGACGGGTTTAACGAAACATTTATATATACGCGATCTAACCCAAAAAACCTGTATTATGGATGATATTGGTCGCGAAAGCCTATGTGTTAAACTAACGTGGTGTTGTTAATAGTAAAGTCGTAAATCTCGAGTACGTTACGGCGAGGTCACACAGTATGTAAAACGGGATTGGGTATCAATATGTGGAATACGTTAAAGTGGAAGTGCGTACAACGGGAGGGCGTGGATCGTGGTATTCCTATCTACTCATTGGCTGTTCCTGCAGTTTGCTTTTGGCGTCACGTCATGAGACAAAGGATTACTTTGGAAATATCACAAAGCCGTTTGCTGCATATGTCAGAGATTGAGCTCTCGAAGAGGTTTTTCCATAGGATTTGTGAAAAATATTTAAGTGGAATAAAAAAAAAATCCTTTCGAGGGTAGGGGGATGCGTTTTCACATGAACGATGAAATATATTGTTGCATTACCTTTACACCAGTGTAATTCTCAGATCTGGAATTTAGCCAAATGAAGTGCAAAACCATACTTAATATAATGTTGTATTATGCGATCATTCATTACCAAACTGATAACATTAGCTCGCTGCACTTGAGAACCCAGTTTAGTCAGACAGCTGTCCAGATTTGAGCCCAGAATCTGAGCAGTGGGGCTCCGTGCCCTGACCTTGGCGACCTGTCCACGTCTGTCTTGTGCTTTACAGAAAGATTGTGGTGCCCTATGCAACCCAGTGCACTTATCATTACGTAATTACGGAATGTGTATAATAGTGTTTTTTAAGTAGTGCATAGCCATGCCGTTTTATATATTTTGTAATTCTATAATATTAGAAACGATGCACATGTATCGCATCATTCAACTTTTGCTTTGTAAATATTAAAGAAAAAAACTTGCATATCTTTCCACATTACATACTAGCTCCGTGATGGGAAACGGGTCATGGAGTGCCTGAAGAAAGCTGTGAAGATCGCCAACCAGTGCATGGACACCTCCTTGCAGGTCCAGCTCTTCACAGAGATCCTCAACAGATACATATTCTTCTATGAGAAGGGAAATGAAGCTGTGAGTATGGCTTAACACATTTTTTGTTCCCGTCATTTACTTCATAAACTTCATAAGTTCAATCAGCAAATGTTCCTTTTTATCTTATGCTCCCCCCCCCCCCCCCAATTCATAATCCATGTATATGGCTTGAAAGATTGTTTTGATTGTAGTTTTATTTTTTTAAACTGACAACGCGTACTGGGATCTCACCCTTATATCGACATGTGCAGGCTAACCAAACTGATGTTGCTCTGCAGGTTAGCATCCAGGTGCTGAACCAACTCATCCAAAAGATCCGGGAAGAGCTTCCCAACCTGGAGTCCAACGAGGAGACGGAACACCTGAGCAAGCACTTTCAGAACACGCTGGAGCACCTGCGGCTGCGACAGGAGTCTCCTGAATCTGACGGGCCCTCCTACGACGGCCTTGTCCTGTAACCCCCCCCTCCAGCGCCGCTTCTTGTGCCCGAACACCCACACATTCTGTCCATTGCTCCTCTTGCATCTTTCTCAGTCCAGCACTGACCCTGTGCGTCCTCAATGTGCTATTGGGCTCTTGTGCAGGCAAGCACTCTTTTAATGATGCTGATGCTGCATGCACTCGTTCACACGTGGCAGTGGCCTGTGTTATTTGGGTGAATTGACACGTGGTGAATGACTTGACTGTACCTTATTATTATTTGGCTCACTTTGCCTTGTTCTGTGATGTTGGCCTTGTCATTTATTTGCCCATCCCAGTATTGATGGTTGTTTCGTGATAATCTCTCACAGATTACAAACTATTATTTCATAACATCTTTTGCACTTTTTGTTTCTCAACTTGCATGCCGAAATTATTTACCTGGCAGAGAAAGATGCATTAGGAATGTGCCTTATTCAAATTTACATTACAAGTATGACATTCTTAACATCACTTGAGTCCTTTATTTTGTCTGGGCCTGTTTAATATTTTCCCCTTAGACAATGCATGTTAGATGTAGAATCTACATGAATCTGTAATCTGGGCACAAACTTTATTTAGCAAATATTGTTGATCCATAATTGAATAGCTACTACCAGCCACCCATATCCTGTTTAATATTGTTGCAGATATATGTTTAGTTGCTTAACCTCTGCACATTTCTGTAGGAAGTAATTGCAAAACGTTGTAAAGGACTTGTTTACTGAAATCAGTGGATGTTCATGCTTTATTGCCATGTTTAAAATAAAATAGGAAAAACAAGTCAGTTTCTATGTGATTTTCCATGCTTTTTATTATAAAAAAAATTGGACACAGTATTTACTGTCCACAATATATGTCACAAGCTCAAAAAACAGCATTAGCAGATTAATGTTCTGGATATATTGCTTCTCAACCAATATTAATTGGTGATGGATATATTGCTTCTGAAGAGTTGTAGCTTTTCAGACTGTAAATTATTACATTCTCTTATGTTGAGTGTTAACCGTGGATACCGGGGCCATTTGTGATAAGGGTTGACATTTTCTGTCCTACCAGAGTTGACTTTCCAACTGCTTTGCATTGAAAACTGTCATATGTCTGTGTTGTGCTTGAGTTGATGGCTGCATCTAGGATCATTGGCATGTTGGATGAGAGTTCACTTGTTGAAAGGTTGTTATACGAGTGTTTTGAAACAGGTGTGGGATCTAATCGTTGGACATGGGCTACTACTTTGGAAGGGAGTAGTTTTTTTGTTTTACTTACAAATTATGCTAATATGTTATAGCCAATTCAAATATGTACTCAGTGTTGGTATGCACCCAATGTTTTTTTCTTGTGCAAATTTTTATTTTGTAACTAATCCCATCGGTAAATTGTGTACAGAGGAATTCTATATTTCTCTTGCAACAAGTTGTGATCGTGATTTAATGAAGTTTTCTTGGGCATCATGTTTGTTTGTCTTGTCATATATCTACAAATGTTTTAGTATCTTTGAAAAAATGTGTAACTTAGATACCTTTAAAACTTCCAACACTTGTGCAGTTTAATTATCACTGTTAGTGTAACAATATGAACACAACTCTTTCCAGTGTCATTTCCGTTTATGTGGAGAGGTTAAAAGCATGGATGAGAAATTTCGAGAGTAAAATCACGTTCCAAGCATTAAACTAATTTTCAGGTTGCAGTTTTGTTTCTGTTGCAGCTAAGCTGATGGAAGGAATTCATGATTTGTAAAAATGGAGCGCTTCGAAGTGAGGTGCACTGCTTTGGCGTACCACTGGTACTCGTTTCGCGTTAGGAAAAGAGTAATCGACATTTTGTTAGTCGATGCATACGTTTACGCATAGGGCTGTACGGTAGGGGCATGTAGCCATGTCATGCGAGTGTCGATTTTAACGGTGAAAAATATTCGGTCGGAACAATGGTAAATATCTTGAAATGGACCAGAATCCAGTTTATCAGTCGTCAAACGTATTATTCTATACCAGCAGAAAGCGTTGTAACAGAATGTTGGTGAGAGACGTCAGCGTGCCACTTCTTCCACTTAACAAAAACCTACATGGCGCTTATGACCTCACCAACCCTTAATTTTCCTGATTACGTCTCCCCTCTGAAGCCAAACAAGTAAAATCCAGGTAAGTACTTTTAGGAGTAACAACACCCCACATGTTGATGAATACTCGCAAGGCATTGGCTGCCCGCTGTCCTAAGTACACAAAACCTCGGGGTTTTGTTCTTCTATTGAGTCATGTATTGGTTTATACAGTAGTTAGTTATTGCCTGTGCACGCTTGCATGCACAAGTTAGTCTCCCCTAGGACTGAAGATGATCGGGGAAGGGTTGGATTGTATGTCTTAAAGTTGAGATGCAGCAAGACGGGCATGCGGTGTGTTACATTGACATAGGCAGCTGTTTGCTTGTGTAATTGCAGTACTAAATTACAACGTGGATGTTACTTTAATCGGACAGTCATGGAAATTATAAGTTCCCGAACACACTTTGCTGATGAAAATGTTAATTCCCATTTGAATTCACTTAAATGCATTCACTTTAGTGTAGTGCAAATGTATAGACCTTGATTTATTTTGCATGTTAACATTGTTAACAGTACCATGCAAATATTCAATAAAGTGTAATGGATTACGGATTGAATGTTGTATTACTTCCTAATGTGTAAGGGGATCCGTAAGAGCTGTGTTCATGCTTTGGATCTTGATGATTTTGAATTCTTTATAAGATTGCTCAATTGTACACTTGGGAAGTTCATGCAAATAATGTTTTCAATCCACCAAATGGCGATAACATTGAACATTCATCTACATTGAGCTCGGGGTGGGAGGGGTGTTGTATATATGTATTTTCAAAAAATATATATTAATCTGCCTTTTTTTTATTTTAATAATTTTGCCTCCTGCCTCGCCACACAAGGGACAGCTGTGGAGGTCATAAAATGTAATTTAAAGAAACCCCCATGCAGGGGGGCCAAGGAGATTCTGTGGTAAATTCCAAAAGTGACATCAAGAGGAAAATGCCATAAAAGAACAACACGTACACCGGACAAACAGCAGGGGTCACGGAGTTCCCCAGACAGTGAGAGCCAGCCAGGGGCGGGGTTGGGCATTGCGGGCGGACTGGGGTTTTAAAATACAAGAGTAGAATTCGAAGTAGCTATATCTTCAACCTCAGGATATCAAAATATAACTTGAGAATAAGAAGCACGGATCCCTGGCGATACAGATGGGGAACAAAGGTTAATAAAACCCTTGGAATACCCTTGGTAACAACTATTGTATACAATAAATATTAGTTAAGCAAATTTTAGTCATTCGTTTTCGTTAATTGCATAACCTTACCAATGAAATTGATGATACACTAAACATTTATAAGCATCTATGTTACGAATCCACACTCAGGAATACTATTGTGTTGAGATTTTTCTTTTGATCACAAACTTGACCGCGTATTCATTGATGTCCCATTAGCCAATTGATAAGCATCTGTTAGGAAAACAGGCACACTGCCGCACACTTGTTCCAGGACATTTCGTTAATTGCATAATCTTACCAATTAACTCATTTATGACACACTAGACATAAGTATCCCATCGTCGTGTGGGGTCGCGCTACTCTTGAGGGGTAGCCTATTGTTCTCATTAAAGCCCATTAGCCAATTGATAAGCGTCTGTTAGCTAAACATACACTCGCACATTGTTGCGGGACATTTCTTAACTACATAATCTTACCAATGAATTCATTGGTGTCTACTTTTGTCTTGGGCACATGTTTCTTTATGACTGTTCATATAAATAGTGTCATTATTTATTTAAGGACTTCCTATCGCCGTGTAAGGTCGTCCTACTCTGAGAAATTATCCGATTGTTCTGTTGCTGAGTTTTAACAAACCTAACTATTGAGGGTTAATTGTACGGATCAATGATTAGGGCATCTCCCGGAGTACTGTGTTGACAATTCCGAGCATAAGTATTCGCATATTAGTGTTTTTAGATATTAAAGTTGCTTAACACAAGAGTCTGAGTGGTTCCTTCTGAATTGTAAGAACTGTATCCTGCGGTGAGATCTGAATTTTGAGACCTGACATAAATAGACTGAAACAATCAGTAAAAGTTAAAGCGAGAATCATTGTATTATCACAATTGGTAATACACCCGTGACAATGACGCCGAGCCTAATTAGCACAATTGCATGTATTTGCATAATTGCATTTTAAAATTACATCTTTTATTATTTTTAAAGACTATATACAACAGGGTGACATGTCCTGGCAGGAGCGCGTTCGCCACTTGTTCGGGTTCAAGGTTTGCACTGAGTAATAACCACAATACAGCAACAGTGCTTCCCAGTGGACCCGAAAGATCCCCTGACATCATTTGCAAGAGGAGGAGGTGGCTCTTGTGTGCCAGTGTCAGGGGTGCAAATTGGAAATTGCCTGCAAACTCGATTGTGATGACACATCGCAATCTTGGCCCCCTACTGGTAGGTTAATGTCCGTTTGCAGGCCAGGTTTTGGGTCAACGTGTGTGCTCAAAGGGGGGACCGCATCCACTGGAGGTGCATCTTTAAAGGCCGCTGGCTGCGTGATGTAAAGCGCTCGTGCGGCAGCACCACCCTGTCGCATCGGGTGCCAGTATCAGAACCAAGTAATCGCAAAAGCTTGTGTCCACAAACGTTCCTCCCTTTTTAGGTGCAGTTTTTTTCCCATGACAGTTATTGAAGGCTTTTAAGTGGCCGTGCATATATACGTTTCCATATCCAACTCGTTGGCGACGTAACATGATACTTTAAATCATAAAGAAACTGCCCAGTGCATCCAACGTCGAACTCAAAAAAGGTGCAGATACTGAGTACTAATGTGTATCAAAAATGATTTGTACCAATTTTATTCATTTCTTTTAGGCCAGAGTACAAAATGCTTCATTGTAAGTCCGCTTATTTAAATAAGTAGGTCCCCATTTAGAATGGTATAAATACAAAATGTTTACAGCACAACATTGGCGATGCAATTACAAAAATCATTGCACCATGATAACAGTGAACATAGGTCGGTAACCAAAAATATTTACACGGCGAAATGTGCAATCTTAAGAGTCAATTATTGGGGCGATACATTATTCCAACAGGCTTTTACAAATGCTCCAAGTGAGCAGAGTTCTATAAAAGTGAAATAGCGTCACGTGCTTAGTTTATATATGAGGACGTTATGACAATGTTCGACTTCAAAGTCGTGCACATTACTGACTAAAACATTTGCAGTTAAACCCATCACGAAATGAACCCTTAAAACCTGGAGCTCACTCATGGCTAGAGAATCTTGACGTGGTGGTTGTGAAATGCAATGCATTTTCTCGTCAGGATGTGAGCAAGGCCATTCAGCAGCATGAGGAAGATCGTTGTTAACATCACAATCACAAAGTGGCTGATGCTGCAGAGAAAGAAAATACATTCCAAGGGGTAAGAAAATGACACACAAAAGGTGCACATTGCCATTTACAAACGAAATTGTTGCTGAGAGTGAGTCACAATGCTCAATGTTATATTGAACAGTGGTGGGTGTAGAAAAGTAATGTGATGGCAAGAGGCTGCTGAGATTAAAAAAAAATGAAATAAAAACCTTGTTCCAATGTCGAGCCAGCTTCCATAGTCTTGTACCAAAAAGAAAAAATGCTGGAAAAATTATCAAAATTTGGGTAAGACAATACAATGATGGATTTAATAAATATTTCAATGCATTTGTACCTCGAGACACCGAATGTGATATATTGTGACTTTCTAGTGAATGTTAATGCTTCATGGCTTGACAACAGAATACATCCTGGCTAGTATTTATACATGCACACAGTTTATATTAAATATATGCCGCGAGTTTTAAGGGGTGTTTTAAGTTGTGACGAATGATTATAACAGTCTGATGGTAACGTGTTCTTGCTTTGGTACTCACCACAGCCATAATATCAGACAAGATGAGCACAATCAGGAAAAGGCTGGAATTGGGCAGAATAAAATGTGGTCACAAAACAATTCAAATCCAACCTAATACATCAACCCAATCATTTTATTTAACTATTGTAGTTAAAAATAACAATAAACATGACCTTGGGGTCATTGAAGGGACATCTCATTGCTGTTTACATGTTCTGCCGGTGGTCACGTGGATTTTTATCCAGATCCTCCGGTTTTCCTCTGCACATTTAGAAACATGCATTTTGAGTATTTGGCTGCTATCAATTTCCACATAATAACCAACTTCGCGTCTGAAAAATAGCTACATAACTCAGTGGGCCTTGCCTGGTAAAATAAAACACGTTTAGTTTCAGTGTCTTCCCTGTGGCTATGTTTATTAATAGTGGCGGCTCTCAGGTATACACGACAATTGCAAATATGTAAAAGTGTACTCGTGTAGATGTAGTGGTGTTCGTTACATTACCTCTTAGAAGAAAGTCGCGTGCAATCTTGAACAGCTTCAAAAGCACACATAACTACGATGAAAGGAATAAGGATCTGGGGGGGAAATAAGACAATAAATACGGTAAGATGGTATCACCAGTAACAATTTTGCAAGCATTTTGATATTGTCTAATCACTTAAATGCAAAGTAGGTAGCTAATTTGTCCAGAAATTTGGGCTGTAGTAAATCACCCCCATGGCAAATCAATTGTCATTATTCGGTCACATTGTGATTCAATCTCGTCTGTCAACATTATGGTGAATGTAGCGACCTCTAGTGGCTATAAAGGTGACGTGAACCCATCACAAGATACAAATCGAAAGACATTGCTTCTTACAAACACGATTAGATGCATCTATCGTGAGCTTAAGCATTAACATGAATTGATAAAGAGTTGTTTGTTACAGCCTCTACTAGCGAACTGTCGAAATTAAATCTTACTCCTGTAGTCTGGGAATGTCTAGTTGCTGTGCTAAATCATGTTTTGACCACAAATGGTTGCCGAGGGAATGCTGCGTCATTATATTATTCCCACTACAGTTTGTGTTATGTAAATAAAAAGGTAATTTCCTGCACCCCCCCCCCCCCCCACCGGCCTATTCACTGTCTTTGTACAATGACCTTTAGTCGATAAGAGGAGAAAAAGCAGCCCATGGTTGGTGTGCAGAGGTTTGTCGTGAAAGGGACTTACCTTCCACATCATGAGTGCGCCCATCAAGAAGGGGCTGAACACTGTTGTGAAACAGTAAACTGATGCAGGGTCAAAGCTAGGAGAGAGCAAAGAACAAAATATGTCTTCACTTTGATTGACATCGTTTGCGATATTCGTCGTTCACCTTTTAGGGAACGCATCCCCAACGCAAACCGGTGTATGACTGTAGTTGCCAGGCACAGTAATTACCTGTTAATGGAGGCGATGTTTCCGGTTCCAAAGAAAGCCGATATAATAAAAAACACCTGTTGATGAGAGTCAAGAAAAACAATGGTATATCGAAAAGGACGTGCATATTATGAAGTGCTCTTGTGTTCACGAATCAAATAAGACGCGTGTGCAAGCTTGCTCAAAGGATACAAAAAAGTAACCCCTTCGGATGTCATCCAGTTTGAGATGTCTCCACGTGTCAAAGGCAGACGAGGTGAAATCCATTTTTGATAACTGATGAAAAGCAATAACATAACAAGAATTATTGTCTTGACCTTATGGCGGTTTAGCCATCTTGCCTGTTATGTACCTAAGGAAACCTGCGTAGTTTTCTGCAACGTAAAAAAACAATCGTTTGGCATACCTTTGCTCACAAATTTTACCAGTGTGAGCAAATATGATAGGACATTTACATAGTTGAAGAAATGTTGTTGAGCAGTTTACCACTCTCAACGGTGACTCAGGGTCGCAATTCAATTCAATAATCAATTATATTGTATCGTTATTTAAGTCTGTTTATTGTTTTTCTATCTGATTTCAACAGTTTTGTTTACTGCATTCGTCACTGCAATATGACATTAGCATGTAATTTGCTTATAATTTACACGTATTGTTAAAAATAAATTCTCACACACACGATTCCATGCACGTTTCTAAATGTGGAGGGAAAACCCAGAGAATCCGGAGAAAAATCTACGCGACCACGGGGAGAACACGCAAACTCCAAGTGTACAGGCGTCAGGATCGGGATCGAACCCACGACCTCCTGCATACCAGGCAAGGCAGTTAACACCTCGCCACTGTGGCGGCCCGCGTTACGGCTTAACGCACAGTGTAGAAACATGTGCCGTGTGGTGGCGGCGGAGGAGTCGTCGCGTCACCTCGCCACGAGGTGCCAGGCCCTGGAGCCGAGCCGTCCTGGCCTCCACGCACACCCAGGCCAGCATGAGGCCCTCGAGCGAGAGCGTGAACAGGGCCTCGTGTCTGCAGGCTCCGTCAAGGAGGCTCAAGGGCCGTCGCATCCGAAGGGGGGTGGTGGCGGGGGTTCGTGTGATGCCTCAAAACTCACCGCCATCAAAGGACTTCACAGTGGTCTGCCTACAAATGTAGCTGTGATAGAACAGTGTAATAAGTACTGCCGTGGGGGACTATGGTGAATAAAACAAGTAGACAATTGTAATTTTATACACGTAAATATGCAATACGTTTGAGTCCATAAACATGGGGGTCTTCTGAACAGGCTACGCGATCTTGCTAGATGGCCGTTGCCTACAAAATCTGCCAACCCAGTATAATTTATTTAAGGAGCCTAACTCTGCTGATGAGGCCCAGAAGGCTGAAAATGAGTTTGCTCCCTTAAACAATTACTGCTGGAAAGGAAGTCTGGAAGGATCATGTTGATGAATTAGTACAATATTTATGTTTTACATGGAGATGGACGTTTCTCTGCTTATTTATGTATGTGTCATATATATGCCCACAGATGTAATTGAAAACATAAATTGGTGTTGAAAATTACAAGACAATTCCCACTGAATGTGCTGCGCAATAATGCGCCTTCCGAAGGATACGAGGTGCTCATTAGGAGGTAGGGGGACATGAAAGCCAGGTACACGCTGAGCAGGCGGTGGATCACCAGGGTGGGACTCAGCATTGGCACCAGAAGAGACGACCCTGATGGCATGGCAAAAATAACGCATTTACGTTCAAATAGAAATGCATGGTTTCATAACAAAAATTCGCAGCTTTTTATCAATCTATGCAGGATGAACGACTCTCCACATGTCAGCCATGGAAGTTGTGTAAACACACTTCACCACGTTGGCTAGTGTGGGTTTGTGTAGGGAGTGTTGAGGACTGGTTCCCATTATCACTTGCCACTGATGTGAGCTGTGGCCAGGTATTGAACTCAGGTCTCTGAGTTTACAGAGCAATAGGCTAACCAGTGCGTCATCACACCTTCGAATGATTAGTAAATTGTTTTTAGCAATGCACTGTTCATAATTAAAAACTATACACTCTCACGTTATTGTCAAAGGGCAGCTGGGCGTGATGCTGGCCACAAACCCTCTCGTGTGCTGCGCCGACCTTCACAGGTGCTCGCTAATAACACCTGCACCAAGTCAGTTAAGGCTATACAGGGGATCTTTGTCTTCATTGTGCGTGAAAAAACTGACCAAGCGTGGCCCAGCTGGTGATTTGGTTGAAGAGGGGCAGGCCCTCTTTTGCGGCAAGACTGCCATGTGTGCTGCTCACAATGTAGACCGACATCGCCACACTGCACATCTGTCCAGAGACGAGAGAAGCATGTCATCCAAAGACGTACATCAACATTTATTTCAGTGCCAGTGAGCAGTGTTAAAAGGCACGTATTATTTTTATGTCATTACCTCTGTTCACTGAGCAGTTACACACTCGAAGCGTGTGACATTTAAATCAAATCTTATGCTCATAATGCATTCATAAAATATTTTTAGCAAAAACGCTTTATTTATATGTGACCATTCTATACAAAAGTTGCTTCCATGTAAATGGAACGAATAAGACAGAACAAGGTAAAACAATCCAGACATTTAATACAAATCGAGATGTAAAATAGATTCTTGATTGAAATCGTGGCCCTGATTTTGTGACGTCATCAAATCGTGGGGATGGTAAACTCGTGTAGTGGGTAGTTTACAGTGCTGCAAACTGGTGAAGGAGCTGCTCCAGGTACATTTTGTGTACCCTCTACATTCAGCCCATGTGGTAAATGGAGACTTGCGCATGTAAGTGATTATTAATAATCGTAATTTGAATCTCTTTGCCAGTCTACTGCTGAATGAAGACTTCCCAACGCTGCCGTGCGTGAGGATTGTTTGACCATACTTCACCACGCTGGTCAGTGCTGGATGGATGAGGCCCAGGACTGGTTCAGATATTACTCTCCAGTAACATTAGCCCTGTGGGCACTGTGTACAATGTACAGCTTCGTCAGTTTTGTCACATCAAAGCCTACTTGTGTCAGACATGTGGCGGTCTGCCACCATGAGAAGTCAGACGTTTTCAACACCCGATGGAGCGCGAGCATCAACAGTGCTGACAACAGGACGGTGAGAGCACCGGCCAGCACTCTGAAAGGTGGACAAACAGCATTTTCAAAAGATGATCATTGTGAACACGTCGATGTCAAAAGTCGCTGCAGCGGCCCGTCTGCACACGGAGTTCTGCTGACGCGAGCAAACCCACACGAGGGAGATGTTGGCATCCCTCCCCACCACCGGCAGCAGGGGGTGGATGGCCAGCAACAGGCAGGAGAGTGACCAGCTCCCAGACACGAGCTGCAGACAGGATGATAGAGACGCCAGCGAATTACAGCAAGCACCGCCACTGTCTCGGAGATTGAACATCTACTATAGATTGTTCTGCTCATAGCCTTTGGGTTTGAATACAGTATTGAAATGTTGGGTGGGCTAGGTTTTGTTCACCTTGTCTTTAGTCCAGAGGACAGTCGTAAAAGGCCACACAGCCAACGCTACGAGCCCCACACTCAGCATCTCGCGGTAAAAGAAACTCAAAACCTGCAAGGATTCAAGGCACAAGTATACATTTAAAATTAATTTGTGAAGAAACCTGCTGCTGCTGCTGTGTGATATAAAAGCCTTACAAAACCGAGGGGAGTAATTTAATCATCACTCACCATTATTTCAATTCCACTCACTGACAAGAGCAAACCTCCGAGCAAAGATTTGAGGCCACAAAGCCGCAATGTCGTCATAACCTTGCGCCAATCTTCCGTGCTGCGGCCGGATTTAAAGAGAGAAATATTACATTTGTTAACTGTGGATCTTTTCTTGGATCATTTGAGCCAAATGAGGCTTCTGATCCAGATGGGTGGGCACCCTTTTGAACTGTTCTGGGGAGAATGCATTAACCATTATGTCCTTATGAAAGTCTCATGCTGCTGTGTATTCAATCTGAAACCTGTTCCTCCTAAACCACAGAATGTTACCTGATATTTTTCACTTTACTCTTATGGGTTCTAAAACTTTTACCTACCGCTGACCTAGAGAAATACAATATATATTTTTTAAGGACAATGCAAAATTGATAATAACAAATGAGATTGTCCTGTATTGTTTACAATGGGGCAATGCACACAGCAGTGTTGGATGGTCACGTTGCTTAAACGTTAACTCGAGGGCACCTCCGATTTGCGGTTGGCTACGTATGGTGCAAAAGAAGTTCAACATATATACATATGCAAAAAAGGCCGTGTGCTTTATACACCTTTTGTGTGATGTCTGAAACACATGGTTTTCCAGCCTGCACTATTTATTCTGTTCCTCATCGTTTACAGATCTCGTTAATGTGTGGGCTGCACGCATGCATTGAGCGCGGGCGTTTGGTGACACGGTGACACCGGCGGGTTGCGCCTGCCTACCTTTGGGTAGCAGCGCCCCAGGTGGCGACGGGCAGCAGGCAGTAGACGTAGTGAGTCCACGGAGAGAACTTCAGCAGCAGGAGCACGACGACCGCCGCCCCAACGGCGAGAGCAGACGCCGCGTGTATGTCTCTATGCTACACGAAAATATCACAAACCAGCCCGTCCCATTTCAGTAAGGCACTACAGAGTAACTACAGCAGATTACCGCTCCAGGACACCTCCAAACCATGACAAGTTTCTTAATAATGTTAAGTTAATGTATATCTTAATATTATACACTGTTTAAATACAGTATGAATTGTTGAGCACTTAGAACAATTGGCTAAATTTGTTTTACATTAAAAAAAGTTTGGTATTTGTTATTTAAATGCATACACCAGGGAACCCCACCCCTGATGTTGAGGACCTGCTTCTTCTTATTATTGTGCATGGCTTTAGTGCACAGCACATGAGAATCTATGCTCAAGCTTGAAAGCCACACGATGGCTTCAGGTGAGTGAATTGCTGCTCCTGCTGCTGCTGCTGCACCTCCGATGAATTTGTGAAGTTCCCACAGCGCGCTCTAAGGTTTGGTCAGGGTCTCCGCAGTCACATTCCGGGCTTTACTTGATTTCCACTTATTAAGGTGGTAACCGGATCTGGCACGGGTAGTCTATGTATGTATGTATGTTGAACTTCTTTCGCACCGTAAGTAGCCAACCGTGCTAATCGGAGGTGCACACGCTATGCGTGCGAGAGGTACGCACCGCTGTGCCTGCACTGGAGGACGTCAGCACGCCAGTGTGCTTGCGCAGCACGAGCAGAACCACATAGCTGATCCAGCCCAGGAAACCGAATGCCACGCTGGTGCCCAGGAAGGCCCGGTCATAGGTGTGGTAATACCGCAGCCCGTCCAGCGCCACGTCAATCAGCCCCCGGCAGGCACTGACCTGCACATCGCAGTAGGAGGGAGGAGTCTGGCACGAATCCTGGCCGTCGTGGGCCTCGCAATCTTGCCAAACACTCCGGTCAGACATTACAATACGAGAAACCCCCCTGAAGGTTTTACGGGATAAACAGAGGACACTGTTTGTATATTTACACGATCTAACCCAAAAAAACTCTATTATGGATGATATTTTGGTTGCGAAAGCCTCCTACGTGTTAAACAAAGGACACTGCTGCCATTGTTATATTTAGATTTGACCTTATACAACTCGTGTCATACTCATTCGTGAAATTGGCCAAGCAACTCCTGAAAGGGTCCTGAGACTCAATAAGGCTTGGTTAAGTAGATGGCATTGTTGTTATTAATTTTATATAGACCAAGAGAGGGGCCCTTTGCCATACCTTTAGTTAAAACTTTTCTTAGGAGACCTGGCTGAAGAGGAAAAGAGCGATCCAAAACATGACTTTGCAAATAAAGCAAATACAGACTGCTGCAACATGAACACATTGTCAAGCAAGGACGTACGGCTTCTTGAAACTTGCGCTGCTCAATGTGGGTCCTGGTCACTGCCAACAAATCCTGCCACCTGCTGTCAGACAGAGGCCTGAGGGTTCAAGAGCCAGGGGGTGGAAGGGGGTAAACCAAAACAGCAGTGTCTCAACAGCACACATGGACAGTAAAATACCTCGCATCACGCTCCATTTTCCTTCAACAGTGAAGAATTAGTGTGAGAAAGCCTTTTAATAATGTAACACTTGAGGAGAACATTACCTGTAAGGTGTGAAGAAAGGGGACAGAGTTTCCTTCTTCTGATTCATTTTCAGCTGCAAAAGTGAAAACAAGGAATCGAGTAGTCATTACTTCGTTAGCACGATTGGCCATTTACGATACCAAATAATGTCAACATACATGCATACAATCATTAAATAGACACACATTACTTAAAGCAGGACAAGTTTAAATTTCGATTTAAAGCTTTCGTGACTGCAGGGATTCATCTTCTTGGTTCTTTCGGTAAAGTCACGTAGAATGGAAATAATAAAATAATAAAAATAAAACATAATTAAATCATTCTCACGACGTTTCGGCCACAACGCAAGCAGCCGCGGAGAAACAGGTCTGTCGAGAAGACAGAGTCTGACTCTGTCTTCTCGACAGACCTGTTCTCCACCTGAGGACGGCTGCTTGCGTTGTGGCCGAAACATCGTGAGAATTATTTTATTATGTTTTATTTTTATTATTTTATTATTTCCATTCTACGTGACTTTACCGAAAGAACCAAGAACAGGACAAGTTTGTGCAGCTTTCCCAAATTACATGGACTAGTTGACAAAAAAGCACTATCCCACCCAAAATACACCAAACACCCTGTGTAACTTTCCACTGACCTGGAACTGCTCCAATATTGCCTGAGCATTTGCAAATATGTTCTCTGCCTTAAAGAGCTCCGAGTTGTTGAGGTAGCCCAGAGGCAGAACGCCCTGCCAAACACATCCCATGCATTAAAACACGCTCGCACGGTCGCGCGCACAAGCACACACACACGCAGGTGGTCGGGGGGCTCAGGGGTCAGAGCACTGAGCCGGTACCTTTGAGATTCTGCGTTAGAATCTGGGTAGGCCATCTGAATGTGCTTTGTGAAGTGTAAAAAGTCAATGATCTCAGCCTGGCCACCAATGACTGCACAAAAAGTACATCAAATTAAATGTGACTTTTAACTGAATTTGGCTAAATTCTCCAGCCCTGACAATTGAAATATATCGGTTTACTTGCTGTGTGACAAACATTTCTCTGTAGCAGTGTAGGAAAGTGCAGTGCTCTCTGACGTTTGGTTAAGAGAAGTAAACTCCTGCTGGCTCTTCTCCAGCACGAATTCAAATAGATACAATTGGGGAAAAAACTGCTCAAACGTGGCTTAAATTGGTATTATTTTCCTTTAAATGTGTCTGTAAAACAATGACAGTTGCACTACTTGTGTGTTTTAGTGCTTTAATCAACTCACATTTTCACACAAGCCACGCACTTGAAAACATTCCAATTCACAACCTCTGAGAAATACCATTCCTTTTTATCTTATACTAACGGACCTAATCTGCTCAAAACAACAAGGGATAAAACTGTAAAACAACCATTTATTCAGATTTAAAGCTTTCGTGACTGCAGGGATTCATATTCTTGGTTCTTTCGGTAAAGTCACGTAGAAGGGAAACAATACAATAATAAAAAATAAAATACAAATATAAAAGCAATATTTTTAAAATTATTTAATTGTTTCCCTTCTATGTGACTTTACCAAAAGAACCAAGAATATATATAATCATTTATTCTATTATAAATGTGAGACATTCACAACTGGTCACGTTTTACAATTACAGAGCTGTACCACTTGCGACATCACTCACTACATGCTTGCTTATAGCATAAGGAAAAAAGAAGTGGTAATCCAACTACGCCTTAGTTTGTCTGTGCTGGACTACGCTGGACTCACCACTGAATTGAGAGGAAAGGGAATCCCAAGGAGAGAAGTCATAAGAGGCGCCACATCAGCCTTTTGGAGACATAAACAAAAATCTTCAACTGCATAACACAAATGAAATGAAATTTTACGTTTCACAAACACTCATAAACCAGTACATTAAAACAAATGGTGCTCTCAATGAAAATGTAGTCACCTGGTTCACATCCATTCTATTAAGGTGGCCAAGACCCCAATCTGAAATAAAATTGAAAAAAAGTTTGGTACAAACTTCACAACTCGTGTCCGATGAGTCAATGATTCCTTTTGCTCTGACAGGCGTGCACAAGCAATTCTTGCTAGCATGGAGTGCCCTGCAGAAGAGTGAGAGCCAGACACATCACGCTTACCTTGTGAGTGAGTGTCTGTGTGTATCTGTCCACCTGGGGGATGTGGTCTATTTACCCCGGCACCCCAGGCTATCAGCGGAGTGAGAGTCTCAGACGGGTGCCCGGCGCCATGTGACCCTGCGGTGGTAACCACGGTGTCACGCGTTGAAGGGCTGAGCATCTACATAATACACAGCTAACCTGTATGCATGTATGTATGAATCACAGAAAAAACTGAACACATTCTTTCAATTCTTATCAGGCCCTAAGGTATAGAAACTCTTATCCACTCTACCACTCTGGCCTATGTTCTGTGAAGAAGGGCCATTGCCAAAAACGTTACCTCTTAGATATTTTTACTTTTTAAGGCAGAATTATTTACGAATGTGTCGATTTTTTTTTTATTTGTGCACAACTGCCAACGCAGCATCACTAAATAATGTGTAGGCACGTATGTATGTTTGTTTATCCAGAGTAACTCTACTACTCCGCTCCACCAATTCCAATGAACGGGTAATCATTAGAAAGTGTATTATTTGTAGTTACATAGAAAAGGGGTAAAATGTTTTTGTTTACCATTGACCTGAAAATACAGGTAGTTTGGCTCATTGGCCCCAATGCTGCTTATCGGCTCCACCATTTATAATGGATGGTTTGAAATGTGACACAAACCACATTACAAAATAATACAACGGGTGGCTCTGTGCCATTAGGGAGGAGTGGGTGCCAGTGATGAGTTACCCATCAGCGTGGTCCCCTCCCCTCAAAAGTATTATAGTTCCATTGAATCGCAATGGGCTTCTCAATAGAATATAAATGTTTGAATTGAACAGAAGCATGTGATTACATTGGTCCAGAAGGCTAAAATTGGAAGGCACGGGCTGCTCACTGACTGATCTCTGCCATGACTAATTTTTTGAAAAACCTACTATCCAGTGATGTTCATTATGAACATACGTCATTTCACAAACTCATGTCAGCAGTGGTGCAAAATTACTGAACGTGGTGTGAAATCCACTGCGGGTCGTATGCGGTTATATTCTCTGACTAAGGCTGTTAAACAGTAATGCATGACGAAGGAAGTTTGGCTACTCCGTTGCTTATTGAATTCCAGGTCTATTATCGTGTACTTGGCAAATTTGTTAAGAGCACGCTATATTTATGGTGTATATTTCAAGTTGCCTTCTGTTTGTGCGAAAATCCAGGAGATGTCGTTATTATTTTGCACAGCTCACCCCAGTCAGTCATGCCGTGATCAGAAGTAAATACGTAAGCGGTCTTTTTGTCATTGCCAAAATAATCTTCGATTACAGACACAATCTCTTCAATCCCGTGATCCACACTTGCGATATTATCCAAGTACTCCCTGCAAATAAATACAAAATAAATACGTGAATAAAAACGGCACCACGTGTGCACTCGCCATCGATGCAGGATTTACGCGACGATGAAACAAAAGGGAAGTGTGTCGTCGACATTTCATCCACTGAGATGTCACGCTGAGAGCGAATGTTTGATGTACCTCGATGCAGGACGATGGGCGTGACCATTTGTGTCGAGTCCCAGAAGATGTAGAAAAAAAACGATTTTATCCTGGGACAGCTGGGCGGCCAGCTTTTCGTTTGAGGATGCATCTTTTAAAAAGCTCTGTAATGGTTAACACATTCACACACGGTAAATTTAACCGCGAATGCACCGTAGGGTTACCATAAAACTAAATTTGCGCTCTTTTCTAAATGGGGGGGGGGGGGGGGGGGGGGAGATTACCTTGACATGATCGAAAACCCAAGTGTCCAATTTAGAGGCGTCTTTCGAAGCAAAATCTTCCTTCTTTGCATCGTAGGAAAATGTGTGAACGTGATCCCCACTTGCTCCTGTAATTAATCATAAACAACTTGAAAGACTTCCCAGCACAGGATTGTACAGTTTTGTCAAATAGCCGTTTTTTTTTTAAGATTGTGTGCTGCAAGCCTTGTTTACCTTTGGCAAACATGGGCAGGATGTCAGGGCTTCCCCATGACCAAGTGAATCTGCTCTCGTTAAAGACGGAATCAAACTCCACTGGGTTTTCTTGCCAACCTGCGCGAGAAAATATTACATCAATATGAATCAGATTTTGTAAATAGTTGTGAGCGAAGCTACTATGAGCTCATCCACTTGCACATGGACAGTCGGATTGTCAATCCACTACTCAGGGCTTCCCCACACTGTACGGGTCCTGGGGGTTATTTTACTAAACTGCACCACTCTGATCAGTGGTGGTTGGTGAGGGCGTGGAGCATAGACGTTGGAGCATAGAAAAACAGTACAACGACAGATTTGGTTGCACTGTCCTCTGCTGGCCCCAAATGTAGCACTGCGCAATAAGATTTACTTTCTTTTAAAAGGGTAGTGTAAATATGCAGCCAATAACTAGTGTTAGATGTTTTAGCCCGTGGAACTAATAATGCTAAAGAATTGACTTAAATTGATGTGGACTAAGGTGCAGTGTTTGTACCCTTAGCCACAGCACTGACATCCTCGTAGAAACCAGCAATGAGGGCCACGTGTCCCGGCCGTGACTCCGTAGGCACTCGCGTGTGGGAGATGCCCCAGCTGCCAAATTCCTCCATCACTCTCCTGCATCATATATCGGTTTGCACAACAAAAGCGATTCATATAGCAGCGTGTTCCACACATCTGCAATCTCTGGCGAGCTGTGAGCAAGTTATTAGGCATGTTACAAGCACCCTGCGCTTCTCGCAAATTCTTACGAGTCACGATTCTATAAAAAGGTAAAGGTGCAGCCCTGCAATGCCTTGCTCGTGCCACTACTGGAGGGTGGTCTTCACTAAAAGTTTCCTCTCGAGTTACTCGAGAGGGAACTTGGTCTCATCTCCCTCAATGACCATCTTCTAAGAGGTGATAGTATCCACACTTTACACCACAACCACCACATGTGACTTGCATAGCAATGGTGGTCTACCCATTTGTACTGCTGGGTGGACAGAGGCGATGTGGATTGAAGAAGCTTACAACATCGTTTCTGACCTGCCAGTAGAATGAACCGAACCAGTGTCCTCTGGATTACATCACAATATCATCCCCATGATAGCCAACCATGATAATTGGAAGTGCAGGGGAAGAACAACAAACTAAACACAAAAAGCAGTTCTAAAGAAATTAGTTTTCAATCTAGATTTAAAAGTGCATCGCTCCAGTGGCTTCCTAATATCGGAAGGAAGAACATTCCAGACGGCCACAGAAGCGCATCTGAAAACGTGCGATGCAGTGACCGTCTTTGTTCGATGGTTAGCCAAAAGCCACTGCTAGGATGATCGGAGTTTGCGTGATGGTTTATGCTCCTTGACGAGATCAGCAAAGTATTGCGGTTCATTTGTAGCAAGCACTTTGTGTGTAATGAGTGCGACCTTGTAGTAATGTGTTTGTTCTTATAAGTAAGTGATGAAGGCAGGATAGTGGAGGTGAGGTGGATGGCAGGAAGAGCCGGGAATGGAAATGAGAGATGATCACTGGATCGGTTTATGAATGGTTCCTATGAAACCACAAAGTCGATATTTAAACCCACTAGGACTAAAAGTCTCATTTTCAAGGGGAATCTGTCACAAACCAGTACCATACACATGAGAACAAATTTAGAGTGATGAACAATATTCAACATTAAACAACATAAAAAATGTCCGACAGCAATTAATAATTCAGCAATCTAAAATAAACGAAAAATATTTCCAGCGTGATTCATTTTAGCTGTACTATGTGAGGGTATGGAGTGGTGGTCATGCAATGGTTCATTCATTGCACTATGAAGCTGTTGACCCGAGTTCAATTACTGGCCACGGCTAATATTAGCGACAAGGGATATATAGATCGATCCTAGGCACCCCCATCAACAACCCGCACTAATCAGCATGGTGAAGCATGGTCAAACAACCCCCATCAGTGGCATAGCCTAGTGAGGCCTTCATCCAGCAAGGGATTCACAAATACTGCAGGTCAAAAGTGCATCCTTTACCAGTGACCAAATAACAAGTCAAATTCCCATAAAACGTCCGAGGAACATCAAGGACAAAAATAAACAATGAGCTCCATGTCCTCACCGCAGGTAGGGTGCACGGCTCTGTCCGAGGCTCACGGGACGGTAGATGGAGTCTGCCCGCAGCCCGTCCGCCACTAACAGCACCAGGCGCCGGGCGGGCGCGGGGCCTGGCGCGGCGTGGGGGCTGGCTCCATGCACCAGCGGGGAGCTGAAGTAGATCTCGAAGATGGAGGCGAAAAACACCAGGTGGATGACAAGCGCCACCAGGATGAAGCGACGGTAGCGCACGTCGGTGACACTGCGACACGGAGTGGGGTGAAGTTTCAGGTTGTTGTATTTGTTTGTAAGTGGTATGTGTTCTCAGTGTTTCCCTGCCAGCCACCAAATGCCACACCATGTTGGCTCAGATGTTGCTTGGATATACAGTACAAGCTCTGAGCAGTCCTCTCAGGTACCATGGTGGTTGTACAGCGTGGGTTAGCAAATATTGTCTTCCTAACTGTTAGGTTGGGGACCGAGGCCAGATGGTAAGAGCAGGTCGGGTGTTGACTTTACAAGAATAAAATGTAAGTTGAATGTCAGGTTCTACAGGGGGCCTATTTGGCAGGCAATTGCATGTATTTTATTGTGATTTTAATGTGAACATTGTTATGCCACAATGGGACAATCAATGGAACATTGTGTACGTGGACAGCCCTTAGTCAATCCACTACTGAATGAGGGCCTCCCCACACCACCCAGGTTGTGGGATTTATTGTCAGTACAGGTTGGTAAAAGGGGGGCATAGGCCATGAAGGGGAGTACGGACGTGGAACTATAGTGCAGCGCAAGAATGGATTTTGATGCACTGCCTGCAATCAAAACAGCCTGTTATTATTATAGCATTATAATAATTACTATAATTATCATGCTGTAATTACCATCAGGCTCATTGATTTACCCAGCAAAGCCTCACTAAGTCTCATGGCTCTTTTTTTCAGGAGGGTCCTGCCAAATCTTCATAGTAGGTAGATTCGAATCGAGTAATTTGCGGGTCATTTTTTCAAATTTAGCAAATCTGGCGGATCACGAGGCCGACACTCGATGGCCTACTCTTTGAAATGGCGTCACGAGATACATTTAAATTCCACTGTGAAACGGATGGCGCGTGTTTGTACGGTTAACAAACCCAAAGTAATGTATGTTAAACTTCTTTCACACTGTATGTAGCCAACCGTGCTAATTGGAGGCCGCTGGATTAGAACCAGGAACCTCTGAAAAACAAGGGACGACATCCACCGCTTGGCCACGACACCCCGCCAAGCTGCACGCGTGGTGGTCGCCCATACAATGGAACGTTACAAGTTTTTAACTTCCAAAAAGCTAAGTGACGGGATGGCATGAATATCCATCCCATATCTTCCTCCACAGCACATCTCTGCCTTTCATCGCCTTGCTGCCTGGTCAGTATCTAATGGTAACACATTCCTGCGGAGGGAGCTGGTAGGAAACGTTGGGTTGCTCGGTCAATGGCCTGCAGGGTCAACGGCGGCGTGGTGTATTCCACAAATATGCCCAACTGTGAGGGTGGGCACAAGCCGGCGTGAGTAGGTTAAACGTTGAGTTTTATAAGGGCACCACGGGGTGACCAGCCCCTCCCCACCCCTCCCACCCCCCACCCAGCTCCTCCCTGCACGACGGACGGACACAATAATCCCCTGTGGGCTGGTGTAACCAGGAGGTTCCTACCAGTAAAACATCCACGTGTGTGTAGAGGTGAGCACTGGAACTACAGTCTGCATAGGAGGGCCCATCGGTGCAAACGGCACATTTGGGATATCCGTGTCAGTGACGTGTGTGCACGTCTGTGAAACGAATGAATGAAAAAGTGAAATGCAAGTGAATGTCATTATCACTGCGTTATGTCCAGCAATCTCCTACGGCACCTGCCATCCTGCACAGGTGCCCGCAGACCCACGCTGGATCTGGGCAGCATCTCTGGGAGTGGAGCGTGGGACTTTCCGAGGACCTAGGAATACAGAGACATCAACACCCGGAATCAGGGACCATGTGGGGAATGTGGACACGGGGAGTGTCTGGGAGGTGGGATAGGTGGGTCTGCTGCTACGGGGATCAGCAAACATGGGCAAGCGGACACGGGGATCAGGAGACTGAAGACGCGGAGATACAGGGACACGAGAGACACGGACAGGGGGCATGGGACACAGGGATACCGATGACAGTGACACTGAAATACAGGACAGGTGATAGAAAGTTCGAGTGGGACAGGTGACGGAACACAAATACACGGGGCATCGAGATACAGAGGGGCAGAGAAAGGTGACATGTTGACACAACACATTGACACAGTGACACGGGGACAGATACACGCACAGTGACACGCAGACATAGACACAGGAGACACTGGGCACGGAGAGCATGGCATGGATGAGAGAGACAGAGAGACAGAGAGACACGAAGACAGAGAGACACAGAGAGACACAGAGAGACGCGTGGGGGACATGCCGGGACCTTCTTCCACGCGTGTCCCAACCCGGAAGAGCGGGACTGGGACTCCCAACCGCTCCGAGGCAACATTTTAATATATTTTTTTACTTTACAATTTTTAACGTGAAAAAATGTAAGACGCGTTAATTACGACATTTAATCCGAAACGTAAAGTCACGAATATTTTATTAAATATTTATTTTAAAAAACATTTCAGGAACCAGGAAATCGCCACCTGGGGTGGTTGGCCGCCGACAGTGAATCCACGCGATTAGATTCCGTAAATCAGATAAGCACAACGCGGTCTCCCATTGGACGAGAGCGTTGACAGCCAGCGCTGGGGCCCCGCCTACCAGCCCCAGATTAACCAATCAGCCTCGCGCGTTAACATCGGTGTCGGAGCACTAGCCAATCGCGTGCCCGCGTTGGGTCAATACGCGCCTACGCGCTGTGGGAATTCAAAGCGGGAATCAGGCCCCACCGATCCGCGTTCGCTGGGCGTCAGTGGCGGCGTCTCCAGCAGCACGACGACCGCGACGACCGCGCGTCTTCGTCTATCGCGACGAGAGCGTCACGACGTGCATCGTCACCACACGCGACAGCTGGAAGCACTGCCCCGATGCCCATGGGTCGCCATGTCCACGCCTGTTAACCCCTTCGTGAGCGACTCCGAAGAGGAGGAGGAGGACCAGCAGCAGCAGGTCCCGCGCCGGGACTCGAACCGAGACGACGACGACAGGGGCCAGGACCTGACCCCCTCTTCACGGACCCTGTCCCCGTCCTCTTGCTCAGCTGCTGCTGCTGCTGAGACGCGGGCATCCCAGCGTGGCGAGGAGATGGAGTCAATGGAGGAGCAGTCGGGGCAGGGCAATGTTCAGGGGAGTGAGAGTCAACAGGGCCAGGGGAATGAGTGGGAATCTGGGTATGGGCAGGAGTCGGGCATGGAACAGGGTCCTGGCAAGGGCACGGGCTTGGAGCGTGGCCACGACCAAGGCAATGAGAGGGACCGCGGCCAGGGCCACGCGTCGCGCCCGCTGCCGCTGGACGTGGTGGCGGCGCAGCTGCTGCGGGACCAGCTGCTGCTCACGGCGCTCGAGCTGCACAGCGAGCTGCTGGAACGCGACCAGGAGCTGCCCCGGCTGCGGGACTTCTTCTCCAACCCCGGCAACTTCGAGAGACCCGGCCTCCAGTCCCAGCAGCAGCAGCAGCAGCAAGTTCAGCAGCAGCAGCAACAGCAGCAGCATCACCTGCAGCTGTCTGTCCAGCCCACACACCTACGTGAGTTGAACAGGACACCTACGTTGGTGTGTGTGTGCAGGCTGCTGGCTCGTGGAATTGTTGCACCGAGGTCGTCAGTGTGGGTTTGGAGGCCTGGACTTCATCCAGCAGTGGATAATATTGATTGTTAGTGGAGGCGGATTGAGGTGAACATCTGTGTAGTGAAATGTTGTCGCGTTGTGTTTTCCCTGATCTCGGAAGCTCTGTCAGGGTTGACCCTGCGTCGTGCTGTGAGGGGTGACCACCATGCGTGCCGGGTTGTTGTTTAGGCTACTGAGGGTCTGCACAGAGGGCACTGCAGCAACATCCATGGCTGTACCGTACGCCGGGAGCGACCAACATCCAACCCACCACACGGCACGTGGAGGCCGTCATCCAGCAGTGCATTGGCAAAAGTGCTGCTGATGTGTTATGCTCGGTCTGAGCTGGACGAGCCATTTAACTTCCCACATCTTCACGCTTGAGCACCCATGCGTCGTGTATTCACTGGTGGTGTACTGTGACATCCGTCTGGAAGATAAATGGGCTTAGAGTTGAGGCTGTATCCCCAGCTGTAACCGCATCATGCCAATTAAAGTAAGCTGTCGAATGGACACACGTGGTAGTTGCTGAACCCTGCTATTAAGAAGCTCTTAATGAATAGGGGTACACAGTATGCCTCTTGGGTGGATTGTAATTAACGTCACGTTGAGGAGGGATTGTTTTGAGAAGCAGGTGTGCTTTGGGAAGATGAACCGGGTGGATGAGACAATCGACGAAATGGCAGTCAACGAAGGGAACAGCGCCAGGGGGAACGTTGCCACAGATGAAGCGGTGATATTATCTCGTGTGCAGGAGTTCTATGGATGGCTGTATCGTGAAATCGTGAGAAAATGCGATGGCTTTGAGATACCTTCATCCGGCGGTGGATAGATCATGGATGATGATGGTGATGTTTGGAAGTGACCCAAAGCCAGATCTTGGCTTTTGCAAGAGCAGACCTTGGGAGTTGGTTGTTTACTTTATGAAAACTACAAGATCCAGTCGGACGAAACGATTTTTCGGGTCATGATGATATTTCCGGACGAGAGTTTGAGACTTAGGCTCCACAAGTTTCTCAGTAAGCCTTTCGCCATCAAATTGTTCTAGACGCAATTATATTACAGTATGTTGAAAGTTTTTTTTGCCGAGAGTTCTGGTTATATATATATAAATCTGTAAGTTATGCATCAACAGTAGTTATTGATGCTTCACTGTAAATGTCACAATCACGATTTCCAAAACAAACGTTCGTAATTTTCAGCTCCAGTAGGTTTTGTGTGTTTAAAGTCGTCATGATCGATCTGCTGCTGGACGAAGGCCTCCCCAAGCCGTTGCCATCTCTCTTGATCTTGTAATAATCCACCTGAATCAGAATCCACCTGAATCAGAATCTTTGTTGAGCTATGAAGCTCTTTTTCACAGACGATACCCGCACATGAGTGGATTTCATTGCTCCATCTCCTTGGGGGATGCGACACATTCCCTCTGTTAGCTGCCACTCTTTCATTGTTCTCAACCATAGATGTGCCTTGTCATTTCGATAAGTAACTTGTGCGTTTGATGGAAATTTCGTTGGAGATTTTCCTTTATCCAATGTAAGTGAACATAACCGTTGACCTTCGTGTTGGCCGCTCCCTGTTGGCCTGGTTACGCTATGCAACTTGTGGGTCGTTTCATTCGATGAGGGTTTTGTTGGGTTTCATGAGCGTCTTAGAATTTTCATGTAGAGTCCTTCAAAAACCTTACGCAAGAAAAGCATCCGCTGTTTTACAATAACCCGTATGTATGGTGGATTTTTTGCAACTGCTCTCATTGGCATTCATCCTCTGTATGGTGCAGATGCCATTTATTGGGTTAAAACGAGATGTAACTTTGAGAAGTGGCTGTACTCATATGATTCATAAACATAAAGTGAGATTCTTTTACCACGTGTCGTTACTGGCGTGAGTTCTGGGATAGGCATCGGCTGACAAAGGTAATCATTCAGAGACAAAGTTGTCGTGTTAGCATAGCTCAGATGTACTTGAATTGTTTAAAGATTCAAGCCTCCAGAGTTAAGAATATGAATAGTTCAGTGAAAATGGGTAAGGTGATATGGTACAAATTTTTGGAAACTGATTATGCTTAGAATACTTTTGACATTAGTTTTGTGTCACATCAATACAGGAATTGCATCTTCACATGAGATTAGCAGGGGACATTAGGTGAGAGACATTGTGTTACAGAGTTCATAATCTTTAAGTACAGTTCCTGATGATGTTGATAGTGATAACGATGATGTGGAACTCAGGTAACCGAATCATGGTAAAATAGGCGGCACGTGATGTACAGATTGTTTATTTGGTTACGCCTCCGCTTCTCCTTTGGTCATATGGAATAAATCGATTTAACAACACACAAATGTAGGTACGTATGTGGAACATCTTTTGCACCATTCGTAGCTAACTATTCTAATCGGAGGTGCGAGGGAAGGACAACAAACTAAACACAATGCAGTTCTCAAGAAATGAGATGTGCTCCTCACATGCATGTCATGTGACCAACACATTTCATGTACCGTACGATGTTCTGAGCCTTGTCAAATTTAATGTGGTGGTCACATGACGTGTATGCAGTGTTTTATGGGAGTCATGCCTTCCTGCTGTCTGTGAGCACGCATTCGAATGTTGGTATTTCTGTTTGTTTCCGCCCTGCATTCATTTTCCTGCTGTGGTGGATTTTCACACAATTTACAGAAAGTATTGGATTTGAACCCATTGGAGAAAACTTGAGGCTTTATCAAAAGCGTGTTGAAGGGGCGCAGGAGCTGTGTCATTCTTTCCAACACAAGGACTGCCATTGTATTACTGTAGAAGGTGGGGTCTCTTTGCCTGCAGTAATTCTGCCAACAAAAGCATTTACCTGAGTATCTTGTTTTGCTGACATCATTCCCCCGCGCTTCGCACTGTATTGTCTTTATACAAGCATAGCATATCTACCTCCCCGCAGTGTGAAAAGGAATGTGACACTGCATCGGTATGTGTTGCATGTGACTCATGTATTTAAAGTGCATGTTACACACCTTTTAGTTTAAATTAGAACTGGGTGGAGTTGTGTGGCTATTACGTAATCGTATGCGACTGTATTTGATGTCTAGCTCATTCTTTATTTGTAACTGTGGCCTTTACAGAAGTTTTAGGTTATTTTCTGAAGTTAAAACAAAAGTACGAGCTCTGTTTGCACCACGTGTCGTTCGGCCATGATGTCCGACGTTTCGCTTCATGTTCTGGGAGAATTTTCAGGATTTGGAATGTAGAACCTCCTGGCACATGGAGTGAAATGTCAGATATCATGCCGAACAACACGTGGTACAACCGTAACAACACGTGGTACAACCGTAACAACACGTGGTACAACCAAATAACACACCAGTGAGCCACATAGCACAACTGTGAAAACCTGTGGAAAATAACATACCGTCATGAAACAGTCGCATTGTATCATGTTCGGTGAAATTCCAGATTGTTTATTTGTTTACAAGTTGTTGGATATTGGCAACTTGCACCATGGGGCAGTTTGAAGAAAGCACAACAGATATATAATTACGGTCTATGCATCCAGAGAAAAAAATATCGCCAATATTTAAAAGAGAGAAACCGTAAGCTCTTTGCCATTGCAATTGCACATTTGGTACTCCATAATAGAGGTTTTTTGGGTTCGATTGCGTAAATATAAATGTGTCGTCAAGCCCGCAACCACTGTTTGACGAAAAGTATCCTCCCCATAGAAGTTAGTCCGTTTAAAACGTACGCTTTCGCGACCAATATTATCCATAATAGAGGTTTTTGGGTTTGAGCGCATAAATATAAATGTGTCGTTCCTCTATTATGGATAATATTGCTTGAGAAAGTCAACGTGGTAAACTGACATTTGATGCTGTATGGACATTACATAGATTACCTTCTTTGTACTGTGTACCATTTTTTAAAGGGATGATGGTGGGTTATGAACCAGCCGTTCTGGGTTATTTTATCCATTCCTTTTTAGTTTTCCTTTTAAATTTTTTCAGGAAAGGGTAAATTTATAATATGTTGTGCCTCAACAGTGCTATTGAAATGTTATTAAGTATTTCGAGTCTGAAAAGGTACCATGAATTTTCTTCTACAGACCGTGCGGGCAGTCTGACAACGCTGGACTCGCTGGATTTTGCGCGATACTCGGATGACGGAAACAGAGACGTGGACGAACGTGTGGCAGGTATGACAACAGTCTATGTGGCAACAATGATATTGTTTGTGTTTGCACCTCTAATCCCTGTCGCTCTTGGAAAACACATGCAGAAAACTACACACTTATGCCCTTTTAAAGGTTATAGCTTGTTTACTCCCTGTCGAAATCAACAGCTGCATAGCTGTTAATTATTTTTGAAATAAAATGAACTCTTTGCAAATGTTTATCTTTTTGTTATAATCTAATGCATTTTCTTTAAATCCCACAAAATAATTCAACTTGTTTACAAAACGACACCATTAATGGGCTCATTAGGAAAACTACTGTACAGTGCCCGCCAGTGCCTCTGCACCGATAATGTAAACGGTTACCTTTGCATGAATGCATGACAAAGCGCGTGAGATTGCACACGTGCTCCACGCAGCAGCCAGTCGGGTTTTGTTTTTGTGTGTGCACAATAGGCCGGATTACGTTCGTTCCATGTGTTTATGTGCCAGATCAAAAAAAAGGCTTAGATTTGAAAATGCCGTGCGCCCCTAACAACTCGCCGCCTCTCTCTCTGATGCTTCCTTGCTTTTGCGGCTTGCCTGCCAGGCGCCCGGCAGGGCCGGAGCTGTCCCCATGAGTGGCAGGAGCATGTCAAGGGTTGGTACTCACCTGGGATTGTGGCTTTGGGATGGTAGTGCGGAGACCGCAGAGGCGTTTGGCTCCGCAAAACAAAAGAGAATGACACGGGCGTTTGTGACACAAGCGGTTTCATCAAGTGCATTTGCTTTCTGTGAAAAAAAAATTGATTATCCAAAGAAATAGTCAACTCTCGATTTTCCGTGGAAGCATTGTTCGGGTTGCAGATTAACCTTTCTTGCAGAAAAATATATTTAGGTGTTAAGCTGGTTTAATTATTAGCTGTACCTCACTCATCTCATACCAATGACTCAGCTTCCACGTGACCGCAAACATGTTGGCAATACAAACGGAGGGCAGCAGTCTGCGTCTCTACCCCAATTTTCCTGATGTAAAATTAAAATATGGTTTATATCGCCTAATGTACATGTATTTTGCACTATCCCTGTTTTGTTTTATTCGAGCCACCCTGCACCATACCCTACATAATCGAGAGTTGACTGGAAAAATTGGGATTTTGTGGAATATTGCCTTCACATTTGTAAAGCATACAATATTTATTCATTGATGTTATTCAATGAACGAGCACATTCTAACAAAGAAGGCTTAACATTGGGCATTATGTATCCTTATCTGCATATTACAGTAGCTGCTTGACACAATTGAGCTCCACATTTATTCCCAGATGGTTTGGATAATCAATGTCTCACCGTATTACACCCAGGCCTGATAATTGCTTTGTGCCCATGCGTGCTGGGTAACAGTGAGACGCCTTGTGTTTTATTCAGTTCAGAGCGTTGGGTTTAAATTCGGTGTGATACACACAAGTGTGGCAATACAATTACAGTTGATAGCATTACATGCTTAAAAACAACAAGAGAATGATTTCATGTGATAAAAATGCTATTTTATTTATATCAATATAGTTGTACATAATAGTACGATAACATATTCTGCTAAATTTAGTTCAATGTTTTTTTACACCAACTATGATATTTAAAAAAGGATTAACAAAAAATATATGAAATCTTATTTTATATTACATTTTTATTTCCTGGATGTTTATTATGACACTCCCACATCGCTGGTCATTCATTCCATAATTAGAGTTGCACTGTTTGAATTGCTGTGCTGTGATCTCTCTGTGCTGTGTGCTCTTAATGCCGAGAGGCAACATCGTTAGGCTCTTTCAATCCATTAGAGGCTCAAAGGCTTTCTATCACACGCAATTTTAATTTTCAAAGTATGCAGTGCTGTGCTGTAACGTGTTGTGTGATGCCGTGCGCCTGCGTGTCCTATGTTGGTTGCTATAAAACATGCATTTCCGCAAAGAGAGAAAAATGCACACACATTGGCACATTCTTTTCTCTAGGCATGTGGCATTGCTGCCAGTATGTTCGGTTCAATGGTCGTTCTGGGAGCACCTCACCGTCGAGTTGACGTCTCGCGTTTTTGTGTTGTGCCACCCACCGGCAGTGCTGGAGTTTGAGCTCAGAAAAGCCCGAGAGACCATCCAGGCACTCAGGACCGACCTCACACAAGCTGCCGGTAATGCCGCTATCACCTTCACGATGGACATTTTTATCGCGTGTTTTACAACACCTAAGAAACGTCACCCAAATATAATAATAGTAATGCAATTTACAATGCCCTCAAAATGTTTCACGGACATAATTCACCATGGGCTCTGAGGCACGTAGAGCTCAGCTCGCTGTCCTTGCCCTCTAGATGTATTATTATAACCCAAATATAATAATAATGCAATTTATAATGCGTGTGAATATTTCACGGACATAATTCACCGTGGACTCTTGAGGTGCGGAGCTAAGCTCAACGTCCTCGCCGCCTAGATTAAAGGCTTCTACCACCTAAATCACAGTTCATATTCTACCTCCATTAGCACACAGATCCATACACAAATACGGTTAGAAGAGGAATCTTCCTCTTTATGTGTGAATTATGCGAATGTACATTATCTGGTTTTCCAAAGACAACTTGTTTAAATATTGTAAGGGATTCTTGAAACTTTATTTTCTCCAGAAACGAACACACCCACCCAGGAAAAAAACAATGAAGAACAAATGCCAGCCTGTGAGGTAACTTGGCACTCTAACGAATGTCATATCATTGGTTATATTATTATAGATTATATTCATAACAATTGTGGTTAATATAACCATAATGGCAGTTGTTAAAATAGTTTTTGCAGGGTCCAAGATTTAAAAATATCTGTACCTCTGATTAGCACGGTTGACTATGTACGGTGCGAAAGAAGTTCACCATACATACAATATCGAGCTTGATGCCTCGGTAGGACTGCGTAAGCTGTGCTTCATTATTGTGACTCTTTGTACAAGTTTGGGTTTAAGTTTCAAACTCACTTTGGTTAACCATGTGAGAACTCAAGAAACTAGGATGGCTTAATTCACAATAGTGATTTGGGTCACCAATTACAAAAGTAAAACCAATATAAAACAAATCAAAACGATCGCATGAGGAATTGACTAGCTATTGACGCTGGGGATATAACAATGAATTTGGCTCCGATTCATTGTTGCATTGCGGAGCCATGAGAGATGGTGACAGCTAAGGGAGGCCTTCACCGAGAAAAGGTACTGGCTGAAGATGATGACACTGCATATCAGCCGGTCTCCCTGTCACATACCAGGATCCAATGAGGCCTTTGGAAAAGCGAGCCCTCAACTTCCTCGTGAATGAGTTTCTTCTGAAGAACGAGTTCAAGCTAACCTCCATCACATTCTCAGATGAGAACGGCGAACAGGTGAGCTCTGCTCTAGCATCTTCTGCATTTGTATTTATATTTAAAAAACGATTTCCAATTTAGGTTGGGAGCATTAATACTCTATCTATCTGTAAGGGAGGGGCACATTCACTTCCCTAAAGATGATCCAATATGAAGAAATTTTTCCATAAATTGGTGTTTTTATTTCTGGATTTGCCCTCGAGAAAAATGGCCCAATGGATGGAACGTTCTTGTTATTGCTCATTAAATACCTCCAAGACAAACGCATGTGGGAAAACATTACAGAATCCATCCATATTCATGATGTTTATTGTTTTTGTTTGGTTTATGTAACCAATGATATTGATTTCTCCTGCAGGACATCGAAGTGTGGGATGATGTTGGACTCAATATCCCCAAGCCACCTGATCTACTGACTCTCTACCGAGACTATGGGAGCAGGATCGTGCCTCCCAGTGACACCTTGGATGTTGGAGTGGGGCCTGACCACGTAGAAAATCCTGACCCCGACCCAGAGGATGACCCAGCCAGCCTGTCCCTTGGAGATCTTCCAGACGGCAGCTTGTCCAACAACCAGGTCCTTCTGATTATTACATTGGTAGCTTAAATATTAATTTAAATGTGGAAAATAATAATCAGATCAATGGTCATTAGTCTGAGAAATAACTTTGCAATTTCAACTTCCAACAGGCAGAAGTGGTGAAGGAATTAAACCAGCTGGTGGAACGGCTTCGACATGAAAATGAATCTCTCACTGCTCAGATCAGACAACTCGAGAGGCAAGTTCCAATCTCCACATAGTACCTTGACTACAAATTAGTTTTTGTCACCGGTTTAAGTTGCATAGATTTGTTTCAGAGTACTAATTATAATGCGAATAGGTAGGTATGCAGCGCTTATTGACTCAATTTGTATGACTTTGCACCACATTTAGTGAGATTGCAGCACTGCAGTTCCCTGCCGGGATGTCCGTCACGGTGCCAGAAAACAGGCAGGAGGAGGCTGCCACCCCTAGGTCCCCGGGAGACGAAGGGGAGCTCTACATCACCATCCGTGATGTGGCCCCCACGCAGAAGACTGCTACTGTACAAGGTTAGTGCCAGCGAGTTAATTCAACGCTCACGTTCAGGGCACGGAGCCGGCACCACTGACATCCTGCGTTTGAATCCAGCTGTGTTGTCTTGGTGTGGTCTGGGACTCTTGTTGTGGTTGTTGTTTGATGCCTTGCCCAAGCTTGCATTTGGTTTTGACAAATCAGCAGGAATTCGTGTACTTGTGCAATTTATACTTCCATTCTTTATACTTATTTATTTTAGCGACTTTATTACATTTTCTCTATCTTTTACTCATCTTGTCTTTTGTTTTGTTTGTTGATAGAACTTGCTGACCCACTCCTGCTGGATATCTGTAAACAAAAATAGCTTCATAGCTCATCGGATTCTTCAAAGATAAATAAAGATTCTGATTGCGTTTCAGCCGTTTGTGATAAAACTGGGTTCTCAGTCCAGTTAGCAATAGCTGTGCTGTAAAAAAACATATTCAGTCTGTTTTATTTAATTTGGCTAAATAGTAACTTTGAGATGTAAAATGATTGGGTTGACTGTCCTACAAAGAATATGTATCTCCATAGGAGGTTTTGTTTGATAGTGTGCCTGATAATGTGCTACTTAAATGGATCTCAGAATAATTTCTGTGAAGATTTTCTTCTGCGAGCTGCTTTCTGAAACGTAAGCTTTGCCGTCGTCTCCTTAACAGTTCTGAATAGATGCGTTATCTCATGACCATGAGAGCAATAGCTCTGAAAAAAATGCTAATCCAAGAAAAATATAAACAATTACACAGTTATGTATTTTATTTAAATCTGCCCAGTATCTAATTCCAATCCTTCAAATACACTTTGTACATGTATTATGACCATTGACCGATCTCGGTATCTTTAAAAAACATATCTTATATTTATAGACTGCCTTGGCTCTAGGCGCTCGATATGACAATGGCACATTTGTACGTTGATATATTATTTTAAATCACGGATGAGATACTTTCCTGAAATTGGTTGCCAATATTTGTAATTTGCCTTGAGTTGTTTACATATGGAAGGCTGTTGTTTTGTGAGCATTAATGGTGACGATGGAATTTTTCATGTCGCCTTGTTGTGTCTGTGTATTTTCGCGAGGTCAGGTGTATTAATTTTATGTGCATGTTAATCTTCTACGTTCAGCCCCGCAGCTAATATGCATGACTAGTCTTGCGCGTTCAGTTTGCAAATGCACCCACACCCTTTCGAAAGCAAAAATACACGTACCTATTGGAAATGAATTCGTTACTGTTTTTTGGAGAACCAAGACATGACATAGTTTAGGAAACGAATGAAAGCATTGAAGTAGAAAAATAAATCGTACACATTACTGAAGACATCTTTATAAACAATGACAAACATTAAAGCAGCACAAAGGAGGTTGATTTTTGGTAATCCACAAATGTTAACCTTTGGTGACAACGATGAAGCTATAACACGATTAAGACTATTAAAAATAATCATAGAAATTGTTTGCAGATCTCTCGCAAAAATTGCCTCTATTCCAGCAATGCGAAACATCAAGAGGAGTAAGTGCCTACCAGTGTGTTAGATAACACATCTTTTATTCAGTGCACATTACCTAATTTGACGCGTGGATCTGAAACATTGATGATATCAAAGAAGATGGCACAAAATTGGAAAAGTATGCAAAGAAGCATGGAGAGGTGCAAGATCTCAACGCTCCGATTAGCACGGTTGGCTACGTACGGCGCAAAATGAGCTCAACAAACTTGGAATTCCACCGAGAGACAAATACGAACACAAATACGAACACATGGATCAGAGAGCAATCGCACACTAGATAAATTGTAGAAAGTAAGGGCAGAATACATCACAAGAAGGAAAGATGCCGGATGGTTGAGATTGACAACAAAATAGCAGTCAAAGGAGGAAACATTTCCTATGAAGGGAAACCACCAAAAAGATGGAGCGCAAAGATCAACTCTAGAGCGAGATGGATTGTTACATCTTGAGATTGTAAGGGATGACTACAACTTGGGGAGGACATAATCCAGCAGTGGATAGTTCACGGCTGTCGGTGATGATTAGATATATTAAAATAAAAATTAGATTTTTGTTAAAGATGCGTGATGTTTTATAAGAATTGCATACGTGAAATATCTCCACATTAATATGCTGAACATTCCTCCGTTTACTTTTAGATGCCACACTACAGGGAGAGACTACACGCTCAGATGTGGGCTCTAGTCCCCCGAGCTCCAGCAGCCCACCAGATAATCTAACACTCCGCGACGTCGACAATCACGTGATCAGCGAACAAGACCTGGATGACCAAGTGCAGCTTGAAAAGTCTAAGAGGTATAATTTTTCCGACGAGTTTTTTTGCACCTTCAAAAAATATTTAACCCTAAATGGTTGTCAGTCCTCAGGTGTGCCTGTAAGTGCTTTTTATTTTATCTTTCAGGAAACTGCCAGAAACATTTATGAGAACTTTAATGCAGTGCTGCATGACGACCTCCAACTCAAGGCTGGGCTGTGAGGTAGGTGGATTTCTTAGTTCAGTCGAACAACGCTGAGCTTGCAGATGAAATGGCGAAGTCGCTGTCCTCTCGGATGTTCTTTGAGCCAAAAATGTGTCAACTTTGACTTCTTAGGTGGCGAAGATTGCCGACTCGGAGAAGAGTGTGATCTCTGTGCTGGGGCGATGTCTGCCTCACATTGTGCCCAATGTCCTGCTCGCCAAACGGGAGGTGCGTTTCGTTGATGGTACTCATCATGCCTTAGGCATCGAGATGACCATTGCCTTTTTATTGCTGCTATCCAGTTGAGGTTGAAAGCGCTCCAGCATTGGCTCTTGTCCATCCGCTCGCTTGTCCTTTTGTTTGGTAAGATGCCATCATGATCACCGTTGTAACGATGATCCGACATGAACGACACTTTGGTATTATGTCTTTGGGAAAACTGGTCAGATTGATCAAAGCATTCCACAAAGCCAGAGAACAACAAATTGGTTAATATTCAAATTTATTTTGCTTTGTCAGCTAAGAAAAACCATGTGTACAAATAATACATAACCCAAACACAAGCATGATTTTTTTCTAATTAATTTTTCTAACTTAATTGCTTATACCACACTCAATCATAGTGTGGTATAAGCAGCCATTGGTAGGATTTGATTGTATTTTATTCAATCTGCAAATATTTTTTTTTTCCATTATGAAGACGCATATCTCGTAAAGAACAGCGGTCATATATTACATGCCATGTGGGTTCTTAAAGGCAGAATTTTTTTTTCAGAAGTCACAAATATTCACAGCATAGTGAAACAGTTAATGTAACAAATCAAATTCATGTAAACCTGCCCTGAGTCGTGATTACACGATTGGCTGATTTGTGAAATTCGCTTCTCGTAATCCTCTGTGGGTTTTTTTTCCTAGGAGCTAATTCCTGTGCTCCTGTGCACGGCGTGCCTGCACCCAGAGTCCAAGCAGCGAGATGAACTCCTCAACATCCTATTCAACCTCATCAAGCGACCAGACGAGCAGCAGCGGTAATTAACGAATTGTTAATTCGAGCGTAGCCATAGTTTTTGCATGAAGCGGTTTGTTTATGTTTGCAACAAAGCCTCACCTATGGGGGTATAACACGATATATTCATTAACCTGATTGTGGAGAATGCGTAACAATACATAAGCAGAGCATATTTTTCCTCTTCATATCTTTCCCTCTATCCACATACAAAATAAAAGTAGATTTTACACATCCTGTCAGCCACATAGCCTTCTGGGAGTGCATGATTTCAGTAGCGTTGGTTCCAAACAAGCAAACCCTGGACTGGTTTCGACACGCATTGTCTCAACAACTGAATCAGGTTTATTTGCACCGTTTTCTGGTGAACTGCCAGATTCTGTGGACAAGGACCCTGATGTGTACACTCGAGGGTGTGATAATTCATGTTGGTTTTCATGTGCGTGCTTGCAAATATCAGGAAAACGATCTTGGTTGGCTGTGTGGCTTTCGCACGCCACGTGGGACCAGCCAGGGCAGAATCGGAACTCCTTCCACAGTGCTGGGAACAGGTGCGTGTACCAGCACAGTTACTTTGTATTAGCTTGGGAATTTGTATTCCATGTTCATTTGAGGTGGCTGGGTGACTCAGAGCTATGAGAGCGCTGAGCTGGCACCGCTGAGATCCTGGCTTCCAATCCAAGCAGCCGCCTGTGATTAAACTGGGTTTTTCTCGTGTAATAAGATGATGTTCTCAGCCAGGCCAACAATGAGTGCACTAAAAAGTAATCACACCGAATTAATTTTGTTCTGCACCTAAGTCTGGATAAATTACAGCTCGTAAAATTTTAAAATATTGGTTTGACTTTCATGCCATGAATATTGCTCTGTAGCAGAATGGGTGGGAAAGTGCTGCTCCCACTGTGATGACCAGAGGTCACGTGAAAGGATAGCAGAGGTAACGCTATGGGATTCACTTGCATGGGACGTTCTCTCACACGAAGGGTCGTTCACTGCCCTGCGAAATATCTCATGACATGACACCGATAGCACAACTGCGATAAAATTGGGGAAAACACACAAAATGAAAGTAATGTAAAAAAATCTTGTATGTTTGTTGAATATATACGCTGGCTTCTGGTGTATTTCTCTAATGTTACAGATCAGTCACAAGTACCCGGAGAGGCGAGAGCTTGTTGCGGAGGCATGCGGCGTCCTGGCTCCTTACTTGCCTGTGAGTCCACTGCCAGACCCGGAGGTTTGCTGTCAAACAAATGTGTCGTTTCAATATGAGCTCTAGATTCCTTCCTTCCTGTAGCATATGCAATGCCAGTAACTTGCCCGCCACCGGGTAGTGGTTGGATATAACGTGACTTGACAGATGCGGGTTAACCGTGGCTCACCCATCCCCATCGGCACATTTCCAGATGGCGATCCGCAGCTCGTTGGTGCTGTCCATGCTGCAGCAGATGCTGCACGAAGACAAGACGGAGACGGTGCGGGAGGCGTCGGTTCGGAGCCTGGGAGTCGTCATCTCGTACATTGATGACCCTGACAAGTACTTCCAGGTCAAAAGCCAAAGTGTCTGAAACGTAAAAATAATGTTCGGTTGAAGAGCTTAAATAAAATGGTAGAATTGGTGGTGGCATCAAAGCACATGGATATACATTATTTTTTTTCGTTCAATTTGTATAAAACTTAAATGATCTCTTCTCGCGCACAATATGATGCATATATTTTTAGCATAAGACTCATGTTTTATTGATGAATCATTGCATTGTCACATTGCACGTGTTTGCAGCTGTGCATGCTCGGTTTTCTGACCAACTCGACGAACGCCTCTCCTTCCTGCAGGCATTTGATCTGCTGCTCATGGCTCTACGGGACACGTCAGAGCGTGTGCTGGCAGCAACTCACCAGACCTTCCTGCCGGCCTTTGGCATGTGGGCCTGTGAGCTGGCTCGCGTGCAGACGCACCTGGCCAACTCGCTGCTCAGCAAGGTGGAGACGGCCGTCCTGGTGAGTGAGCACGGTGCCGGACAATCTTTGGCTGTCATTCCGATCCTTGTACAAGTTAAGAGGGGGGGGGCTCATTGAGTGGGTGAGTAGCTGGTATGAAGGTCTATAAGTGACGCTGTCGATATGAAGTAGGAAAGAATCAGTTCCTACTGCATGAAGGTGCTGTAGTCGAGGGGATAGAATACACGGTTTCTTAGTTTAACATGTAAATGTTTCTGGTATGATTCCCTACTTCAGTTGACTGTACATGGTGTTTCCCTCAACCCCCTCGGCTATAAGACTCTCTCCATCGATGTGCACGAGTATGTTTGGTGAGGTCTATTGTTTTGAAGTGAGGTCTCTTGTTTTCCCCCAGAGTCTGCCAGGGGTAAGGGAGATGTAGTGCCCTCTGCCCCCATTAAGGTTATGGCCTATGCTGGTCAGCCCCACACGAGACACTCCAGTGCAAAACCTCGTCTTGTGTAATTTAAACTGACCGCACGTCACAATTCTGTGGAACGTGTTTTTAAATCAACAGGAAGAAAACTCCATTCTCGACGAGAGCAAGTTGCATCAGTACATCTCGGCCCTGCAGTCCTTGGTTCCATTCCTGTTCCTGTTTGTGCTACAAACATCTCCCTTCGCGGAAGAAGCAGAGGCCTGCACCAACGCCCCCCAAATCGAAGGTACAAAATTTTGCTGTTGGTGTATTCGAGCCTGAAAGTTATTTATTTGATCGAAATTGATGTTTGAGCTCACGATACATTCAATCATCGAATCGTATGTCGATTACTGTATTTAGAACTCATCCAAGTTACCTTTCAGCTTATGCAATGGATGAGATAGACAACATATATATAAGAGTAGAAGCAACAGACAATACAATTGAGACATGGAATAGATTCCCCCGAATCATGACATTGCATTGAATTGTGGCGAAGGGAGAATCACCTCCGATTAGCACGGTTGGCTACATACGGTGCAATAGATCAACATACATCATTACACACCATACCTTACTGCCAGCATCGGCTTGACTTTTAAATTATACCCAGAAATTAAGAATCGAGCCATGTAGGCGTACTTGTAAAATTATGCTTTAATCAACAACCACGCTCGTGTTCCACACGTGTGTCTCTCGTGTGTTCCCAGTGGGCCGTTTCCCGAACACGGCGTGCCGTCTCGCGGAAGTGACGGTGGCGGCGGGTGGTCCAGAGAGACTCTCGTCGCTGCTCGTGTTGTACGAGCGCCGGCTGGATGGTCTGGCCGACGACCCGGACACCCAGGCCTGGGAGAGCATGCGCTGGATCCAGCACAACATGTCAGCATGCCGTAGCACACATTGTGAACAGAGTATCACAGTAAAACTCGCACGTACAGGTGACCAGGCGGCTGCTCAGAGGTCGGAGCGCTCGCCTGGTTACCGCTGAGAGTTTGAGTTCAAATCCTCCAGGTAGCTCAGCTGCCCGTGATTGAACTGGGCTCTCAAATGTAGTTCTGTGGACTTAATTTGACTAAATTCCACTTGTAAGAATTAAAAGATTAGATTAACTGTCATGTGATGAAAATGTATCTCTATAATAGGGTAGGTGCACAAGGGTTGCCTCTCAATAGTGGTCCCTTGAAAGGTTCTCAGAAGTACTTCTGTGTTATCTGCTTCTGTGGACCATTCTCTAATACAGGGTGTCACACTGCTCTGCGAGTTCCTGATGGTTTCTTCATCTGATGACAAGATGCCAATAAAGCAAACGCAAATAAAACTTGGGGAAGATGTATGAAAAAAAATGCTCTCATTTATATTCCAAGACAGAGTTAATTTCAGTACTGCATCACATTTTTTTGCCCCCCATTGAAGTGCCGATGCCATAACTGATAACACAACTTGTACCATGCACAATTTCGCAAACCAGCTAAAGTTCAATCGCAACTCGGAAGGCGTTGGTGCCCAGCTCAGAGCTAACTCCTGGCTTGCTGTGTTTTGTCTGTTCGCAGGCTACCCCGGCTGGTGGAGGTGGCCTGTAAAATCCCGGTGACGTCGCCATCAGCTGTTCACGATTTGGCGACCTTTGTGTCCACCTTATGCAGGACTTTTGGACGCCAATTCACAAGCGGCAAAGTGAGACAACTTACGAGTGGTCTTGTGACATTGTCAACGTGCTTTGTAGCAGCTTGTGACTGTGGTTAATATATTTTCTTTCAAAACTTGAATTGCTTTTCATCGTGGGTTTATCTACAAGTGGATACCGCCTCAAATAAGGCAATTTTTTTCAAAGCTTGAACTGGTCTTTACGAACATGTCTGACGATTTATTGTCCACAGTTTACTAAGAACAGTATCTGCTGGTGTTCACTTTCAGGTCAAACCCCTGTTCCAAAAGCATTTGGTCGCATTACAGAACAATCCTGGTAAGGTGGCACAACAGAGTTCATTGTAATAATTTGCTTTCTATGTATAGCCCTGCAAGAGAATTGAATATTTTCTACATCGCATGTCTCGTTTAACTTATTAACAGGTATTTTTTAAAATTTTAAATAGATGCTGCCACCGTGACTGCAAACTCTCTGTTGGCCAAAGCCACAGTGCCTGTTTATGCCTTGGGTATCCTCACCTGCTACACCGAGGTACGGATGCATTCATTAACAAGCTCGCTTGGGTATATAAGAGTCCATACACTTTACTCAAATGCTAATGATAAAGTAACAGTGCATTGGCAATAAGAACTACGATTGTAATAACATTACGTGATATATTTTAAACCAAGTACAGTACTTGCAAATCTCATCAGATCTCTTCAGTTGTCAAAAGAAAAGGCGGGCTTGAGCCTGTGTAGGGCTTGGATGGGTGGCCACCATGTACGATAGTTGGCTGTGGGGCTTCGAGGTGGGTAGCAGTGCAGCAAGATCAATTGTTGTCCTGTACTTGTATGCTCCCACATCTATACTCCTTCACCAACTGGCCACCATGGCATAGTATGGTCAAATAACCCCACGATCAATGCGGGGGTGCCCTCATTTAGCAGTGGATTGCCATGATGTAGTTTGTATACGTTCTTTACTTAAGACATGCTTCATAATTGATTTTTGGGTCCGATCGATGAAGTAAAATATATTTATCGTCCACCTTCACGCGACGTAGCTAATAACTAAGCTAGTCACGTGAACAAATGTGCCAAATTATTACTGCTTCACCGCATCCACGAATTAATGTTCCTGTTATGCAGTGGTTTTTTTGTGAAAGTGATGGTGTTTGAAGTTTATTTAATAGTTTTTTTGTGGATTTTCATCTTAGGAATCCGATCGTAAGCTGCTTTCAAGCTTCATGGAGGATGTCATGATGAAACTTTCTGTAAATCAGTTGCCTCTAGACAGCCTCAAGATCACATTTGTAGAACTTGGGTGAGTGTGCTTATCTTTTGAAGACTGCCTATGCAATGATTTTTTTTCCCAAAATGTAATTTTACTTTCTAGTTATTATGTTTTGCCCTGAGCTTAATCCGTAAATATATTTTCATGAGCTGACAAGTGAATGGTTATTAAGCAAACTCCTCCAAACCGTGTTATTCCAAAAGATAATTAAATATTCTGTCAGCACCACGTTATTACTTTCTCACATGTTGTTTATGAACTCGTACAACGAAGTTTGTCCTCCACCAGCTCAGTATCCCTTTATATATATATCCTGGCATGGAGGGCCTCTATTAAATCTCTTGTCATTACTACTTTTGTTTAATTTTCCATACCAGCATGTACTGCATTCAGAATCCAAAAACTGTAAACATTGTTGTGGGATATCCATTAAAATGTCTGCTATTCCGCGTCTTGGCGCTAGGTGTTGTGTGTGTAGCGTCCTCTCTTGTCCTCCCCTATGGTTGGCTGGCAGCATTGTAATTCCATTGTCCACCTGCAGCTCAGCACTCTCTCAACTGGCACGAAATTTTCCATATCCTGCTGTCATTCCTACCCCCGCCCCCACCTCTTCCCGAGTAATACAATCAAATGAGCATTCCGGGGCGGTAATGTGAACTTACACGAATCCGTTGCAGACTCTCAAATTCTCTGCACGTCAAAGCGGTGTAGATGGCATTGCTCCGTGCTGCGTGGTTCCGCTGTGGTAGAGAGATATTTAAAATGACGAGAACGGTGGAGGAATTTCGGAATAGCCCAATGGGCATTTGGTGTTTTGGTACTAATGCTGTGGAATGGCTTGCTCAGAAATGTCCTTAATGCACTCACGATTCATCAACCCTTGATGAAATTAAAGACATTATTTTCAGATAACTTTTGAATAATTCAAATGAAGTGGACAAGAAAGAGAGAAGACTCGATCACACGTTAGCTTTAGTTTATTCGTGTTGTATATGTTGTCTATATATTTTATTGTTTTTAAGCATCGTTTTTAGTGTGCAATCATGTACTATAGGATTCATGAATCATCATGTGGATGGACTCGCTGCTGCCATAGGTTAGTGGATGTCCACCACTGGCTCGGCTGTAAACCAGAGATTAGCACTGCCTCAATGCTCATTTGAGCAGGAAATCACTGACTCTCACTTTGTCCGATCTCAAATACCCCTTTGCTCTGGCACCTTGAGATGCACTGCATGAATAGCAGCGTATACATTTTAAATGATGATGTGGTGTGACGAGAAGTCTGTACGGTCACACTGCTACCTCTGTGCCTCCCCATCTCAGGGCCAACCCAGCCTACCACGAGATGCTCCTGGCTGTGCTGTGGTGCGGGGTGGTGCACACCTCCCCGCAGGTGCGCTGCACGGCCGCCAAGATGTTTGAGGTACTGAATTCGAGCGTGTACATGCCGACAACACACCGAGGGCTTCGTGACCATGATGTGTGCAGCGCTCACGAGCGGACTTCCGTGCACACAATGAATCGGGAGCACGCCACAGAGTGTGACGGAAGGGCAGGTTCACTCTGAAATGAAGGAGGTGCTCAATGTCACTGTCAGCCAGGAGACCTCGCTTGCTGCAATGTCTCGTACTCGTTAACCAGCATATGTTGTTACGTGAAATAAGAAAATTAATTAATTATAAGTTTAGCAAGAGATTTAATAGACTCTTGTATGTTGGGTTCATGCACACAATGTTTTTTTTTAATGTAGGGGATTTAGGCAGTCGAGCATGAAGGCCTTGTCTTATAAAATGAGAGCTGGCATGTTATTGTTCAACAACACTGTGACCTTAAAGACTTAATTAAAAAAATATTCCTGATTCATATGCATTCTGTAAGTCATTCTGACATCTGCAAAATTTAGTTTCAATGTTTCATTTGAGAGTCTGTTTAATGCATTGCATTGGCGTCTAGACGTAGTTATTCATTTTCGAACATAGTTCTTCTGGGAGGTTTGAATAATTTACTTTTCTATTTAATAACTGGGATGAGATTTATGTAAAAAGTTTTTTTCTTTTTTATTCCGGTTAAAAATGTTCAACTCTTATTACGTAAACACAATTTGAAGTCGTACATGCAGTAAAAAAAAACATTGCTTTTCAAAATAATATTTACACACAAATCAAATTTTAATCTACAAACGTCCGGTGTTCAGAGCCATTGACAAAGTGCCTAAAATCTACAGGTATGACAGTTGAGTTCTTCATTTTTATTTTCCATGAGTGGCATTTCATTAAGCATACATGCTTTTGAAAATGCATTACAGAGTCATTACACGTTTTGCATATTGCTGTATCTTCTTCTTCCAGTTCTTGTCATTTCTTGTTTTTTTTGCTTTACACTCTTTGATTAGTGTCATACGGGCCTTGCTGCATTGTGTAACTTGTCCGCCGTATGACCTGTTATATATGTGTAGTGGTAATCGTGCCCCACCGCCTTCTTCTCTGTTCCTCCATCCAGTGGCATGTATGTTTTCTGTTGTGCATCAGTATCCACTCAGGAGGGTGTGTGTGACAGTCTGATAGCACTGAGGCCTGTCGCTGCTCTTAGCCTTCTCTGCACTCCCTGGGATGCTTTACAGTAAGTGTGGGGTTCTGTGCAGGAATGTTTGCTTCTGTGTATATGCGACCTATTTACATGTGCCGTCCCATTCGCATTCCGTCTTTCCACCCCCCTCCCTCGCGCACCACCGAATGTTTGCGACTGGTGATGTAGTTGTTTCAAGTATCCTTTTAGTTTAAATGACGAACCTCAATTTATTTCACGTCAATTAGCTGAATATAAATAATACATTGGATATGCTAGTATTCCTTTTTAGTTTGTGCAATAGAAATTGTGAGTATTGTTCACCGCAACACTCGTCGCAAACATTGCTTTCCTCCATTATAGCTTTTTTCCTGCTGGCTGTTCCATGAAAACACCATAACTTTTCCTTTTTCACCATTTATAAAGTATTGACCACGTTGCATTGCAAGTAATGGAAACTGTATGCAGAACCAATAACAGTGTGGCAGCTTTGGCACGCGAAGCAACATTTATCGAGCTGTTGATGAATGGACTCTACCCACGATCTTAACAAATCGGTGCTTTTTGTCTCAGCTGGCTTTGAGAGGGATGCACGAGGCCCTGATCGACAAGCGAGTGGCACCTGCTCTCGTCACCCTCTCAAGCGACCCGGAATTGTGAGTGTTTGTCGGCAGCGTTATCGTCGCTTAATTTTTATCGTCGTCTGCCACTGTTGTTAAGAGACTTAGTAAATTACACACTGTTCATTTATTACATGGCGGGAGGGTGTATTTAATACATTTTTCTGGGAAGTGGAGTGCACTGGAAAGCACGGTGTGCTGTTATTGATAAGTATGTTTTGCTCACTTGAATTATGCTTTTTTATCTCGTTTTGCAGTTCAGTGCGAATAGCTACAATTCCTGCGTTGGGAGCTATAATTGAAACTGTGACACAAAAAGAGGTACGTTACATCCTTCTGCTGCGCTTAGCCAACCAAATAAAACCTGGCTTTGTCCACTGGTGCCGAAAACACACCCCTCGCGAGACTCTTGATGGTGGTGGCTATGGAGCCAGGCACCTCGTGGGCCCTGAACGAAACCCTTGGCAGATAAGAGGCACCCAGTAGGGTACAGCCCTGTCAACACAACTCGGTTTTTTTTTTATCCCACTTGCTGCTAGCTCATTATTGCCACGGCCGTGGCATGTGTTCCTTGTACATGCGCACGCACATGAAATGTGCCCTGTGTTTCTTGCCGGTGTCACCAGTGAAACTGTATCCTGTATTCAAACGTAACAAATGGCAATTTAACATTCAGGAGCAATGTAAATCTTGACCTTACAACTTGCATTGTTTACCATACCTCACTTAAAAGCATGTTTGTAAATAATTAATGGTCACAAAGTGTAAGCACGCGATTGGTAATCCCATATAAACGCCCAACACCTCGGCCTCGTGACTTTCACTGATGTAACATTAGGTTTTCTGTGGTTGGGTCTAAGAAGACCTGTATTTGCAATGATACTTGTTCTATTTTGTAATAAGGTGTTAAATGTTTTGTATAAGGGCATGCAAGCGCCTGTAGTGTGTATACCAAAGCCATAATGCATGGTCTCTTGGACCCAGTTCTGCATCTTCGGTTTAATAAAACAAGTAGTTTTCTTGGTGATTGGCTTTTACTAACAATTGAATTACTGGCCTTATTCCTTTTATGTGGACGTACTGCAGTACTTCATTGAGTTGTGTTCACCTCTTTTACGTGGCCATTTTTTTTTCCTCCCCCCCCCCTCCCCCGCGACCAGCTGCTGGAGCGGGTGAAGATGCAGCTGGCGTCCTTCCTGGATGACGGGCCGGGCGAGGAGCAGCACGCGCTGCAGCTGGAGATCATCCGAACCCTGGGCCGCGTCGGGCCCAATGCAGAGCCGCGCTTCCGGGACGAATGTGAGATGCGCTCATTCGGCCACTGACCCAGCCCATTCGCTCGCTTATCACAGTTCCTCCAACACTGCCAAAGATGATGGGGCCCCACCAGGGTGACTGCTCCTTATCTTGAAACTGCTCGGGAAGTTCTACTGCGTAGGATTTCACAGTTGTGCCTTGTGGCTCTCTGAAGTGTTTAAAGGTACTGTGTGGTGTTTGGCACGGTGTCCGACCTTCCGGTCCACATGCTGGGAGCGTCTTCAGGAAGTGAATAGATTTTCCCCACTTGTAAGGAGTTGTTATGCATGTATGTTGATCTTCTTTCACACCTGTACGTAGCCAACCTTGCTAATCGGAGGTGCGTGCACAGTTAAATGTCAGTCATGCCAAACTACACAAGGTACAACCTGAAAACACATCGCAGAGAGGGCACTCTGAAGTGATTTGACAAAGGCAATTATTTTTGCCGTTTTGTAAAGTGGACCGTCTATAAATATTTCTGCACTGACAAACGTGCAGCTGTAAATGCGTGCGTGATCGCAGGATATCCAGTATTCCGGCACTTGGTGTGGTTTCAGCCGTCTTCTCAATGTGTGCTGTTAAAGCTGCCATTGTTACTGCCTTCATACGCACATGGATAAAAAAAAAAAAAAAAAATTTTACATTTGTTCATCATTATAGTTCAATTTAGCTATGGACGTCATGTCAAAACATTTCCGTAATGAGCTCTGCAGCTAATCTTATACCAATCTGTCGGAGAATCGCCCCAGATGAAGACATCGCACAACTATTTCTGAACTCACTTGAACTTGTTTTTTGTAAACACTAGCAGCATACATCATTACGTCTTGCAAATATTGCAGCATTTCAATGAATCCAGAGTAAAACTTTTTTTTATGATTTTTGTGGATCTGTGGTGACTGGGCTGACACCATTATCGCAACAAAAATCTAATTGGTAAATGGTGAGATAAACCGATCAAAACAGAATAATAGTGCAGACTATAACAAGATGTTAAAATGTGTAAAAGCACATAGCCTTTGTGGATGTAGAAATAACCATCAGCATTTCCTAGAAAAGAGTGCATTGTGGTCCTCGTGTCTGAGAAAACCATAAAAGTAAATTTGAGCAAATGTGACATTAGTGTGTCAAGCTTGAGACCGTTCTCGCGCAACATTGAGCATCGGGTTAGACGACGGCTGGTTACCAGCTTAGCACCCAGGACTCGGCAGCGCTGGCTCGGTGCTCAGCCGCCACCTGGCTGCCTCAACGTGCACACGTGCATCCTCGCTGCAGTCGTATCACAGGCAGACGTCCGTGGTTAACCGGGTTCTCAATTAAGTTGATGATCTTAGCCCAGACGCCAATTCACTGCACATGCAATAAAACGTGACATATTTTGTTTTGTACTTAATTTAACTCGTAAAATATTGCTTTTACTAATGTTATGTAAGTAACATTACTCTCATGTGGCAGGGTGCGTGGGAAAGTGCTTATCTGAAATTGTGTGGACCAGCGATCTCTTGAAGGGGATATCTGCTTCTGTGGGTCATTCACTAAACATTAAGGGTTGCATTGCTCTGCCTGAGATACTTCGTCTCATGAAATTACACGATAGCACGATCAGGATACAATTAAAGAAAAATAACAAAAAACAGTGATCGGTCAATATGTTAGTTTACGGAGGATAATTTGTTGGTCGTCATTCACCGCTGATTTAATGTTTTATTTTGTTTGGTTTTCCCTGTGGTGCATGTGCAGTCATGCTGCCGAGCCTGCACGTGCTCAGCATGGGTAACAACCAGCAAGCGACGGACGGCAAGCGAATGGAAGTGGCTGTGCAGCTCTTTGAGGCGTACAGCGCGCTGGCCTGCTGCTGTATCCTTCACATGGGGGGGGGGGGGGGGGGCTCCCTGTGTCATCAAAACCCATAGCAGAATCGCTGCCACGTTGTTGCTGTACACATTTCGGGAATTTAAAGTACTTGGGTTCACGCACTTCAACAAATATGGAAAGGACATTCTAGGGCGTATTATTGCGCGCTGTTTTATCCAAATCACATGAATGTACTTTTATCATTTATCACGATCAAATATTTTCTCCTCTATTGTTTCATATCTTTGCTGTGACACACAAGTGTCTGTTTGGAAAAAACACACTTATCTGCTTGGAAAATCGGGAGATGTTAACACCACCCGTGCACATCAAGAGTGTTTTTACTGAATTCTCGCCAAGGACATTCCATCTGGAAAATGTGATTTTTTTCCGTATAATTACATTGTTTTGATATTTTCCAACCCCCAAGCTCTCTTCTGGCATATTCTTTTTCCTTCACTGCGCTGTCTGGCCACCAGTTATCGGAGAGGACGTGATGGTGCAGCACTTCCTGCCGGGCCTCCGGGCCCTCCGTACAGACATGGAGCATCTTTCTCATGAGCATGAAGTCAGTCTCTATTTTCATTCCCAACATAATTCACACATTCACGCAATCGTTAACGAAATGCATTAAAGTTAGCGAGCTCTGTATTCTTCCGTAGCCGATTAAGGAATCTGAAATTGTTATTGTTTTTGTCGTGTACTTTGAATAAAGTCTGCAGTCCATTTATCTTGTTTCTGGGTAAGAAAGTCTGCCTCCTCAACTGCTGAATTACTTGAAATGCATCCATCTAACATGGGTGCTTACTGCGTTCCATGCAGGTAATCCTTAGCTCAATGATAAAGGATTTTGAATTCAAACTGGATGGCAAAGCCACAGCTGATCCCAGGTAAGATTCTACAATGAGTTGACTCACATGTGCATTGCTACCACTTCTTTGAATACCCTCCACGTATTTATGTTCCATTATAATGAGATGTTACACTCATGATGAAGTGAGGGAAAATACTGAACGAAAAAAAACTGTGTTGTGTTTTGTGCGTAATATTATTTGGCAGCCTGCCCAGCCCCGTGCTCATGGAAGATGCGAAAAACAAGTTTTTTAGCAAAGTTGGTCAGCTGACAACCAGTTCTAGTACTGCGTTCACAAGCATGTTGAAGCGGAAAAAATAAGGTACATACACTTGTACAGCATCTTAGAAATGTTAGCACTTGTACAGACGCAAATGCCTCGCTCGTTATTATTCTCTGGGGAAATCCACCCCACAATTTACACTGGACACCAAATTTTGCTGCTATAATTTTTTTTGCTCAAACATCGGTTTCAAACTTTGGGAATATTAAAATATATTCATTTGCATTTTTTAGATCATCTAAAATATTGGGAATTTGAATGTGTAATGATTGTTTTAATGACTCATGTTTTGGTTTCTATGGTAGAATTGTTTTGCTACTTAAAATGTTAGGGTATTACTTTGTAAGTGTAATTTCATGACGTATACATGATGAATCACACGCTACATTTATTTTGAGAGACTGCTGTGTGGAGGCTAAAATGTTGGACCCCCGAGTTGATGAGTTTAATTCACGTTCATTTATTACTATTAAACATTTGTTGAAGACCTTGCGGTACGTGAGTATATATTTATCATTCCTATGGCCTCACCCAGCAGTAAGATAGGTAAACACCATCTATTATTGATGGAATACAATGTAGGTACTTGAGAGGCTTTTCAGCTCTTGTGGCTAATTGCTTTTTGAAAGAGAGACCCACTACCCATAGTGGCAGTTGGCTCATGATTCAGGGTACACTGATGTTTTTTTTAATACTCTCCGACATTGTATATCAAAAGTATAATTGAAGAGCTCATTACATTTTCTTGACTACACTTCAGGTCGTCCGTACACTACTATGTTGTCTTTGCGTGCCTGTGTTGCATAATGCAAAGGGCTTTAATTGGTACAGTCACTAAGTGTGAAGCTTACTTGATGAGCTGATGGGAATCAAAATATTTGTTAAGGGGAGGATGATTACCAAGTCGATTTTAAACTGTGTGTGGATATAAGTTATACACGCTTTCATTGTGAACAGCGTACAATCAGATGTGTTGTGTGTGATCAATGTTCATGTTTTTATTGAATGGTGGCTTTATTGGATATGTTGCACTGAATCATTGCATGTGCTGGAGGGTGAAATACGTTGCGGAATGGAACAATCTTATGTATTACGCTGATGTTTTTCATTGCGATAAGTACAGTATTGTACAATAATGTATTCACGTTGCCGTCTTGAGCTCTATTTGTATTTCGGAGCCGGAATTTTGGCTGTCTGTCTGAAATAAATGTGTGGTTTCTACTGTACACAAGTCTGGAGGTTTATTCTCATAGTTTTGATTCGTTATTCGCGAGGGATACGTTCTGGAGACGCTGGCGAATAGGACATTTCTCAGATGATATTGGCCTACGAAAACTAAGATTTTTGAATTACCGAAAATAAATACATAAACAAGCTCTTAAATACATGGAAATTATCATAATTGCACGAAAAATTGGTTATATTAAAGATATTAAAAAAATAATGTTTAAATACTAGTTTATAAATGAGCTTACCTTAAATTATGATGATGCTGCTGCTGCGCTCTTCACTTTATTTCTTCACTTTATCTCTCATCACTTTGTCATCACTTTCTCGATGCAGTTGTGTAGTCCCAGATTCGATTCGCAGATAGCCAAAATCACGAAGAGCAAGTTCGTGAATAATGAGGGAATACTGTATTTTTACCTTAATTACAATGAACCGAACAAAAACGTGAAAATACACGAGTTCGCCGTCACCATCAGCCACAACCAAATCCACCGCTGAATCAAGGCCTGTCCAAGCCACCGCCATCCCTCACGGCCCTGTGCAACAATTGTGATGAAAGCGATGCCGAATAAAGGTTTGTCAATTCTGTTGTAACCTTTAAAACCCCCATTTCAAATTTTGACCCATTATTTGGTATGCCAGGCTACTCCAAGTTATGTTCAAGTCTTAAGTAAAATCCAGTATTGGTGGGATCACTTGTTAATTCTGAAGCTGTGCAACACATTACAGCAGGTATACTATATAATGATTTACGTTTGTCTACATTGACAATAAAAATACAACCATTACTCAAGTGGTTAACGCAGTCTCTTGGATTGCTTTGCTTTTGTAAATCAAACGCCTGTGAATAACAGAGGCATGCACTCTAAATAGACAAGCAAGTGCATATATTTTCTAACTCCTTTCGAGATTAGCTTAACACGTTTAAAATCATTCGAGGTCATGATGGCCGATGTCGATGTCACCACAACTTGCCAGCCCTTTGTCATTCTCCTACCTCTCCCCTATCTCACTACTCCCTTCCACACACTCCTACCTCTCCCCATATCATCTCACTCTACTCCGGTCCACACACTTTCCTACCTCTCCCCTATCATCTCGCTCTACTCCCCTTCACACACTCTCCTACCTCTCCCCTATCATCTCACTGCTCCGCTCCACCCACGTTTTGCTTCAACAACAAAGCCTTTCTGTCCCACACCACATGCAACGTAGGCTCAGTGGGAAGTCGCTCATTCTCCACTGCTGCCCCAAGTCATCCGTGATGTCAACTTAACAGACCTTTGTCGGTGTCCAGCCTAAATATATTCCCTTTCTTTCCCCCTCCCCTCTGCCTGTGGCTGTTTTGTTTCTATAAAATCCACCTTCCCATTGCTTCTGTGCAGCTTCTTGAGATGCAGTCGATGTTAAGAATTCGGATGCTCGTCTCTTAACATCCAAACTGGTCACCACTCTGGGATACCTATTTCATAATTGTTTTTTTACCCTTTTATCTGGCAACAAAACTGACACCTTTTTTACAAGGAGTCATGTTTGCATTGAACACAATACCTGCGGCCGGAATGCAAACAAAACACACAACTCTGATAATGTATGCATTGTCCTACCTATTTCGATTCGTATTTTTCCATGGGTGAAAAAACCCCGATTTTTCCAGCGGCAGGCATCAGGTTTTTTCTTTAATACAATTAAACCCGATTTCGGGGAATTAAAACCTGGTTTAATGAATACGAAACTCTGGTAGGCTTCGGCTGCTTCCTCATCGGTGCTGCTATCATCGTACTCGGGGCCGTCGGGCACGGGGTCGTCGTAGAATGCGGCGGGCAGGTTGGTCTTGATGAACACGAGCTTCTCCTCCACAATCGTGGGCGCCAGCGAGTTCCTTCGCTTGGAATGGATGAAGCCCATCGTTGAGAAGTTGGCGAAGTGCGGTTCTGCAATTAGAACCAATTAAACCGGATTTCTCCCAATCTCAGATGACCGGGTTTAATATAAAAAGACAATTAAGCCCAATTGTAAAAAAACCCGACAGTGCCAGTGTGCCACCCTTGTATTTTTCACGTTGCGACGCAGGTAACCCCCCCCCTGGCCGCTAGAGGGCACTCGAGAACAAAGCCACCGATCCCCGAATCTCACGGCAGCCGGAATCGCCGCCACGAATCGTTCCGAGCCTTGGCGGAAGCGGCTCGAGGCACGCCGCATTGCGAAGGGCTCCTCCTCTCTGTGCGTGTTCGTGGCCAGTCCACCACCGCTCGACGGATGCCTTCCAGAAGCCGTAGTCACTTGGCGTTGTCTGCGGGGTAACAACTCCGCACGAGTCGCCTGCGCGTGAGATCATTTCAATATTCGTCGCTCCGTCTCCCGGCTCGGCTGCGTTCGCTGCACCGCCCCGACCGAACGCCGCCGTCGCTTTTCTTGTTCATGTTTTTGTTTGTTGCGGTTGCACCCGATTCAAGAGCCGAATTGCTCACAGGGCTCTACCTAATACATGAACTTGAACTTGACCGCGGAGTGAATTTGCGTGCTGCCCTGTCGCAGCGGTGGCACCACCAGCGATCGATGTTGCCCGTGAGCAGCGGAGATGCCCAACGCCGACCGCGTGGGTGGCCGCGACGGCTCCGGGAGGTATATAGCCGGGAAGCCGTGATTGGTAGCGGACAGCGTGGTCCAGATGTCTTGTGACCCCCCCCCCCCCCCCACATTGAATTCTATAAAACTTAAAAAAACATTTGTATAGCAATATAAAGATGACGACTTAATTAGATTCAATTGTGTATGTCAATTTCTTCGTAAAGGGGCCCGGTAAGTGTGTATGAGAACCAGCATTTCCTCGACATATTACGCAACATTTTCAGTTCCACTTGAGCAAACGTATTCAAATGGCTGAGCAAAGTACAACAACGTTAGGGGTCAATTAATGTTGGGGGTCACGAGACATCTGGACCACCCTGTTACACCCTCACGACGGGGACGAGGCCCCCATCCGGTGTGGCCGTGCCATGCGTGGGGGCGATCGAATCTAAAAACAGACGCAGCGTGCCAGTCCAAGGAGTGCCAGTGGACTTGGTGCGCAGCGGAAGCCCACGATGACGGTGGTGGGTTTTGTGCTCGCACCTCGGTGCAAGGGTGACCTCGCGAGGGCCAACGCAATAATTCTGATGATTGTCTCCTGACAGTTGAATTCTGGGAACATTAATCCAGAGCTGCGTCTGCCGGCGCTCGCAGAAACATTAAGCGACGACTTCGCTGGACAACAACAATTGAGTGTTGCGGCCGCCGTGGTCGACACGTGGCAGTCTTCCATTCGCGCACTTGATGAGAATCATGAAGGTGCCGTTCAGCAGATTGCGACTCGGGGTCGCAGTGGCCGTGGCCGGGGCCGTGGTCGTCCTCTCGGTCTTCGCCGAGCGACTCCTCCTCGCCCATCGCCTGAGCCACGGCGCACGGGCGCGCGTTCACCGCCTGCAGATGATAGCCATCTTCAATGTGGTCATCTATCTGCCCTCCAAGTTCGTCTGGACCAGGTGCGTGACCGAGCCCACCGCCGCTTGCAGCCGTGGCAAATGCGAGTCTTGGGCCGGCTTGTGGGCCGCGTGCGTGGCCACGTTCCTGCTGCTGGTCCACACCAGCCTCTTCACCGCCCTCTTTCTGGTTCACATCGAGCCCCACGTCTTCTCGCTGGTGTCCAGCACCTGTCTGGGCGCCTACATTCTGCTCAATTTCTGGCTGCTGGTCCTGCTCACCACGGACCGCTGTCTGAGATTTGCGGCCAGGGCGCTGACTCCGGCGATGAAGAAGGATGAGGAGGTGGAGGATGAGAAGATCGAGAGAAGGAAGAGGGCCCGCGCGATACTCGCCATAGCCCTGCTCCTCACCGTGTCCATGACCCTCTTGGCCGTGCACAACGCTGCCGGGCGACCCCACACACCCAGGGTAGAGGTGCGACTGCAGCGCCTGCCAGCCAACTTGAGTGGCCTCAAGGTGGCCCTTCTGTCAGACATACACCTGGGCCCCACGGTCGGCCGCAGCAAGCTGGCCCAGGTGGTGGACATTACTAACGGGCTGAGGCCAGGTAGGTGATGCACCTGGGTGGACAAAAGCATTTGAACCGTTTTGGATTTTTTTTCACAAGTTAGAATTCAGCTGTACATGCGCAGCCCCTTTTGTCAATCGACTGTTGGACGAGGGCATGCCCACCCCGTGTGGGTCGTGGGGGTTAATTGACCATTCTTGACCATGCTGGCTGGTGAAAGTGGGAGCATAGGTGAGGGAACATTGAATTACATTACAAGAATGCATTTTGCTGTACTTCCCTCTGCTGTCCACAACTTCGCCAGACTGTTTTGGGTAACGGTGGTTGAAACATCGGGTAACTTTAGTTTAATTTTGTTATTTATTCAAAGCCTTACTCATTTTTGGGAGGCTTTACATTGAGATGTTTGGTCAATTTCGTGAATATTTGCTTGTGGGGAAAGAAAATGTGGGTACCTGGAGAAAAGCCACCACGCATACGAGAGGGGTTAATAGTCTACACGTGCGAGGTTGATTACACTTTGTCTCCTGCCATCCTCAATTCAGGCCAAATCGCAGTCCATCGGGTGTGGACATTTGACATTCTGTCTGCATGATCCACCACCCATTGCCACCAATAGACTGGTTCCCAGCCATGCGCCACCATAAACAGCTCATCCATTACGGCTTCCAATAAACCATGGGGGTCCCTTATGATGCAGCAGTGTGCACAGCCTACATGTTGCGAGACATATGACCATCGTGGATGGCTGTATGTCTACTAAATAGTTTAAATTGCATGTTGAATTATGCATTATACATTGTCCGAGCAATCAGTTGGAAGCTTTTAATGTGGCCTATCCGCTTGAGCGGCAACGAGGGTCCCTGTCCTTGAGTAAAACGAATGCACTATTTTAGGGCCCAAATTTGAAAATGTTGGTTTTCGGATTTTTTACTTTAAAAGCATAAACTCGATTGCCGTTATGGAACAATTTGTATTGTAGCAAAGCCATTGGCCTCTCAGTATAAAAGACATCACGTGCAATACAGTACTGTACTGCATTTCCATGAGCCGCAGGAATTGAGTATGGTCTGAATTTCTGCTCAGAAACCGTTTTTCTATTATTTTTGTTATCTAAAGTTGGCTGCCATTTCGGCATGGAGGCCAAATCCACTGGATTGATTTCACTTCGTGGGCTGGCCTGCATTCCCTGTGTCAAAACTCGGGCCGAGCGGAATTGCATCACTCGAACGAACATGTTAAAATCAAAATTGTTATCGGCGTCAGGAACATATAAATGTACATTTATGTTAATACTTAACATTGCATTTGTTAACACAGCAGTAGACTAAATAATACTTCTTGGAAAGTCTTGCATCGGAAGTATTTCTTGTAAAGATCAGCCATACTTCCATCGTAACTTGATGAACTCGGACAATTAAGGCAAGGCCGCTCCTTTGATAACCTAAGTGCACTTAAATTGACTCCATTGGACTTTCCATGGAAACTTTGTACAACTACATACCTACTACAACAGATCTAAGAGAGAAAAAAAAAATGGTCCTCTCTAAACCGTGTGTTTGTTGTCACTGGCGCAGACTTGGTGGTCATCGTAGGAGACCTCGCAGACTCTCTGGTGTCCAACTTGAAGGATGCTGCTCAGCCACTGTCCTGGCTGAACCCACGCCTGGGCACATACTTTGTCACAGGCATGCCACGCAGTTGTAAACACGTTCATTATTGAAAAGTAGGTTTTACTTCATCATCATCACCATCATCAGCCATGATCTATCCACTGACAGATGAGGGCCTCCCCAAGCCACTGCCAATCCTTGCTGTGATGCAACAATATAACTGGCTCCTTCACATAAAATTATTTATTTCATTACTCCATTTCTGTCGTGGGCATACAAACGGGTGTGTTCACTGCTTTGGATGTGACTCAGTTGTTAGTCTTGACCATCGGCCTCCACCCCTTTTCGTGATGTGTCCTGCCCAAGGACACTTTACTTACAATCAATATGACATCCAACTTGTATTTGTTCTGACCCACGTTTTCGCCTTCCTGTCTGAGTGTAATTTCAAGCATGCACATATCCAAGATTCTTTAAAAAGTGCACGCATTTTAATTTTACGTTCAAGAGAATTGGACTGCAAGAAGCGAGTACAGGCTCGGTCTTTAGAAGGCGAAGGTTTCAATACGACGTCCCTGTGTGTCCGCACAGGTAACCACGAGTACTACACGCACGACGTGCAGGCCTGGTTCCAGTACCTGCGCTCGCTCAACATCCACCCTCTCCACAACCAGCACGTGCACCTTGGCGGCAGGCCGGGGGAGCGCGTGTGCCTGGCAGGTGTCGATGACATTGAGGCGTTAAGGATTGGGTATGCGTGTGTGGGGTCTGGCCAACAGCTCAGCTTGTAATGTGCACTTGATAACGCAACCTGATTTCATCAAATGGTCTCAATTATTAATGCGACCGTTTCTCAAGACACCGTGCAAAAAGACACGCACATTAGATCGTTGGGGAAAGGCAAAGGTTTTTTTTTGTTAGGGTGAAGTTGGAAAGAAATGGAAGGCCAGGTGCTGTGGAATATAATTTTAGTGCCAATCAAGATATTTGGACAAATCGGGATAAAACTAAAGACAAAATAAATTTCACTTTTACAAATGACAATGGACAGCCAGAGATAAGAATACGTAGGTCTTAAGCCTGAACTTGCAAAGGGGAATGGAGTCAACAGTGTAAAAAGCCATGGGGGAATCAGCGACTGCCCATTGTTCAAATGTTAAACTAGGGGCCTTGTCAGGAGGCCTTGGCTGCCAGAGTGGAGAGAAAGTGGTGGAGAGCAGGGTGAGGACACACAATGTCTCCACTTAACCGAGATATTGACACTGGAAGGGACTCGAGTTGCCCAAAATATTAATGTGGATATTAATTTTAAGTGAGTTATTGCTAAATGAAGTTTATGAGAGCAGAAAATGCAGTTAAATAGATGAATGTAATAATTTCTACTGTTGCATAACAACACCCATCGCTTTGAACACCAACAATACTTTGCGCATCTGTCATGTGTGTATCAAAAATATTTCTTAACATCCCTTGTATCTTTGAAAAACCACTGCACAGCCCTATTCGGAGTGTGATAAATGCCTCGCTCAATGTGTGCACACGCAAGCATGTTCACATCAGGTTATTAAGCTGAAGTTATATGGTACAACTTTACTGCACATAACTTTATTGCAATTTTCAAGTGTCACATAAAATCCTGTGTTGAACAGTGCAATTTCTTGTGCAGCAGAGTTGCATGTTACTAAGTCATTAAGCTCAAGTCCACAATAAAGTTTCGGCTGCGATGCCTGGCCCTGGTTCTCACCTCCTGTGGTGGATCTAGACCAAGGAGCCCAGTCGGTGATCTAGGCGAGGAAAGTCCACCTCCTCGGCCTATGAATATTTTTGGGGGCATTTTTCACAAGTAAAAACACTCATTTATGATTTGCTTTTTAAAGATATATACATTTAGTTTTCTGATTAAATATACCCATCCCATCTCTATGTTCCTCTACAACATTGCAGCCACATTGAATATAGCCATTAAGTTGTTATGAGCGTGTTTTCCATGTGCAAAAAAATAATTGTTGAACAAAGTTGGGTGTTGCAGAGCCACGCGTAACTTTATTTACTTGGTGATGCAGGCTGTTAAACAGATCAACGTGGCCAACATTGTTTTAAGCAACATTGTCCCCGCTTGCTTATCCTGCTTTGATAAGGGCTTTTGATGCTTGTGCCAGGTACCCGGGGCACGGCATGGACTTGGAACAAGCGCTGGCGGGCTGCGAGGAAGGGAGCGCCATCATCCTGCTCGCCCACCAGCCGCGGGCTGCACAAGCGGCGCTAGAACAGCGTCCGGACATCGACCTCGTACTTGCAGGTGCTTGCACATGCATCACAACGCTCAACAATGGCAAGGGAGTGGGGGGGCTAAGGGAGGTGGAGGAGGGGGCAGCACAATGTCCTAAGTGGTCACAACAGAGATGAGGCCATCATCCCAAGGGGCAAGCCAAATCTGATGCTCACAGCCACATCAGGATGTTTTATAGACATTTAACGATTCACCAATCCACTGATGTGATTTGAGGTCGCGATTCGATTCAAAAATATTTTTTTAACCTAATTTTTACTGTCTCGTTTGTATTGTTTCTTGCTTTTTAGCTCTTTTGTACGGTTTTATTCGCTCCATTAGCCTACATGTAATTGACATGAATAATGTATGCATGATTCAACTCATCATGATTTAAGGAATGTTTTAATTGATGACTCGGTGCATAACTATATGCCTCACATAAAAAAAACAAGCCGTACTACACATTTCTTAATTCCTCTCCTCCCATCCACTTCGTACCCAGATTTCACAATAAAAAGTAAAAGTTTAGTTGGAAATAAAATTCTTATAATTTAACTCCATGGCACCTTGTCCATTCTATCGAGTTCCTGTACTCCCCTCACACATTGTACTATATTGCATCTATGTTACATTCACAGACACTTTATACTCGAAATCCTTTAATAAGATTTCATATTCTTTGCTTGCTTATCGTGAATGTATTTTTGAAATGTCTAATGCCTTATAATTACGGACCAAATTTGGACATTTTTATCAATTTAATTATTGTGTAAACAATTTAACTTGTCTCTCACATTTGTACAATTATACTTTTGTTTTGTTTTTGCTTAGAATTTTTGTCTTCATGCTGTAATAGTTTCTATCGCCGATCTGCCTTGGAAACGAGACTCTTAAAGTCTCAGAGCTCTCGCCTGGCTTTGAATAAAGGCTATGATCGACTGATGCCAACAACCCCCCACCCCTCATCTCCCACATCCCATTCAGGGCACACGCACGGAGGACAGTTCTTTCCCGTGTCTCTCGCCGTGTACCTCTACAACCCGTTCTTCGCGGGGCTGTATCGGCACGGCGAGCACAGCCAGGTGTACGTCTCGCAGGGCAGCGTCTTCTACGGAATGCCCATGCGTCTGGGCAGCACCGCCGAGGTCACCGAGATCGTGCTGCTGTCGCACTGATGAAGCCCAGTTCCATCCGAGTCACTTAGCGGCATCTCGGCGTGCATCAAGGGGTGGTGACGAAATGGTTTTTGTGTCGGGTTAAGGGATAATTTGTTCTATTTTTATTTTGTGATAATGTGAAAAAAATGATGTATGCTGTAAGCTACACGAGCTTGTGTTTGTGTATGCTGAAGGAACTGCAATCTGAGTTTTGTGTGTAATTTTTATTATGTTAATGTGATGGTTAGATTGTCCATCCTGGTGTACAATAAACACTGTTCCCCTTTTAAAGAAAGTATTATTGACGATTTCCTGAAGGTAATACTCTACCTCAATAATGATCTGTCAATGATACCTCAATAATGGAATCTGTTGTGCGCTGTGTAATGCCTATAGATGTGGTGTTTCAAATATATGACAACGTTGCACTTGCCTATTTAAAACCACAGCACTTGGGTATGTTTATTTATTTGATGCCTTTCTGGCCTATTATAATAACCATCTGCCCCTTTTCAATACCTTGTTTTGTGTGAAACTTTTTATCCAAAAGCAAAATAACATCGTGTTTTTTAACAGTTTGATGGTGGATTTGTCAACATTTCTGTATTTTTTTTCTGGTTTTATCATTGTCAAGACATTTGCCATTGCACTTTGCAGATATTACAAAAAAAAGTGAACCATGAAAAAAATATAATGTTAGTCAAATAAAATGAAATGGTCGAAATGTTATCATTTTCATTTTTTTTTGTTTTATGTATATTTGGTGTATATTTTAAGTTTAGAAAAAGTATATTAGAAAAATAGTTGGACAAAATATTCACACATTTCACCATTATCTTTTCACCTTCAGTATTTTGGACATTTGGGGAACTTACATGTTTGCTGGAGGCTTCATTTTAATGCGAGTCAACCATTATTTATCAGTCTTTTTTTTAGATGGACAGGTTAGAGTTTTTCATTTGCCAATGCTTCTGCTATAGATATAACACCTACAGTTTTTTCAAATATCACAAAAATACCACCGTTTAACACGGAGGCTATTATGGAAAAATACCACCATTTGGTTATTTTCGGACATGTTAAATATGTAAAATAGTTTTAGATTCTGAACAAATTTTCGGGAAAATACATGTCTTGGAGAAGTGTAAAGCAAAATATATTTTTGACATCTTCACTTAATCGCAAAATTGCCACGAGATGGCAACAAAGTCCCTTATGTAAATGTATTAAAACAATACGCTTAACTGAAACGCTACTCAATTCAGAATATTCTTGTTGCGATATATGATACGTGGTGGACAGCAGAGTAGACTGCTCCACACTCCATTGCTCGATGGTATTTGTTTTTGACCTGCTTCTGCACTCGAGCAGTAGCATATCGAGGGTAAGTGGGCCACGATGTGCAATGAACATTGGCCTGACGTCTGTTAATATTTACTCCGTTCACTGATTGGATGACCTAATAATATTGGTTAGGAATAAAACTGACGCCTCTCAACATTTAATAACTACAATGACAGAACGTTAGACTGCCTTAAAGGACAGCATTCGCTCACTCGCGAAGAGACAGACTCAGACGTGCAAAGCGCAGCCGGAAAGGCAGCCACGTGATTAGTCAGCGCCAACACTCAACCCCCCAAGCTCTGCGCTCCTCTATACATTCCGGTGTTACCGATCAATTAATGAGTGTTTACATGTGGGGGGAGACCAGAGCGAGGGGGCAACACATTATCCCATACACACGGAACTGGTGGAGTCTTCCAAAGTTGATGTACCGCCTTCTGGCAAGCAAAGCGGGGTACACGGCCCCTGCTCGACACCCACTGGAAGGGAGTCTCACAACATCTGCGTGTGATCCACCAATCCTCGCCGCCTCCACAGGGCTGGCGTACAGGCCGGGTGCGTAGCCACCACCAGCGCCCCGCCAGCCAAATCCACAGGCGCAGAGAGAGAGAGATGTGCCACATTTCACAAGTTGTCGAACAAACCAAGGTTTATGACTAAAACATGGTCTGTGAAGTCCTGTCGCGTGTGTCACGTAGAGTAGCACCTCACCGTCGTGTAACCAACCAAACAGTCTGTGTTGTCGTCGTCGTCGTCGTCAGCCTCGTCACTTCGCGCTCTTGGTCAGAGGCGCGGTGACTCGCGCGCGTTCGCCGCTTGCTGTTTGGTTCCCGGTTGCATCCCGACGGCCGCCCTGATTAATACCGCGGGTTTAGCGGCCACGAAAGGTCGAGAGTGGATGCGTCGTCCGCTTCACGTCGGCACGTTAAAGATGCCGATGGCGTTGCTCGCAATACGAGGCAACTGTGCCATGGATCAAAAGGGTCAAATTTGAAAAATTACACGACCATTAGTCAATCGGAATATGCAAAGTAACCATCACCCTATACAAACTATTGTAAATGTTGTGGATTTGCTCTCCAACACACCGGTGCGCTGTACTAGTAACTAATTGGCATGTTCTGTTTACAAAACTTGCTAATTGGCTGTGTCGGGTGTTGGCGGGTTTAACAAAACATTTATATTTACGCGATCTAACCCCCCAAAAACACCCCTGTACAATGGTACCCCGGAGATCGAACTTAATTCGTTCCAGAAGGCAAATCGAACACCGATTTGTTCGAACACCGAATTAATTTTCCCCATAAGAATAAATGACATGAATTGGTTCCAGACACAAGGAATCTCTCATTATAAAGCATTTTTACACGAAGTTTACAGTAATTACATGCATAAAAGCATACAAAAAAACAAGAAACACAATACATAAATAAATGGAATAAATGAAATAAATGAACATTGAACTTCACTTTACCTGTAGTAAGGAGAGTTGATGACTTGAGTGGAAGGTGGTGAGGAGGAGGAGGAGGTGGTAAAACCTTTGTCTGGGCAAGCGTCATGCACGCTGAGCAATACGCGTCTCAGCCGTACTTTCAAGTCGAGATTGGCCGTTCGACCTCCGAATTTCGTTTGGTTTCCGGGGCAAAAAATGTTCGGAAATATCGTTCGAACACCGATTTGTTCGAGTTCTGGTGCGTTCGATCTCCGAGGTTCTACTATATTATGCACGATATTGGTCGTGAAAGCCGACTGCGTGTTAAACCATCACCCCCTGACTGCAAAACATTGCCAAGAGAAGGAAACGAGCAATGCGACTCGAGGGTTTCAAGCGTAATAATAACACCTTCCTCATTTAATACTATTAATACCTCCCTCATTTACTGTTCAGCCGTGGCCTCGGGACCTTTAATGTCGTATCGCTGCTGCCATCTCTCTGCTGCTGTCTTTTGGGACCTCTCCTCTCCGAATACACCACAACCCCCCCCCCACCCCCGGAAACCCCCAACTTTACTAAACCTCCAGTTCAACAAAAGTTTGGAGTGACTGTGTGAACCCATCAAATTCTCAGCGCACCGCCCACTCGAATAACAAAACTCTCTTCCTCCTGCGAAGTGGCGATCTCGGCACCGATGTGCCATGGCCCATTCGTGGTGATGTAACTCGCGTTTGGGAGTCGCCGCACCCTGCCCCAATCCCTCCTCGCTCTGCTCCTCCGCCCTCCCAAGTCCGCGTGTGTCGCACATAAATAGCCTGCCGCAAGTTGCCTGCGACTCCGAGAGGTTGCGAGAGAGAGAGAGAGGGGGGACGTCGCAGACCGAACCCGCTAAAGTTAAAGTTTGCAAGCGCTGAAGATGGAAGGTAAGTGGCCGTTGCCTGCGGTCAACACTCTTCGTGATTATTGTACGCACGGTGTGGTCCAGATGTAGCGTGACCCCCCCCCCCCATTTAATTCACTATGCAAAGTAAAACAAAGATCTCAGGCGTCAATCAATTGGGAGTCACGGGATATCTGGACCACCCTGTAGAACTACGTTCATCATCCAGCAGTGGATCGAGTGTTGTTCATGATAGCAGCTTTGTGGAGTGGAGCAATGGTGGTGGTGGTGGTTTCGTGCATTTCACCACAGCGCCCGCGACACTATCAACACTCACGCAGAGAGCCGCCCGCGCGTGGTGAAGTATGGCCGCACAGCACAGATAACGGTGACCCTTGACACCGTAGTGCAGTGACATTGAGTTTTAAATCGTAGGAAAAGGTTCACGCATCTATCAACCGCTTGAGGATGCGCTGTGAGACGTGTGCATTGTTTGGTGCCCGTTACGTGGAGCAGTGCTGTGTAATGAGTGGCTTTCCGTTTCAGGGGTTTGGTTAATGAAGAGCACGTGCGTATGTTGTTCTGTAAATGTAATGGTGTTTGAACGTGTGCACATTCATTTGTTTAATCTTTGAACTCACGTAGCGCCGTGTATTACTCTTAAAAGTGCTCACATTATGACCCAAGCACAACAGCCTATCGCTACGTTCATTATACTGTCATACAATGACATACTTTAAATGTGACATGCTTAAACACAGCGAGTGATTCCACAGGGCTGTAGAGTGTTTGCATTACTGTATTGACCAACCTCTGACCATGGCAAAGTTATACTGTGACGGGAAATGGAAAGTATGTGCTGCTCATAATTGCAGAATCCTATGGGGATCTAAACCAAACATTGTGAAATGTCCCACTACAAGCGCTGACCCTGTGAAAAACAAAAACAGTATCTTTCAATCTTTCAAGACAGATTTTAGACATTAGATTGCAAACGCGTGATACAATTTTAACACGTTTTTGTTAAAGATTGGAATGAATTACTGTATTGTTTGCAGCTGTCATGGTTTACTGCGTACCAATGGCATTCACGTAAAGTAAAAAATAAAACATTACACAGGCATATGCTATATTGTTGATTCTTTCGGTAAAGTCACGGAAATAGAAAACAAAAATCTAAATTAAAAAATCCACAACGTTTCGATCGCAACACAAGCAGTCTTCTTCAGGTGGAGAGAAATGCATATGCTAATTAATTATTCTAAATTGATGTTAGAAACAGCATGATATACGGGAATGTGAACATTCACTATCCTCGGCGTATTGTTTTGCCATATACAAGAGCGTTAGACCTATATGGGCGGTGCGGTCACCTCCAGTATAAACAGACAGAGAAACATTGTCTCTAAGGTATAACAGTGGCACAGTGATTGGTGCGCTGTGCGATAAACCTGGCGAGCCGAGGTTCAATTCCTGGCCACGTTCTAGCATGAGTGACGAGTGATGTCTGGACCGCTCCTTGGGCCACCCTGAAACCCACAAATAACCGGCATTGGTCAAACAACCACGTGACCACGACGAGCCCTTTAGCAGTGGATTGACACAAGGGCTATTGAATTTATTATAACCCATTGAGACTAGCTACTATGCGATCTAACCCCCCAAAAACAAACCTGTATTATGGGTCCATTGAGACTAGCAGTCTTTTCTTATTTCAAGGATAACCTATTCAAACAGATATCCACGTATGTTTTTGATACAGACATTGGTCCGCCTCTAATCCACTCCAGGCACTGGCCATCATCGCACGAGTCCCAGCGAATCGACGGTGCTCGACTTCTTGGAGACTCACCCCGAGCTACTGGAGTCGCACATCTTGGGCCACTGCACTGCGGACCAAGTGAATCGCTGGCTGTGCAAGCTGCAAGGTCGGGAGAGCGCTTCACATGAACTCAGTACCACACGAACACAACGATCCCACCGCCCGTGCGGTGAGCCCTACTGTTGGGGCGAGTGCAATTACAAGGCACCCGCTAAGAGGCTGGGATAGCGCACAAGGGGTGGGTGGAGTCGGCACCACGCCCGACCGCCTTTGTCTGCCCCTCTCGGATGTTTACGCACTGCGAACCAGGTGCTCATTTGAGGCTTGGTCGATCCCACGGGAGGCCCAGGCCCGGTTCAGATCATTGCTACTGATGTTAGCCGCGTTCGGCAATCAAATTGGGGTCACTGGGTTCAAAGTGAAGTGCTTGAAAAACCTCGCCACAGTCCTCTCTCCCACACTCACCCACACTCACCCACACTCACCCACACACTCACCCACATGTGGACGATAATAGAAAAAAAAGTCTGCGAGGGGCGTCTCTTGGAGTCCCTGCAAAGAGCTGATTACCAGCAACAATGGAACGCGCGTGGCCACCACATTCCTCCCCCAACTTCCCCAATTGAGTTTATTTTCAGAGGCCGATAAGAGTCCATGGGGTCCGACAGAATTCAAGTCAGGATAAAAGAAACATCCTCCCACTGTTAATTGAATTCACTCTGAATCATTTCAACCCCTTCCATGTTTTGTCCTCAATGTTCCATTAAAGTTGTTTTTCATGCAAGCCAAACCACAAGGGGGTTTATATGATCTGAAGGCTGAGCCAAGCATTAAAGTAGCCAATTTCCATCTTCCATAATGATTTTGTGCATTCATAATATTCGTCTCCATTTTACTGTTGCTAAGGCAACAGTTTGCCCTCCCTTATACGAAACAATTTCGTTTTAATTTGAAGTGCGGTATATGTGCGCAATATTAGCATAAATAAGGGCTGGGAAGGTGATGCATTGGTTAGTGCAATGTGCAATTAACCTAGTTTCCCCAGTTCCATTCCCGGCCATGGCTAACATCGGTGACGATATACAAATCAGTTTTGGGCTAATTTATATCCCACTAACTCCCATCTACCAGTTTGGTGAAGTAAGGCCAAAAAAACTCCACTGTCCAACACTGCGTGGGGATGCCCTCATCCAGCAGTGTATTGACAAAAGGACCGTACGGGGGTCAGGGTTTGGAGGGCAGAGGAGCAATGCTCATGACGAGTGACGCGGCGGGCGACTCGAGAGAGTTGGCACAGCGGGGAGGACAGTCGGTAAGTCGGGCAGCCATCTCGCTTAGTCAACCCATGGCACCTGCTGGGTCTGTTCCGTGACCTCCTACCAGCGGGCCTTCGCCTCTTCACCTGATGGCCTCAAAGTGCACCTAGAATAGCACAAGCATCGTGGCCATTTAGTGGTGAACGGCGGTTGTTGTCGTTATTGTTGTTGTTGTGTATATATGATCTGTTTATTCACGTGAAGTTGGTCTTGTTGTCGACAGGAGGGGGTGGCGGGGGCCTGGCGAGCTCGCCATCAAAGAGTCGCTCCTCCCTGCTCGCCCGCCGGGGTCGTCCGTTTATCATCGATGTCCACCTGGGCGACTCCTATCGCTTTGAACCCGACCGCGATGAGCTGAGCCTGTCCCTGCGCTTGGGTATGAGAGTCCAGCCGGCGTTACATTCACTGTGCCCGCCACTCTCTTCACTGTAGCCACACTTCTTTTGCAATACCCATACTTGATTAATTATACCCATAAATCATTTAATATACCAACCACTTAATTTAATTTACCTACCACTTAATCCACTATACCCACGCTTACTTTACTGTAATTACCGGTTGATTCACTTTACCTGTACTAATTCATTAATCCCATAAGTCGTTCATTTACTCAGTTTATCTGCTATACACGCACTTTATTTACGATATCTATCAATTTATATAAGATCCCTTGCTCACCGTACCCATACTTTATTCATTATTACCATCACTAAATTCACTATCCCCACACACGGTTACGATATAAGTAGTCCTTTTTACTCGCTTATACCCATACGAACATAGATACGCGATTAACTTTATCCATACTCCATTCACTTGACAAAGCTACAACACTTAATGTTTTAATATTTCAGTCATTACTAAATTAGGCCAGTAACTACAAGAGGCCATGACAGGGTCTGGCCCCCCACGACAAAGCAGTGCCCCCCCAGACTGAAGCAAGTCCTTCTTGTCGACAACGGCCACGTAGCACATCATGTCGATAATACAATTTCAACTCATACCGCGCACAGTATTAACTCACTCGTAGACAGAGAGCGACTTGGAGGCGCGAGGGACCGCAGATGAGCAGGAAGGCAGCCACGCGATGGGCCGTGACCAACATTTACCAAGCTCTGTGGTTCTCTCGATATTAAGGTGTTATTGGCCAATTCACGAGTGTTTACTTACATATTTCCCTGCTATCTTATGCCCCCTTCCCATGCCATCTCATGCTCAACGGTTTCACCTGAGCTCCCTCTGGGCCTGTGTAGTGCCCTCACTATTAATGTCATCAAGGTGTTGACAGGAACACAAATCCTGTGTAGCCGACTGAGACCTCGGCGGAAAGTGCCGTGAGCGAGCACACAAAGGGATTAGTGTAGCCAGCACCACGCCCGTCCCCCGTTGCCTCTCCAGCGCCGGTGTTTCCACACCGCACCAGGTACCCCTTGAAAGCTGAAGCGACCTAGGCGATGCCCGGAAATGGTTCAAATATATCTCGCCACTGATGTTAGCCACAGCGGAAAATTTTACTCAGGTCACCGGGTTTGTGTCGCAGCGCCGCGTTACTCCTGCACCCACGCAAACAACGCACAGATGAAAACGAACTTTGTGAATGGCCAGTGCTTGTGGGCTACTTATCTGTCGGGTGCAAGGTGACCGAGAGGGGTGCTGCCATCGGACTCGTGCCCCAATTTCGTTCCCAGCACCGGGTGCCAAGCCAACCATGACACGCGCCACTCGAAATGAGTCGTGCGTTTGCCAATCCCCATGTGGAGATACGCCACCCGGCACATTGTCTCGGCAGGGCTTCTCCTTATAAAGACAAGATAATGATTGCCCGACGTGAGTCTTCTGCATTCACTGCACAGTGGAGCCACTGTGGGCTGTCACTGCCTTGAGAATTATATCACTGTTGTCCAAGCATAATTTTTGAGTCATTGGAAACGGACACTTGTCTACTGGACATTGAGGTTCACCTCTCTCCTGCATTCTTCAGGACACGTACTGCTTGAGGGAGATAGGGCCAAGTGCCAGAATGGAAAGATTCATTGCCACACTGTACACGGGACACTTGAAGGGATTGTGTGAGTGACGCCAAGATAAACAGCTCCCACGGAAAATATCTCGCCACCATCGGTAGGTGGGCGGGCGGTTTGTGAGCCAAACATCTGGAACCCTTAGCGTTTGGAAAGTCGAGTTAATAAAAGCAGCTCACAACTCACATCTTACCCAAGGGTAGGGAGCATAAATACTTTATGACCGAGATGTTATGCAGGGACTAGAAACAGGCAAGCTGTATTTAAAGGAACACGAATCACACACAAGCTCGTGTTGCGCAACGTCTCTCAAACCGCGCTCTCATTCTTCCTGAAGCGGTGCTCCCGTTTCATGGCGAACGTTGCAACACCGGCGGCAAATCCCTGCCGCTCCCAACCCGTTACAGCGACTTGTCGACAAACAGCGGAAATTTGTCGGAGTGACGGAGCAGTGCTCGTATGGCAGACAAGGCTTCACTGTGACGCTAGCTCGCAGCGAGAGTGACTCATAAACATTTCTGGCAGAGCTGACATGCCACGGTCGCAACGCCGTGCAAAGCAAGGGGACAATAAATCCATTGAGCATGCCTAATTTGGCTGGACATTTGCAGTTATGCCTTTTTTTAGCGAGTATCCAAATACAGGGTGGGCTCACATCCGGATGCAAACGTGGGGGAGATGAAATGTATTTTGACATTTAAACCCCATCTTGCTGTGGGTGTGGAAGCAGTGACGCACGCCTTTAATCCAGCGACACAGGCAGGCAGGGTTGGTGGAGTCATGGAGGGCACGATCCACTGACTTGCCGAGCAATGGGGTGCTTGTAGGAGGCAGTAGAGAAAGTAGGTTTCAGACCTCTCTGCCAAGGGTTCTCTTGTACGAGTGGACATTTTAGGGACACTGGAAAGTTTTGCTCCCCATGAGAAAAAAAAAATCCAGTACCCAAAAGAAGTTAACCGATGGAGGATTATAAAAAAAAATTCAAACTTGAAATTTCATGGATAATGAAAATGCATGTATAAATGCCTCTATTAATTGTTTAATTTGACTTCCGACACTCACGATACATGCATTGCATTGTGTTTGGTTCTATTATTGCGTATTGCAATATGTTCAGGAGCTAAATGGTAATATGGAGGTCTGCCAGCCACGAGAGGGCTTCAAGAGAGAGATCGTGTCGTTTACTATCTGGTCTCTCGTTTGGGATGCATGGCCACAATGACACTGTAGCTTGTCTTTCATTTTCCAATTCATGGAGGATATGTGCATAGGCCTGTTGCTGTTCTTAGCAAATGATGGTTACATCAGTGTGTTCGAGGAGGAGTGCCAAATCCATGTGGTGCGATGGTTGCGTCTCGGGTGGGAGACGGAAGCCTCCTCACCTTGGCTCCCCCCCTGTGGCGTGTTTTTGTGTTACCTTAAACGCAACTAATACCGGTCATCTTTGTGAAATGGGCATCGTTAATTCATATCGCATCATGTCTGCATTTAGGTTAAAGTTAACGAGTGGAGCATGGAACAATATGAGACACAAAACCGGGAAATGGAATTATAAAAAGGCAAAGGCAAAAATATATATTTAAAATCGAATCACAACTCGAAGTGATGACCTCAAACCCCTGGTAAGTGGGCGAATTCTTCCAAACCTAGTAAATAAAGCCAACGGTGCAGCTCTGCAATTGCTCGCACAGTGCCGCTGCTGGCAGATGGGCCTCCACTCCAGGCAGCTGTATTGGAGCCACTTTTAGAGGATGGCAAGCAAAGACTTTCACCATTAACATCAAACGCTCCTCGCGTGCCGCAGGCCCAAACCCACGGGAGAGTGACAGGACCCTGATCCTGCTCAGCTCGAACGGCGCCGCCAACGGGGACGGCGGAGGCTGGAGCCTTGACGTGGAGCCGCTGGCGGCGGCGGAGGAGGAGGAGGAGGAGGAAGCAGCGATAGAAGTCCCCGAGCCCGGCACCACGGCGTGGGAGGAAAGACAATCGCTGTCTCTCGACCTCTCGGCGGTCGCGATTGGCGGAGGCGAAGCGGGGGGCCATCCGGCGGGCGGACGGCTGCGTCTGTCCGTGAGGAGTCCCGCGGACGCCATCGTGGGGGAGTACCTCCTCAGCCTGGAGCTCGTCGTCGGCGTGGAGCCCCTGCAGATCACAGGCTTCCCCGTGGGCAAGGTCTGGATGGTGTTCAACCCGTGGTGTCCCGGTACGACCCCCAGACATCGTCACCGGCTCCACCGTAGAAGATTCGTGTCCACGTTTGGCGAGCGGTTACGCTCTGCATGTTTATGGCCACTGGGAAGCAGACCCAATTTGCAAGAGCGCCGGTGCAGCACGGTAAAATCTCGATTGCTTGAACAAAACCTTGATTTTACGTAACAGTAGGCGGTGTGTGTTTAAAGAACGCAAACCAACATACAGACGTTGCGATGTGGCGTGGCCCACGCAGGGTTTGAACTCGGCGATGCATGTCGCCCACGAACGCCTCGCCGAGTAGCAAAACGGATTCTTAGGTGGGGGGCCACTTCGGAGACGCTTTTGGGGAACGATTCGTTAACAACGAATACGTTTTGGCAGGGGACGCCGTCTACATGGAGGATGAGATCGGCGTGAATGAATACGTCCTCAACGAGAAGGGGCTCGTCTACATGGGCTCCAACGACTACATCTACTCCATCCCGTGGGACTTCTCGCAGGTCACCGTTTGCAGCAGCTCCCGCACCAATCCTCGACACGCATTCCGCCCGCCGTGCTGCGTTGCGTTCTGTTGCTCGCTCCCGGCAGGATTCGTCTCCGCCTTGGCTTCACCTGTGGCGCCTCTCGTTATGTCGACAGTTTGCAGATCGGGTGGTAGAAATCTGCTTCCAGATTATGGACAACAGCAACTCGGCACTGGACGACCTCGAGAAGGACGTGCCGAGACGCGCAGACCCCATCCACGTGAGCCGTGTCGTGTCGGCCATGGTACGCGACGGTCAGCGGTGCTGCTTTTGACGAATTGCAATGGAATCCAACTGAAAAAACTAACGTTGTGCTCAACTTAACTTTGTGAACTGGCCAGTATGTATGTATGTATGTTGAACTTCTTTCGCACCATACGTAGCCGACCATGCTAATCAGAGGTGCGAGGAAGGATAACAAACTAAACACAACAAGGAGTTCTCAAGAAATGAGTTTTCAGTAACTGCGGCACAGTTTTTCCCACAAGACCGAGCATATTAAGTGGAGTGGCAGTTAACACAAAATACAAACATCCCTTGTATTTATTTAAATATTGCACCAGGTACTTGGTTAAGGCTGAATCAACTTCATGGAGGCCCAGGGCAAGGCACACGTGCCACTTCTCACTGACAGTAGAGTTTTAGGGAGGAATTGAACTCAAGTCGCATGGTTCGTAGCTCAGTGCACGAACCACTGTTCAAGTTTAAACACACGGATTCACACGGAGCGTCTGATCCGTCCGTCGTGCACGCCCTCCCCACGCAGATAAACTCCAACGACGACCGTGGGGTGCTCAACGGGCGGTGGAACGAGCACTACACGGACGGCACAAACCCCATGCACTGGACCGGCAGCGCGAACATCCTCCGGCAGTGGAGCGACAGCGGCTTCGAGCCGGTCCGATACGGCCAGTGCTGGGTCTTCGCTGCTACCGCCTGCACCGGTAACGTTCGGGACGCACGCCCGTGGACACGGTCTAACGCACGGCTCTACGACTACTTTGCGTGGGCCTCGTCGAGGATCTCGTAGCTCTCCGCGTGGCGTCACGAGCAGCGTGCTTTGCAGCCCGTCGAGTTGCTCGCCGTTCGTGTCGCTCAAATCCACACCGCGGGCCAGAGGTTGCAGACGCCTGGTCAGAGCATCGGGGAAATCCTGGATTTGAGGCTTCCAGGTTTCAGCCACTTGTGATTAGAACGGGTTCTCAAGTGTAGTGAGTTTACAGTCTCAGCCCAGCCATCGATGAATAGATGGATTAAAAAAAACTAAAGTTTTTTTGCTCAATTTGACAAAATCTAAACGACGAGAAATAAAACGCATTGCTCTCACTGCAATGGGGTGAATGCTTCTCGATTAAAAGGTGAGCGGAGAAGTGTGCTTTGGGTAAAAAAGAAGCAGTATACGTTAATTGAAACGTGTTGTATTCATGCATGAAAGCACTGCTCTGAAATTACCGCATTTTTTTCTCCAGTCTTTCATTTACAACCTCGCCATTAAACTTGGGAGAACATTTTGTAGAATACATCGAAATATAAATGTGCCATCGAATTTCCGAGGTTCAAGAATCCTTTCAATAGAGCTGCTGCGGACAATGATGATGATATTCTATTTGACAGCAATATATTACCAAGTACTTATTCTACATTTTATAGCAGGGAGTCATAATTCAATAGGTGGCAGTTACACAAATGATGTAAGTGATAATATATCATGCAATTTACGTCGTAAAAAAAAGGAACTACATCACTCAGTACAACTTTAGAGTGCCACTCATGTATGCTGTATATTAATTTACACCGCTTGGCAATACATTATTTCCAGTGAAAAGGTTCCTTAGAATAATCCCAGCGAATCAGTGTCCTATTATTAACGTACAGACAGGTACGGGCATCTCACGGAGAGAGCAAAGCAACCACCCCCCAATCCGTCTATTGACTTTTCAGACCAACATTATCCAGCAGTATTTGTTCAAGGCAGCAAATCGTGCACTGGTTTCAACCTCCTGGGTCTCGTCAGCAGGGTCAGTCTTGTAAAATAAATGCACTTGCTCGATGCATATTGTGTCCGCTGTGTGTGCACGTGTGTCTCTGCGTCGTGGAGAGTGGGAGTGCAGCGGTTAGCGCGCTCCACCACGAACCCGGCGACCAGAGTTCGATACCCGCTCATGGCCAACACCAGCGCCGATTATCTGCACCGGTCCTGGGTCTCCCCTAGGTCGACTCAGCCTCAAATGAGTACCTGGTGCAATGTGTAAAGATCGCCAAGCGGGAGACAAAGGCGGCCGGCCGTGGTGCTGGACACCCACCCCCTCGTGTGCTGTGCCGGCCTTCATAGGTGCTGCTCGCTAACAGCACTTGCCCCAAGAGTCTATTACAGGCTGTACAAGGGAACTTTGTTTTCGTCTTTGTCTTTGTGTTTTCCCTCTCTGGTCACGGTTAGCGCGCTGCGATCGTAAAGTTTAATTCCCGACCACGGCTAACATCAGCGGTAACTATCTGAACAGGTCCTGGACCTTCCCTAGGTTGATTCGGACATAAATTAGAAAGTCTGGCAACGTGTAAATATCAGCACCGGAGAGACAAAAGGCGGCCAGGAATGGTGCTGGCCATTCCTGGCCTCCTTGTCGCTTCATGCCGACCGTCGCAGCTGCTCGCAGACAGCACTTGCTGCCCCCCCCCAACGGCCTGCAGAATAAAAGTGTACGCACATCGTTGTCTTTGTGCCCCCTGCCCGGTTTCCATCCAGTGCTGCGCGCTCTGGGAATCCCCAGCCGCTGCGTGACCAACTACCTGTCGGCGCACGACACGGACGGCAACCTCGCCTGTGACCGCTTCTTCCGCGAGGAGGACCTGCAGCAGGTGCTGAAGGGGCGCAACGACTCGGTGTGGTGAGCAACCCCCCCCCCCTTCTTACTCTCTACGCTGCTGCTGCGACGCGACGATGGATTTTTGTGTTTGTTTTCAACTCAACGCGAGCCCGCGACGTTGCACCGGTCACAGGAAAAGAAGGACGGATGGGGTGGGGGGCATAAATCCCACAAGCAAAATCCCGAGATCGACGCGGTTGGGCTTGGCGACGAGGGGTGGAACGTGACGATGGATTTAACACGTGGGCTGTCGTGACCGGTGTTTATCGCAATGAAACGTGTCGTTAACTCATCGCCACCTCCAATTAGCACAGTTGGCTACGTACGGTGCGAAAGAAGTTCAACATACACAAATACACCCGACACAATCAGTAAGGCTTGTCATGCGAACAAAATGTGTCAGTCAGTTACTACTTCAGCAGTGAGATGGCGAGTAAAGCCCCAAAGGAGCGAGCGAAGGAGCAAAACGTCGTTCTCACTTGTAAATGTGTACTCGCCATCACACCAGTGTCCTCAAGTAATAGCTAATTGGCACATTGTGTTTACTTGACAAACCTTACTAAATGGTTGTGTCGGGAGGTGGTGATCTAACCCAAAAACCTTTATTGTGCGATGATGGATAATTACGGAAGGGGGGGTATTGATAGACAGTTAGAATAATGTAACTTCATACGGTAATTCATGTACAGTCCTTTTGTTACTCCACTACAGTCGAGCCGACGCCATCGTTTGTGGTGTGGGGCGCGTTTCCTCGCCCCCCAGGAACTTCCACTGCTGGGTGGAGAGTTGGATGGCGCGGCCCGACCTCCCGCCGGGGAACGACGGCTGGCAGGTGATCGACCCCACACCGCAGGAGCGCAGCAACGGTGAGCGCAGCGGGGGGGGGGGGGGGCCTTCATCTGGTCGGCACGACCAAACCCCCACCCCCTCCGCACAGCACGTTACTCGCTTGACTTTGGCCATGCCTCGTAAGCCAACGGCCGGCTCTCAGCAATGCACTCGCAGCTCACCTTGTTGTCACGACCCCCTGCGGTACTTATCGTTGCAGCCGTGATAGTGGAGCCTGGCCGTGTGGCGAGCTGGTGACCCGTGGCCCCCCACCACTTCGCTGCGCCTGCGATGTGCGGTTTTTGTCCCCCCGTCTCCTGTAAAGTGCCAGTTAAGACGATCAGCCCAGGCCGCTGTGACGCAGTTTAAAGGTGTATTAAATGAAGTCAGAAAAATATAAAGACGATTGCAAATACTTGCGGCGAAGAGGAGCGATCATGGAACACGTCGAGGCCACGTTCCCAATTGTATGTCATTCCGTGAAGAGTAAGTGGTGCTTGGACAGAGCAGGCCACGGGACGGGATGACAGCCAGTGGTTAAGACTTCCGTCCGTTTGGCAGCCGGAGGAGTGGATCGCTCTCGTGAAGGCGTGCAGGTGGCTAAACGGATGGGTGCATCACCGGGCCGTGAGAGATGGGGAGACCTTCATCCAGCAGTGGAATGCTCACGGCTGTTGCTCATAATAATGATAACGACGATCCGGTGGCACGTGTGTGTGTGGCGTGACGCAGGCGTGTTCTGCGTGGGGCCGGCCCCCGTGGTGGCGGTGAGGGACGGGGAGGTGAGGCACCCGTACGAGGCGGCGTTCGTGTTCGCCGAGGTCAACGCCGACGTCGTGAACTGGGTGGTGACGGCCGCGGGAGAGAAGCGGCGCGCCAACTGCTTCACGGGCTTTGTGGGGCAGAACATCAGCACCAAGCACGTGGGCTCGGACGAGCGGGAAGACATCACGCACCTCTACAAGCACCCCGAGGGTCAGACGCACGCTTGCTCAATCACGACGGGCGCCGATGTTTTTTTCTTTTCTATTACGAAGTTCTACCGAAGTTTTATCCCGATTTATCTATCGATGTTGCGTCATGAGACGTGACCATCTGTGTGACCCTTCACGTTAAGAGAATGGCCCCGGGAAGCGGATATCACAGAGCTACATCTGAGATCCCTTCAAATGACCTGGGGTCAACACAGAAGGGGGCCACTAATTTCCAACCGCTCTTGGACTGAGAGCAATGCTCGTCGTCTGAGAAGTTAAACCAATATCTTTAATTCTCAGACAGACTTCAGCCAAATTAAAGTACAGAACCGAATTAAACGTGGTATTTTTTAGGGTGTAGTTATTGGTCATACGAAAGATAGAAAGATTGGTGACCAGGCCGAGCCAATCAACTGGCTGTACTCGAGGACCCGGTTTAATCAAGAGGGGCTGAAACACGAAATTATACAAATCTGTTCACACACAAAGACAAACATCCCCCTATAGCCTTAAACGATTGTTGGGGCAAATGCTGTTAGCGAGTTACTTATGGAGGCTGGCACGGCTCACCAGGGGGTGGGTGAGCAATACCACGCCGGGCTGCCTTTGTCTCCCTTGTGGTGATATTTATACACCGCTCTAGGTACTCATTTGAGGCTGAGTCGACCTAGGGGAGGCCCAGGACCAGTTCCAATAATCGTCACCGGTGTTGCACACACAGACACGCACACACCTACCCCAGCAGGATTATAAATCATCCCTCCAAACATTTGCTTTGCAATACAGAGGGGGAGGGGCAGGTGGAGAGGAGGAATCAAAATGTGCGCCGTGAAATGTGGCGAATCCGGTAACTGGGCACGAGGCCGCACTCACGCTGCGCGTGCTCTCCTCCTCGGCGGCGTGGCGGCGGCGGTGACGCGCAGGCTCGGCGGAGGAGCGCGAGGCGTTTGAGCGCGCGGGGCGCGGGGCGCGCGACGCTGCCGTGGTGCTGCGCGACCTCGAGGCGCTCATCAAGCTCAGCGCCTCGGCCTTCGTGGGCAGCAACGTGGACGCGCACACGGTGGTGCGCAACCGCTCGGGGCGCGACCTCACGCTCACGCTCACCTCGGCCGCCGCGGCGCTCACCTACACGGGGCAGTGCGGAGCCGAGTGCGGCGCGCGCTCCTGCAGCATCACCGTGCCGGCCGGACAGAGTGAGTCGTCGCCTCCCGCGCCCCTTCTTTGTCAACTCCGTCTCGCGGTCTTCTTCTGATCCACATTTTTCTCCTTATTCTTCAACTTCTTCATCACGTTTGTTTTTCTTCATCTTCATTTGCTTCCTATTCTTCTTATTTTTTTAATATTCTTCTGCTACAGCTTCATCATCATCCTCTTTGTCAAGCTCACATTCTCCTCCTCCTCCTCTTCTTCTGCGTCATCGCCGTAACCGACGGGGCTCGTCTGCCCCTGCCGTCGCTGCTGCCTGCGGAGTTGTTCTTCCCCGGCGTGTCCACCCCTCGCTCTGTTCTTTGATGTCGCTTGCCCAGCTGATGCCCAGCTCTGCCTCGTCCTCTTGATCATTCTGCCGCTTATCCTCCCACCTGTCGCCGCTTGTGCTCGTCACACGCGCGGCTTGATTACTTATAAAAGTCCGTTTTCACCACTTGCCTTCATTCTCGCCACAGATACCTTTGCAAACATGGTCTTTGTACGATATTGCTGAAAGCCTTCTGAAAGTTGTAATTTCACCTGCTATGGGCTGTCACCCTCGTTGGTCAATGTATATCTTTCACAGTTTCTGAGTAGACCGAGGCTCTTAGTAAACTCCTTCTTTGTGGATCAGAGTCCAGCCAAAAATCCCAGCGCCTCGTCCGAGTCAGTGCACATGAAGAGTTTGTACGTGAACACTTCTTTGTGGATTAACTTTTGGAGTCACGTACAAACATCCCGTATACAGATATGTAAGAGCATAGATGTTACATCATTGCATTGATCAGAAATATCTGAACAATGCAATGTGCTGAGGACCCATAATAGTCACATTTGAAATGAACGAACAGACTATTTAAATTACATTTCCCAGTCAAGATATGACGTGCAGAAAGATGGTTTGTTATAGTTATCTAAATAGACTAAGGTAGTGTTAAGTGTTGCAGTGGTTCGAGCACCACGCTATTAACCCAGCCACCCAAGTGCAATTCCCAGCTGTGGCTTACATCAGTGGCGTGAACGAAATCTCAACTGGTCTCTGGGCCCTCTTCACCAAGCCACACCAGAGAGCAGCATGGTGAAGAAGTATGGTCACGTGACTCCCGTGACAGAGACGTTCACGTGCCGCGCCTGCACGCCTCCTGAGCCCGTCTGCCGGCCCCTGTTGCCGCCTCGCAGCCGCACGCGAAACCCTGCGTGTGAAGTACAAGGACTACGGGGAGCACCTGACGGACCAGAACCTGCTGCGTGTGACATCGCTGCTGGAGGAGCCCTCGTCAGGGCAGCTCGTCATCATGGAGAGGAACATCACGCTCAAGAGGCCCCGCATCACCGTGGCGGTGAGGGCCTGACCCCGCGCACACGTCCGCGGAAGCGGCGGGAAGTCGAAGTGCACCTAGTCTGGCACGAACGCCGTGGTAATGTCGCCGTCGCGTAGTGAACAACGGTGACTGGTTGTTGCCAGCTCCTGAAAGCGATAGGCTTCAAAATTGTCATTTGACGCTTTGTAAATCTACAGCCACACAGCCCTTTCTGTGAGTCTGCCTTGTAAGCCATTAGGGATACTTGGCCCTACTTTGTTTGACTGCTGAGTGGGTTGGTGACAGTGGAGGTGGGGGAGGTCATTTGAGGCAGAGTCGACCTAGGGGAGGCCCAGGACCGGTTCATGTTCATAGTGCAGCACACTAACCGCTACACTACCGCTCCCCATTCCTCACACACACACTACCATACACACGCACACACATATACACATGCAGTAGCGGTGCCTAAGTTTGCCCGGCGCACTGGAACACAGAGAGCCATTGCTTAGAATCGTGCCTTTGAATCCATCAGGCAGGCTGGCTCTGCACTGTGCGACACCTTGCCGGCACACACTCCGCCGTGGGGAGCCTGGCATGTGGCAGCTGCTGGAAGCGAGCGAGTGAGCGAGCGATCCTTTGTATCAAAGGCAAAAGCTGCTCCAAAGCAGAAAGTCGCCGGAATTGCTACCGCTGTTGGAAGTGCAAATGCAACACTTGCGTGCGGTTGTTGGTTCCCCCACCTGCTCTTTGAGATCAATAAAGCATTGAGAGATCCTCTCTCGCAAAGTATTCAATTCAGCGACATGTTAATCAGCGGCACGGTGTGTTTTAGTTTGTTTTCTAAGATATTGTTCACCAGTGTTTGATGAATTCCCCCATTCCTCTGTAACCGTTTGTGCATAGTCTGCAGGAGTCCCTTGGTAAGCAATGCATGCGCTGTCTGCACAAAGGCTGGAGGAGATTTCCTGATTGAAACCGGTGTAATGGGTTTGTTTCATTCTCTTTTGCAGATTGTGGGCGAACCGAGACAAAATCGGAAGATAAAGGCCAGAATCTCCTTCACAAACCCTTTGCCTTCCAAGCTTATCCACTCCGTCTTCTCTATCGACGGCGAAGGCCTCACAAGTCTGCAGAAAATCCCAGAGCCGTGAGTCTTGATATTCCTTTTATCCGTCTCCTATTTTCAAATCCACAAAGCTGCAATACTGAATAATACAGCATCGCAAAGCTGATTTAATGCAACACAGTTCAACCACCACGTAGGCTTTTACGGTTGTGTTGTACAGCTCTCACGAGGTTTATTTTTTTGTTCGACCGCATGTTGATCAATACGATGTCCTCTACTTTAATGTTATACATAGGTTATGAATCGTGATGTCTTGACGTTTCGCTCCATGTGCTGGTAGCTTCTTTAGGACCTGAATTGACCAGCTTACTCGAGGCTCAGAGTTAATGGAACTGCTCACTTGTGAGTTGAAAGTGAATGAAGCTGCTCAAATCCGTTCCCTAAGAGGCAGCGAAACGTCGGACACAGTGCCACACAACGCGCTGTACAACCCGAAAACGCATCAGACAGCTGTATCGCATGGCTGTGTAATAAATAAATAAAACCCCGATGAGAGCTACACAACCACAGCTCTGATGTTGTCTTCTTCTCGTGCCCGGCTTCCGACAGAGCTGCCGAGATCGGCCCTGGGGAGACGCTCACCGTGGCGGCGGAGTTGGCACCCAGCCGACCGGGAACCTTTCTGCTCTCGGTGGTCTTTAACAGCGACCGCATCAGGGACGCCCACGAGAGCAAGAGGGTCATTGTGCGGCCATGACGTCGTCCCCCTCCCTCCCCTACCCCCCCCCCCCCCCATTTTTCCACCGATACAAATGCTTTGCTTATACACAGGATGCTTCAATTTTTTTTAACACTTCTGAGACTTTGCAACAATGGCACAAGAAATGTGCCTCTGGGCTCTGGAGACCACCTGGAGAATATTCCAGGCACGTGTTGACAATGATGGCGAACACAAATCACCTCTTTCCTAAACAATTGCAGAAGTGTTAAGAGAGAGGTTGTGCCAGAACGCGTAAGCTCCGCTGCGTGACACTTAGGATGGTGAGAGAGTGCAAGGAAGTGTTTCACAGAACCACTCCCTCGAGTGACCTGTTATCCATATGCAGCGGATGTCATTTGCCTCACTTGCCCCGCTGTAACGATTGTTTTCTCGCAACGCAGTCGGTCAAACCGATGCTAGTAATTCTCAGCTGCAAGTAGGCAAATAAAGTGGGGGGGGGGGGGGGGGAAATACGAATTTTTTTTTATGCGTTCAGCCAATGAGTCGCAACCGTCAGTGAAAAGCTCGCTCTACTTTTTTTTGTGAATTGATAGCAGCCTGCACATATTCTCTAATCCATGATCTCGGCAGTGCTGGCTCATTTGTTCTGACCCCTGAACCACTCGAGCGCTCCGAAACAATGGCTCGTTATCGAAGACAAGGGGAAAGAAACGTCGCGTTCCAGAGCGCTTTCAATTCGTAACTTTTTTAGGCGTCACTTGCAAAAGAAGGAGGCAACTTGTCTCGCCGTGTTTTTGACTCATGCATTGCGTCGAGGGACTGATCTCATGCAAAGATGTTGTCCACCATGTAGGCATGCCCCACATGCACTTGGGATGTACGTGGTTTATCCCGATTTAAAACACGCAACATTGTGCTCGTGCGTGAGGAAGGGGCGGAGCGAAACAAAACATCGAAGGCTGTCGCCCTCCAGACATTACCTTTTCACGTAAAGTACCGGGAGCCGGTGTTGACGTGGCAATTCGGGTAATGGAGAAGGGCGCAATGTGTGCAGGCCCAGGCGCTTACACAGACAGCTCCACCAACCACTCTTCTCTTGACCCCTGGCGACGGGCACGTGCCACCGATGATGACCATAGTGCGTTCTTGGTCATCCGTCACCAGCAGCCAGGATCGATCCACTGCTGGATGAAGGCCTTCCCGAGTCGGCGCCATTCCCTCGCGGTCCGGCGGTGCGACGCTCTGCCCACCACGTGCGTGTGCATGCGAGCCGATCTCGTCGCTCCGTCTCCGCGTTGGGCGTTTGCTCCAAGGCGTTCCATCTCCATTGCTCGGCTGCCACTTCATCATCATCATTGCTGTTCCTGTCGTCCCATCAATTCCTTCGCGCGATATGCCCTGGCCCGAGGTCACTTCTTTAAATTCAAACTTAACAAAGGTAAAGCGAGTGCCGTTAGTATTCCGACTGTCTCCAAGAGGCGGGGCTGGTAACTGTCGGCCTGGATTTGATGCCGAAACTCGCTCCCATTGTACCATCCATCACGTGAGCACAGAGGCAACATTGAGAGCCGCAATATTTTTTTTTATGCCATCACATTTATCAACACAGCCGCTGTGAACTTTACTTCTGCTAAATGGGACCTTTTTTTGTACGTATCAAAGTATGAGAATATAAGAATAGGTTTTACCCTTTCTGGCAATCAAACAAATGTTAAATTGTTCAAACACCAAATAGAAACCTTTTGCAAGGAATCAAGTCTGCAATAACCACATACAGTACTTGTGGTGAACATGCAAGCAAAAAACATGCTCTGATAATATTTGCATGATATATTATCTTGCTTCCGCTATACTTTCTCCTACGCCCATAGAGCTGGGACAATTATTACAATCAATGGAAAGTCAATCATTGCTGTTGGCACAGCCTTCAATTCAATAATTACCTTTGTCTCAATTGTATTGTCTCGTCTGTAGTTTCTTCGTTTTGTCTCATTTTGACAGATCTGTCCACTGCATTTGCCAATATTTGCTTACAACTCGCGTACATCATCAATGTGATTGCCGTTTCAATACGTTTATAATTAGCAATCAGTATACATTTTTACGAATGAAATGTTGATGCCTGGTTACATGCCTGGTAACAATGGTGCCTTTGACAAAGCTCCGCAGTTCACCAACACTACAAGAGAGCTTCACCTTTGCCAAGCGCCCTTGAGAATTAGCAGTTCTCCGTGCGCACTAACTCAAGTACTCGGACACACACCTCTATCCAGAATGTTAATTTATTTACTTCCCAATCACAGTACTGAAAACAACTGAGCATTAATAGTACGATAGTATTACATGCACTTGTATCACAAAAGCAACTGATATTCTTTAAACGATGTAACCACCGCTATAAAATTAGCATTTGAAAATGAACACCCATCTCTGGGTGAACTGTAATGTGTGAATTTAATAGAAAATAAAACAAAGTGTTCTCTCTGGAACGGACAACATAAATAGCGCTTGACCTTTCATTTGTGTCTTTATAAATTGCTGCATTTGTGCTGCGCTAAAGTATTGGCACATAAACGCTATTTAGCTTATTGCCATTCAATCACAGGAAACAATGCTAATTGCACAGTGTATCACTAAATTTCCCACAATGCCTTTTCACCTTACATCTGTATTACGCTCATAAAGTAGCTTATAATCTCTTTGCATTTGTAACTTAAACAAGTAATAGTTTCCACAGTCATTTTGAATGGGCCACAGCAAAGTGCCACACATTGAACAGTAACAGAGGCAACGTTTAAATACTTCCATCTGTTTAGTCAGGCTCCTTTGTGCTTGCGCGCGTGTACGCACAAGATTTATATTGACGGTAATTCAAGAGTGCAATTCTGCGATTAATTTTTAATTATGCCGCTCAGATTTTGGACGACAAAACATCTGGGGTGTTTGTTTTTAATACCAAATATTCAAACGCTGGCTCGCACGATGGCTGCGCTACATCTAAGAGGACCGACGCGGACGCCGCTTCGATCAGGTGCTGCGACGGCGGCGTTGTCCTGGTGGCACGGCGCTGGAATGCCGGCACACACCTCTCTCGTGCGCCCAACGACTGCCAGCGGTCTCCTCGAGGGCACGGTGCATGAGGCTCGGTTGCTCGGCGAGTTCGAATGTGCGAATCTCTCAAACCTTCACTCCTTGCGCCTCTTGTATGCCCAATGCTCTTTTTTCTTCCGACGACAGTCCCGATTTCAGCGTTCGCCGAACTGTAACGCCAAAGCATTGCGGGAAGCGGTCATTAGCCAAGTTGGAACGATTCACCGCTTCGCCCCATCTACCCCGGCAATTAAATGCATCGTTGCAATTCAGTCAGGTGGTTAAACCACGGATTGATGATTTTGAACGCTCCTGAGCCCTTAGCCACCCAGCCACCTCTCCCCGGGCATCGGTTCTCATGAAATGAATTACATATGTCAACTGCAGAATAAAGACATTTGGGGAAAATACATATGCATTTGATTGTGTAAAACGTTGCAACGTGCGTTTGTCTTTTCAAAATATTCCATGAGCAGCGTGGAAGCCGATGGGTGTCTGTCAGGAAAAATGTTTTTGCCCGGGTTTGTTTCTCCAAACAGGGCAAACCCGAGATCTATTTGGCCAGCTTAAATAGAGTCCCTGACGGCCACACAACTTTATCGTAATGTTTTGTTCATTTTGCAGGGAGGGGCTGGGTGGGGAGGGGAGGGGCTGGGTGGAAAGGGGAGGGGCTGGGTGGGGAGGGTGGGGAGGGGCTGGGTGGGGAGGGGAGGGTGGAGAGGGGCTGGGTGGGGAGGGTGGGGTTGGGTGGGGGTGGAAGGGGTGGGGCTGGGTGGGGAGGGTGGGGCTGGGTGGGGGGTGGGGCTGGGTGGGGAGGGGCTGGTCCCCCCGTGGTGCCCTTATAAAACTCAAAGTTTAACCTACTCACGCCGGCTTGTGCCCGCGCTCACAGTCGGACATATTTGCGGAGTACACCACGCCGCTGTTGACCCTGGCCATTGACCGAGCAACCCAACGTTCCTACCAGCTCCCTCCGCAGGAGGAATGTGTTACGTGAATACTTTCAACCTTAGTGGGCGAGCTTCTCCTGCGTTTTTGGGTTTTACCGCAAAGTCTGACGTTTCGCTCCCGGTCCCGGGAAGCTTCTTAAAAAACCCCGAATAAAACACGAGGGGGGTTATAAACGACAACGACAAACACGGTGAGAGCAGCGCCGGCCTTGGGGGAGTGCGGGGCGGGATGGGGGGGGGGGTCAAACTCACTGGACTTGCGGTTGGCGCGCGAGCGCTTGCGCTCCTTGGGCGTGGCGCGCTGCACGGGCGCATGCATGGACGAGCGCACGATGCAGTCCAGCATCTCGGTCGTGTCGTCCTCCGTGGCCAGCAGGTCCTCTTGCGATGGAGCCGGGCTCATTTTGCTCGTCCGTGCTGAAAGGAAATGGCACAGGGCTCGGCACGCCGACGAGATAACCTCGCGATGAATCGTTTTGAGGCGTTCCAAAGGTTGAAGAGAAACGGACATGAGGGGCGCTTTTGTCGGGCACATGTACGCGTACCACTGACCGTGGGCCCTAAATCAGCTGTGGAGAAATGCTCAACGATGTTTTTGGAAGAGGCACATGAGGGCAGAGATGGAGCATCTGCTGTGGGCTTCACTGTGCAGTATGCAAGCCACCGTACCACCGCTCCACCTCAACAATCGTGGAGAAATAATAGTTCACGCCGATCTGTTTGACATCTGTAAGTCTTCCCGGGACATTTTTTTGCTGTCAATACACCAACCCGAGGCAATGCTTGCACGTGTGCTTCTCCCCTATTCCCAGGGACGTATTATTCCCACGACGCACCCGGGTTTCTTTGTACCTCGGACACTGCAACCCTACACTCCAAAGTGACGCATCAGAGGGCCTGGTTCCACCCTATCGTCTCACCACCCAATTCCGAGGCTTCAAAAATAAATCCCATCACCACTCTCGATTGTTGCCTGCACTTGGGGGGGGGGGGGGGCGCGATGCGACGGAGCTGCGTACCATTGCTGCGTGTTCGGGATCGCCGCATCAGCGAAGAGGGCGTGCCGTCGTCCACCATGAGCAGGGAGGTCATGTCGTCGTGGGCCTTGCAGTGCTCGGCCACAGAGGGGGAGCCGCTCTCCGCCGAGGCGGTCGCCTCCGTCTCCATGTCGAAGGAAAAGTGGCCCATCTGAGTGAGGGGGTCACAGGCCGTGGGTCGGGGGTCGGGGGGGGTCAGGGGTCGGCGATCGGGGGAGACGGATGTTTTGTTTCAACTCTGATTTTCAGGACACGTATAAAAACATTGTGACGTTGACATCAGGGTACACGAGGTGAATAAATGTCCATTTGTAAACCCCGTAGAGCGGTGCATAGCGTCGTGTTATAAAGTGGACAGTGGATACAGATTTCAAAGAACGGCTTTTGAGAGCCCTTCAAGTGGCCTCTCATCCACAGCACGGATGCTAAACTTGTTCACCTGCCTTGGCAGGTTATTCATTGCATGGCAGTCAAAGCGAAATGATAAATACTCAGCGGTGAGAATTTGAAGTGAAGAAAAGCAACGTAACGGGGTGACTGGGCTGAGACAAACTCGCGACACTTCAGGTTTAACCGCAAGCAGTTGAAATCTGAATTCGAACCCACATTCTCAACGCCGTTGATTTGGTGCTTTGATCCCTGAACCACCAGACTCGTACGTTTAATAAAACATACCAACCCATACAAGCGCGTATTTTTTATCTTATTTTATGCAGTCATCGTCAGAGACTTGTTGCCAAAGCATTTTTCTCTGTAGATACTGAAAAGTAATTAGTGCAAGTGTCCTAAACAAGACGAGTGCACAAGCTATGAATTGTATTCAAGATGCAACCATTATCACAAAGAGTAAAAACACATCAACTGCAATCGTGTTTCCACGTGATATCGCTGGTCTACAAAACACCGAGTGATTTAAATACAAGCCCGCAATACATAAGGACGAAATAACTGCAGGTAACTTCATTCGATACGCCGCGAGGGCAACGCGTCACTGCGTAATCTACGTGTGGTGGCTCGGCACGGCACGGGTTCTTCAGTGGGAAAACAACTGGCACGCCCCTCCTAGGCCGCGTTGAGGGCCGGCTCCCTTCTACGGTGGGAAAGAAGCATAGAGTGGGCCCCGGGGAGAAGCGCGGGGGGGGGGGGGGGGGGGTGTGTCATCACCTCGGTGATCATCTTGCCGCGCGTCTTGATACGCTGGCGCACGTTCTCGCGCTTGAGGCGCTGGGCGAGGACCTGCTCGCGCACCGTGCGGTACTCGAGCGCAAACTCGCTGAGCACGCCGCAGAAGCGCGTCGCCGTCTCGTGCCGTGCCGCCGCCACCGAGTAGCCCAGGTAGAGCAGGAACGCGCGGAACCTGCCCAGCGCAGACCAGCCGCGCGACCATTGCAGTCGTCAGAACAGAACATTTCTTTAACGAGGCCGAAGGCGCGATTTGCTTTCTCTGCGCAACCGCCGGCGGGGGGGGGGGGGGGGTGCACCAGGAGAGAACTCCTCGAAAGGAGCGGCGGGCGACCTGCGTCGCGCGGAGCCCCTCGTGGTGGCCTGGCCTCGGCGTGCCGAGCGAGACGCGCGGGGGATCGCGACGAGTGCACGGGGACGGTGTCAAGCTTGCGGCCCACTCGAGGTGAGCGAGCGCCGCGAATGTGGCCCACTAGCTCGTCTAGGTCTCCCACCACCGGTCTAGAGGATGTTTTGGCCTACTCTTCCAAGATAGCCAGACCTCGTGGAAGAGGTGGGATTACCAATGCGTCGCCCCATCGCACGCGACCCACCGATCGAATCACTGTGGTGCACCCCCATTTATTACGGCTGGATGGAACGAGGCAATGAGTGGGATTGACAACAACAACACTTGCACCATCGTTTCAAACTGCAGCATGTTCAGCGTACGAACTGCTGTGGCATGGCAACTTCCCTGCAATAAAAATGATGGGGGGGGGGGGACAAAAGAACTCTGAACACTGGGGACCTGCAAGAGTGCGATAGCTCATGGCACAAATGTACTGTTGTGATAGGATGCAATTAATCTATACAAAGGAATGTTTGGAAAACAAATTACAGCATTTTTTAATTCATATTCAAGTTGATTTATAAACATCTTGAACATTCAAAAGCATCCTTTTTTCTCTTTCCTTCATAAACTCATTACAGCAATGCCATGTTACAAAAACTCATTTGGCTAAAATAAAAAATGATAGAGGTCTTTTGGCAAGGAAGTTTACCAAAATGTTTTGCTACTTACGCAACAGCATTGTTTCGAACACAAGACCGATAATCCCGGACACCACAAACATCGCTCATCATTACAATCAGCCATGATCTATCCACCGTTGGATGAAGGCCTCCCCAAGTCGTCACCACCGCTCACAGTCACACAATGCAGCAATGGAGCCGCCGCACGCGAGCTCATCTCATCACGCCGCCTCCCCGGCGGACGTCCTCATCAGCGCGCTCCTTTCTTGGGCCGCTATCCCATCACCGGTCTCTACAATGTAGCCAGTTGTCTACCCCGCCGATCCCCAATAGCGACACAGCCTCACCGTCTTTACGGGCCTATTGTCAGGTGGACGGACGACGGAGCCGTCGCATTAAGACGTCGTGACCTCGGTCGCGAAGCACCGACAGACGCACGCGGCTTGCGCGAGACGGGCGCCGCGCGGTCGCCTACCGGTTGTCGAGCCGGCGGTGCACGGCCTTGAGGACGGCGACTCGCTCGGCGCAGTCGCGCAGGAAGTCGCACAGCCGCGTCTTGAGCTGGGCCCGCGCCTCGTGCTTGGCCACGGCCTTCAGGTGGTCCCACGAAGCCTTGCAGCGTCGCTCCAGCTGCGCCAGATTCTCCGCCAGTTGGTTAAAGTCGACCTGAAATAACACGCGCACACACGCACACACACGCACGCACACACATGCACACACACGCGCGCGCACACACACGCACACACACACGCACACACACATGCACACACGCAGCTTTGGTCTCTCTCGCGCACAGCTAGATAAATATCAATACGGAAGTCTGCGTGTCTGGATTGTTACCGAGTTGGAAAACTGCCACAACAGTTGGTGTGCGGTGCAGTCCTCCAGTGCCTCAGATGAACTTTCAGAGTTCACGATTATTCACTGCTGCGGTCTCGCAGATTCACATTGAATAACATATCGACACAAAGACTCATGTGGCGTTCAGTGGCTATTGTTAACTGGTAGTCGTTACTCACGGAATCACATAGAGACTCATAGAGAGGCTCATGGTCTCGCATAGAGTTCAGAAGTTCACTGCTGTGTGGCCAAGGGTCTGGTCGATGTTTCTGCAACTGCACCACGGGATTTCTGTGAATTTCCACACGTGAAGGCCATGGTGCGTGGATCTGCCATGACACGTGCGGATGTAATTTCACGTGGGCCACTGTTTTAGAGGAATTAAATCCATGAGTTACTTTTGGGTGGGATTAGCGAGTGATCAGGCGGTTGTTTAGGATGTTTCCCACAACTGTTGCGGTGTTGGTGGTGCCGGGTGGCAGGCAACATGTGGAAGTGGCATCTTACTAAAATTGTTTAAAATGTACCCCCATTTATCTAATGTCATGATCATGAAAAATATCCATTTCGAGCTCTGTAGTATATCGCTGAACTGTAAGACGACCCCAGAAGATGACATAACAGAACTACTTCCGAAGTCACTTCTGTGGACCGCTCTACCCACACGATAACACCTGACACTGCCCTGCAAAGAGTGTTTAGTGAAGACTTTGTAACGCATCAATCAAACCAACATGAAAACATTTCAGAGCGGGGATAATTCAAGTTAATCGAAATCGAATGGATTATACTGTTATTGTGCATGTGCAGTCGTCGCTGAGCGGTCTGAGACAGCAACTTGCTACACTCGAGAGTCCGCTTCAATAACGGGTGATCCCCCGTATTGCCCGAGTCTGTAAAACCCCCACATACCGTCCGAGACTCTCGCAGAAACTCCGACCAGACACTTTCAATGCTAATTCAATGCCACGCATTTCCATTCCACGGAAAACCACTTCATCATTTAATTCCCGCCGCTTTACCGAGTCAGAGATTATCATCTTGAACAAACTCGCGTCCTTTGTGAGCGCGGGAAGGAGCGAGCAAACAAAAACCCCAGCAGGTCAAACAAACCACCGGCACTTCCCTCTGACCTTTGCTATTCTCGTGATGGCTCCGATTTCGGAGTAGAGGTCGGAAGCCTCGGGGAACTTCTCCACCACGACGTTGCAGATGTGGTAGAGCAGCGAGCGCTTGTGCACCGTGTCCTTCACCTCGGGGACCTTCTGCAGGTAGGAGAGCTCAAAGCCCTTCGCCTGCACGGCCCACCACAAAGACAAAGACCATTAACAGACTGTTGACGCAAGCGTTATTAGCGAGCGGCACGGCACACGAGGGGGGTGAGTGGCATGCACCATGCCCGGCCGCCTTGTCTCCATGGTGCTGATGTTTACACATTGCATCAGGTACTCATTCAAGGCTGAGTCGACCTAAGGGAGGCCCAGGACCGGTTTAGAAATTCGATACCCTTATTGTTCATGAGCAGGAATCGTACACGAGTCACCGGGTACATAGCGCAGCGTGCCTACGGCTGCACTCGCGCTCCCCGCGCGAGCACGCACGCAACAAGAAGTACAACACCGCCATACTCTGTCACTCACAACGCTAGCCCGCGGGCTTGTTGTCCATTCTTGAGCCCGCGAGTTAAATGTCCGCAACAGACGCTAGCTTCCCAACCGCTTACACTGCTTCCGTTGAGGAAATTGCCGATGGCGAGCAGTGTGGACAGGATGCATTTCAGCGTGTAGTTCTTGCGCAACTGTTCGATCCCGTCCTTGAGGTCCATCAGCGGATCGGCCACCTCCTGCAGCGCGTGAAAGGGTGGACACGCGGCATCAACGACGCACGTCCTGGAGTTTTCAAGCCACGCACCTATGCAGCGATATTTGTGTTCTTCCACAGTCCAGCCAGTTTTCCCAACGGCAGCTTAAGTTGGGGATGTTCATAAAAAGCGGTCCCCGCTTTGCCTGAATTGAAAATGTTCACCAAATAATTTGTGTTCAAGTCCATAATGCTGCCTTATTAGAGACAAACTGAGGAAAGAATTATATATTTATTTATTTCCAATATAAACACTAAATTTGTTTTCCTTATCTAAACCACACATTATTAAACCTGAGACAATGGCCACAATAAGTCTCAACGGACGCCACTTTATATGTCCTTCCGCACTCCGTGTGCTTCTATCGCATGTTGGGGGAGATGGCCAAGGTTGGTGAGAGTGAGCCAGCGTGCGGGCGTTGGGAGAGGCCGCATGGTGAACATCTGAAATGCTGCTCGCCAAGTATTTAAGTGGGCAGTGACATTCCTTCTGTGGCCCATGGCTCGATAAATAGACTCCCATGGAGATTCCTAGACTTACGTCCAGACACGCAGACTCACAAAGTCACCTATGAACTCTCGCACGCAGGCGTGACGTATATCTAAAATTCTACCGTTGAAGGCTTGAAGTGGGCAGTGCGGTACTTGTGATCGATGGTTTGACATTGGTGAGCACAGTCGTACTGTGGGCGAGTATTAATTGTCCCATCGGAGTAGGATATAGTTTCAAGTTGATTTTATTTAACCAGTTAAGATAACTCATCAGACCAGGATAGTCCCATTGGCAAGAGTGACCTGGGGCATTAGCCTGCCTGTAGGGACCATGACTGCTGCTTTGTCTAACCTCAACTGAGATGCAGCTCTATCTGCCGTGCGGTGTTATCTCGTGCCGACGATGAACACCATGGAAACGCAGAACTCAGCCTGTGCCTTCACCATCATCCACGTTTGTGTTCGTTTTATGCCACAATTCGTGTTGTCAACCCTCCACCACCCGACAAGGTTGTAAATTGTCACGTTGACAAGAGATTTTACTTACAAAGTTGCCAATGTGTCGATCGGATTCGGACCTCACCGGTGGGCCGGAGGCTTCTCACGACCGAATTCGACGTCAACGCGAGATGACGTTTCGCTCAAAACTGCTGCGTTGACCTTCATCCGGCGACGAACTCTGGGAGATCCGAGCGAGGCCTCACCTTCTCCATCGCCTCGTAGTCGAGCTTGAAGGCCCAAAGCTGCAGGCGGGCCGACAGCTCGCTGATGGAGGAGAGCATGAAGAGGAAGTGCTCGGCGGAGCCTAGGTGCCTGTCGGGGTTCGCCATCTGCGCCTCCGTGATCCTCCGCTTCTCCTCGTCCGTGGGCATCATCATGAGAAGTTTCTGGCGCATGGGATGGAACACGATTGACGGGGGCCGCTAATGCATCGCTATATTATTTTTTGTGAAAAACTACCAGCGGCTTCCGTGTGCGGTGGTTGATGACCGACAGAGCTGAGAATGGCAGTGTTAGTCCATGAGCCAGAGCAAATATTGGTAGAAGCTGAGGTACAAAAAAACGTGAGTCAAAGCGTTGTATTCATACGGCAAACAAGAATGGAATTATTTAATAACGCTGCTCATTTCAAGTGGTTACCAACTGATTCACTGTTAATGGTCGCACAACTAAATGGGAACGGCTAAAGTTACGCCACCTCAGACGGTACCGACAGTCGATGAGCTCTTGCGCTCATGGACTGTGTGGTGGAGGAAGAGCGCGAGCATCATGCACACACAATAGCGAGTGAGGACACCACGGTCCATCGGCAACATCAAGTTGATTTCCTGCTCAGACGAGCAGTGAGATGGTCAACATCTCCAGTTTAGAGCCCTGAGCCAGTGGTAGAAATACATTTTTTTTTTATAGCGGGTACAAGTCTCTTAATAAGGCAACCACTCTTGATTAACAAATGTAGTGGAACTTATCAACCTGCGGTAGGATGATTGGCCGGGTAAATCTGGTTGCGGGTCACTCGCTCAGCCGCTGCTGAGCCACCTGGGCGGAGAGGTGAGGAGACAGACCCTGTGTGGCCGCTTGCTCGCGTCACCGCCGGAGGGCGGGCATCCACTACGGGGAGCCATGAGAGAGGCCCTCTCGAGCTGGTGTGGCCTAGTCTTCTACATTTTCGTGGTCGACAGAGGTCAGAATAATCTCGTCGGTCATTAAAGACAGAAGAAAGCCCTCTGGCGGTGCAGTGAGAAGGAAGCCCGCGAAGCGGCGATGGCACGAGACGTGGATTTAGAGAAGTCGCAAGAGGCCGGTGAGAGCGGTGAACCCGACCTGAGAGAGGTGAGCGTCACGTGAGAGGAAGCAGAGCGCTCAGCCAAGGAAAGCGGAGAGACCTCACAGCTGCACCGAGCAACACACGGCACAAGGATCACATTGATGTGGCAACAACGGCAACAGTGATTACAATTACAACAAATAACAATGACAATTACACACCACTACTATGATTACTATATTTTTAACCAGGTAAGGCCCAATGAGGTATGTAGCTCTTTGTCAGAAGCGACATGGCCACAAATGATAGCTCGACGAAGCGGCTTATCACGTGGACATTTATAGCAGCCAAATACTCTGAACGCGTGGTGACGTTGATTCTAAACGTGGAGGGAAAAACCATAGAACCGGGAGAAACATCCACGCGACCACGGGGAGAGAGACACGCAAACTCCAAACATACAGGGGCCAGGTTCTGGATCGAACCGAGGACCTCCCGCATACCAGGCGAGAGAGTTAACATCCCGCCACGGCGACGTTAATTAACAACAGAATCATAATTCAGGCGAGAGCACCGCGCGTCTTCACCTCCACGCCCTCCCGGTTGAGGGCGAACTCGTCGAAGGTGATGATGGCGGCCTTGATGATGCTGGGCGGCGGCAGAGTGGTGAGCCCGATGTTGATGGCGTTGCTTCTCTTGTGGTCCAGCAGCATGAGCTCCTGCTTCTTCACGTCGATCGTGGTTATCTGCGAGCATGCAACGGGTGGTGGAGACGTTTCATCAGGCGCTGGGTAGGGGGCAGGCGGGGCAGGGGGGGAGAACGCGAGGTGGATTGCGGGTAGCCCCGAGCGCGTGCAGTGTGCGTGGGGAGCGGTTGTTATGTCGTTGTTAGCGCACCGAGTTACAAACTCGGTGATCAGATTGATTCCTCTCCGCGACCGATAACAGCGACTAATATTTGGACCAGTCCTGGGCCTACGCAGCCTTAAATGAGTTCCTGGTCCTGCGTGTAAACACCAGCACTGGGGAGACTAAGGCGGCCAGGCGTGGTGTTGGCCACCCACCGTCTCGTGTGCCGTGCCGACCCTCACGGGTGCTCGCTAACAGCAATCACCTCAACAGTCTGTTAAGGCTATACGGGGGAACTTTGACTTTGTGTCCTAGGGGGTTGGTCGCGTAGCGTTTCGAGCACTGCCTTATGAACCCAAGTTCAATTTACATCACCAGCAAATATCTAAACCAGTCCGGGGACTCCTGATTTAGGTCAACTCGCCCTTATAGGAGACCCTGAGCTGTTAAGTAAATGTGAGTATGGGGCAGACATGAGACAGCCCGGCGTGAAGCTACCACACTCGCCCCTCGAGCCATCAAGCTGGCCTTGGTCACTGCTCGCTAACGTCACTGCCTCGACAGCCTGTCAAAGGTTAAAGGTTAAAGGCATGCGGGGGGGGGGGGGGTAGAATCATCGTGTTTGGCACTCACACGATCAGCAACGCGAAACATACCGCAATGACGAGCCCTCGTGAGCTCTCGTGAGCCCTCGTGAGCGCGTGCGAGCGTGAGTGAGCGCGCGCGAGCGTGCGAGCGTGAGCGTGCGAGCGTGAGTGTGCGGGCGTGAGCGTGCGAGCGTGAGTGTGCGGGCGTGAGCGTGCGAGCGTGAGTGTGCGGGCGTGAGCGTGCGAGCGTGAGTGTGCGAGCACCTTGCTGGAGAGGTGCTCCTTGGTGCGCGACTGGAAGAGGTGCTCCAGGCGGGAGCCGTCCACCTCCACGGGCTGCAGCTGGCTCCACAGCGTGTCGCGGCCGTAGCGGGCGCTGCTCACGTTCAGCCGCGTCGACTGCACCTCCTGGCGGCGTGCGCATCACGGTCGGCGAGCCGCTAGGCCTCACCTCGGCCGCACGCTCGGCGCCACCAGCGCCGAGCCGCGGGCGCTCAAGCCGGACGGCTCGAGAACAACGGCCCGAGTTCGTTCGCGCAACGGCGATCTTAGAAGCGCCACGCGCATTGTGGGACCGTGGGATCTGACGATAATCGATTGATTGGGAGACGATCGTGGATGATAATCTCAAAATTTTTAAGGTCATGCCAATGGGAAATGCTCCTATGTATCGTCGAGATTACTATGCTCCCAATGCATCCATAGAATTTCGCGCGTTAGGATAGACGATTTACTTTGATTCGAAAATGCGCTACCGTAATGGCTTCGTGTAAAACCCGCAAAGCTGCCATCTGGCTGAATATAAAACAAGGAATAAAATACATTCTTGAATTGAGCCACGACCACGAATCGTAACATGAAATTGACGCGAGCAAAATCATTCCAACACTGCTGATGAGGCACTCAGCCACCACACAAAATGATGGACACCACAATGAGGACTAAACAACAGTTGACTAAATTAAAGGCGGCAAACTAGACAAACCCAGTGGCGCTATTCACCTGTAATCGCTTGGTGATGTCATCAAGGGGCGACCACTCCGAAGCAACAAACACAGCTCCGCAACAAACGTGCAACGTGCGTGCGAACGAAGAACCAAAGACGACCAAACGTACCTGCCAAAACAAGCGCACGGTCTTCACCTTCTTCATCGAGTCCTGCACGGGGGCGTTCAGCGACGCTCTTCCAGGCATGGGGGGTGGCGGAGGAGGGGGAGGAGCGAGTGACGAGGGCGGCGGTGGTGGCGGTGGTGGCGGTGGAGCCGAACTCTCGGAGCTGTTCGCCGCACATCGAGAGGCGTTCGGCCACGACGATTCGCTCCTTCCCATCGCAGGCGGCGGCGAGGAGCCCAGCAGCAACGGCGGAGGGGGGGGAGGCGGGGCGGCGCCGTCATGCGGGGGCGGCGGCATCGGCACGGGGGACGCGGACAGGGACGCCTGCTGCTCCAGCCGCAGCACGTCCCTGTCATCCTCGTCGCGCAGGTCCGTGAAGTCCATGTCCTTGATCCGCAGCACCTTGGGCTGGACTGCCAGCTGGTCCCAGGTGTGGTCCTCCTCGAGTCGGGCCAGCGAGCTGGCCTCGTGCGCTCCGTGCCTCTGAGCGAGCGCCTCAGAGATGGGCGCCGGTTCGGTTTTACGGATCACGCGAGTGGGCGAGCGCGGAGTTTCGGCGGGCGGCAAACCAAACCTTCCCACCTGGGTTCGCACGCTGGTGAGGATTTCTGGTTTCTCCACCGTCGGCTTTGCCTACAAAGAAAACAGTCAGCACCGTCGGTGTGAAGCTCCCCTCTTAGCCGACCTGGGGTCCAATTACAGCAGGATCGTCAGCTCAAACAACATTGCGATTGCAGTTCATTTTGAATTGCACATTTACAATTGTAATTGACTCCAGGTCTCTCACTAAGTTGGGTCACAGCTGTAAAGAGTAGGTGTGCGTTTGGGATGAACCAAACCGTCACGGTGCTGCCCACGCGCCGCGTTTGCTCACCCTGGCGGTCTCGCTGTCGGAGCTCTGCAGCGTGGCGATGCGGCTGCTGATTCCCTTGATCCCAGTCCGCTCCAGGATCGCCTTCCGCTCCGCCTCGCACCTCTTCCTCACCTCCTCGTCCTCCTCGTCGACGAAGAGCCGCGCCCTCATCCTCTGCGGCCGCGGGTCGGTCGGGGTCTCCTCCGGCCGGCTCGCCGAGAGCCGCGCCGAGTAGCGCGGCTCCGGGCTGCTCGCCTCGCCCGACTTCCACGAGCTCCTGCGCGGCGCACCGTCCCCGGGCGACCCCCGGGCGTCGTCCCACTCCGCCTTGTCCGAGTGCTGCGACGCCGGCCCGTCCCGCGGCTCGCTCCTGCTCTTCGAGGCCGCGCCCTCGTCCGTCCGGGACGACGGACGGGAGGCGCGCGCCCCGTCCCGGCTCGGCGCCCCGTCCCGGCTCGGCGAGCGCACCGGCGTCTCGCCGCGCCGACGGTCGCCGGACGACGCGCCGACGGGGGCCGCCGGCCCCGCCGGCTTGCCGCCGTAGAGCACGTCGAGCACAAACCGCTTCTGGCCGGAGATCGGGCTCAGGGGATCGCTCCCATCTTCCCGTTCCCTCTGCACCGCTGGGCATTTCAAAACGGGAGAATTATCTCCGCGTCAGCATGGTTGGAAAATCATTAGTTAAAACAATATGCGTTGATAAAAAATAATTAAAAAAATATATCGTAAATATTTCGCGGTCGTTTGTGCGCGCGCTCAACCAGGTGACTCGGACGTCAAGCCGCAAGCGCTGCCTGGCCAAGGTCAAAGATCACGACGCGGAAAAGGTAAACAAGAGTGCAGCGCCGAGCCGCGGGCGATCGCAGGAACAATAGCCCTCAGTTAGAAACGGGGAGCGCGCTCCCGGGCAGGGTTTACCACAAGGGCAAGAAGAAGTATTTAATGTAATCGGTGTTCGGACGACTTGTTAAACAATCGACAGGAAAGAGGCGATTATCTTTGTTTATGTTGTTCTGGTGCACGCCGCTCTGCGGGGACAGCGGCCCAGCTACTACTACAGCCAGTACACACTGCTACAGAGTTAGCGTAGCTACTACTACAGCCAGTACACACTGCTATAGAGTTAGTGTAGCTACTACTACAGCCAGTACACACTGCTATAGAGTTAGTGTAGCTACTACTACAGCCAGTACACACTGCTATAGAGTTAGTGTAGCTACTACTACAGCCAGTACAACACTGCTATAGAGTTAGTGTAGCTACTACTACAGCCAGTACACACTGCTATAGAGTTAGTGTAGCTACTACTACAGCCAGTACACACTGCTATAGAGTTAGTGTAGCTACTACTACAGCCAGTACACACTGCTATAGAGTTAGTGTAGCTACTACTACAACCAGTACACACTGCTATAGAGTTAGTGTAGCTACTACTACAGCCAGTACACACTGTTATAGAGTTAGTGTAGCTACTACTACATCTAGTACACACTGCTATAGAGTTAGTGTAGCTACTACTACAGCCAGTACACACTGCTATAGAGTTAGTGTAGCTACTACTACAGCTTCTCCCCACTCGGCACACGGGTTGTGCAAGACGCCCGCCAGCGCACGCTCCGGCACATGCCCCCCACCAACCCCCCCCCCCCCACCCACATGGCTCCAGTCATCCACTTAATAGCTGGGCCCGCAGCACTGTTTTGTTCCAGATTCGCAACGCAGCGTCGACAATTGACCTATTCATCCGGCAGGAGGTTTGTCGACGATTGCTCGCGTGCTACGAAGGAGACTCGCGCGCACGCGTCGTAGAGACAGAAAAACAAACCCCCACCACGGCAAGATTGACGACACTACCGACGAGAGCCTTCAAATCGCTGCAATCGCTCCACGAACGAACGGAGTTGCAAGTAGACGCGCCCATACTGGACATCTGCGAAAAAGAGCTTCACGGCTCACCGGATTCCTCCTGCAGCCTAAATAACGATTCTGATTAAAAAGAGATAAATCCTCGAGGTACGCGAGAGGCTGCCGCGAGGCTTGTGGAGGAGCGCCACGTGGGGAAGTGGGCGGCGGGTCACCTGGCCGGCGACCCGCGATCGTCACGTTTCCCCGGCTCACAGAGCACGTCCCCTCGTCCGCCTCCGCCTGTCTCCCCGTCCGGCCGGAGTCCGTGTTCATATCGCGGGGCCGCGTGATGGAATCTGCGACGCAGGGGATGGGGAGGGATTGTGAGGCGACGATCTCCCGTCTAGAGAGTCAAACGCGACAATGATCTTCAAAGGAGAGAAAACTGCTGGAGGATCCATTTCAAGAAATAGGAAATGACATTCTGCTGATATACATTTTAAGATAACGATCCAATTCTGTAACAGGCCTAAGCTGTATCACAAGAAAGCCACTTATTTAAAAGTGTTAATCTAATATTGACTTTTCCCCCCTTCGTAATAAACACAAAGTCAATAATTTACCCATTCAAATATCCCGACAAGCCACCTTAGTTAACATTCACGCAATCCCTCCCGGTGACCCACACGACGGCTTTATTATTCAAAACCTCCGCGGCCTTGTAGGGATCAAAGTTGGCTGCTCTGCTGCGGGACATTGTTTTGCACGCGGAGTTTATTTTTTTTGCAAGGTAACGTTAAAACAACTTAAAGCTGTAAGCGTTCTGGCTCCAATTAATACGCATGCACCACATTTTATTTTTATTTAAAGCAAGGCACATTGTGTACACATTTCGTAAAAACTGTTTGAATCACTGCAACTTTGCGCCAGCGGTCCAGCACTCTCGGAGCCACACACACAAACACGCAGACACACACATGCAGACACACACACGCAGACACACACACGCAGACACACACACGCAGACACACACACGCAGACACACACACGCAGACACACACACGCAGACACACACACGCAGACACACACACGCAGACACACACATAGACACGCACACGCAGACACACACATGCAGACACACACGCAGACACACACAAAGACACGCGCACACACACACGCACAGCTGTAATTGGCAGTAGATTTCCTGCGTGATGTTTGACTCAAAAACGTAATAGTCCCACAGCACGAACCCCCTCAAGCTCTCCGCACCTCGAGGCTCGGGCTGAGCCGAGCGAGACCGAGTGCACGGGCGTTGACCAGCGCCAGGGCTGGCAGATATTATAAGAGGGCAGCACCAGAAACTCACATTCACGTGTGGAAAATAACCAGTCCCGTAAACCTCATGCCCGTCAGCAAGACTAATTTACAAGATTGCTGTTAAGCACAAAAGCAGGCTGATCATTTAATATGATTTTAAACGCAAATTGAGGCTTAACGACCACATTTTCATGTATTTTGTAAGCAATTATTGCGCAAGCTAAATACACATGGCGACTCGGGTACACGTTGATTTTGGGAATGTTCTGGCATGGGAATAAAAAAAAATAATAAAACTGCACGCGCACAAATAAAACGAGAGCAATGGACGAGACGGCGGTCTTACTGAAGCCCTGCCGCTGTGCGTCATTCCGGCAGGGCGCTGCTCCCAGAGGGCTCCCCGGCTCAGGCAGCCTCCTCTCGACCGCCCCCCTCCACCGGCCCTCCGGCCCACCAGCAGCGGGGACGCCGTCCACCAAGCACTCCGCGACGCCGGGGGACACGGCAGCCCGCCCGTTGCCCCCTCCCTGGGTGGCCCCCCCCTGGGTGGCCCACGACTCGCGCCGTCGCCGCGACACCGGGCTGCTCCTCTCCGTCGCCGCGTCCGCCTCGACGCTGCCAGAGCTGTCGAAAAACCGCCTCCTGCGCAAACGGAAAAATGTAAACGCTCGTTTGGATCCGCACGGCACGGGCGGGCACGCCTTGGGAGCGGCGGCACGACCGCGCACGCAACCGTTTACACGCCTGCTAGCGGCGTCAGCAGCAGCAATACGAAACTTAATACCGCATTCAATGGCAACGACAGAGCCACAGGGCACGTAACAAAATAAACCGCGTGCATTCAGCATGCTAAAACAAGCCAATGAAAATCCGTCGGCGACCTCACAACCATACCTCGTATGCCGCGCGGTTGGGATGCGCCCTCAATCCAAACGGCGCTCCGGGGCACGGCTCGTAATAAATAAATCTGGCCAATGGGTCTGCGGAGGGCTACAAGGCAGACGTTAAGACGCTGGCCATTAAACCGTGAACTCCATCATCGGAGGGGCTTTGAATCCTGCCACTCTGCTCTTTCACCGAAAGCAACGGCTGTTATGAGCGCAAAAACCCGCTCTGCCAAGTCGGCAGCGGCGAGCCGCGAACCCAGCGGAAGTTATTAGTTTGCCGGGAATGCTGCCGATAGGTCTCCCGCGGGGTGGTAGGAGATGCAGCGTATTTAAAAGGTATGTAAATTATAGCTTTCCATTTAAAGGGGCACCACAGCCTGCCTGCAATACCACGGGGCAGGGACGGAGCAGACGCTCGCCGTGAGCACGTCTGGCTGGTGTGTGTGGCCGTGGATATCTTTAAAATGTAGAGGAGAAGCATTTGAAAAATTGAAGGCGAGAGTATTTGTTGGCATCCATGATTCATGTAGGGGCCGCCTGTTTGGTGGACGCACAGTCAAACATTCCTCGCTTGCGGGCAACATCTACAACTCGCACACGCGACTAGCATCTTAGCGAGCCGATCTTAACCCCAACAAGGAAGGCGTTCAATGTGTGAGGACTCATTTCCCCGGTGAACTGTCGTAGATCCAAGGCCGTGATGCAATTGAAACATCGATTTGTTGCGTCCATGCTTTCACCGTACTGTTTGTAGCATTTCTTATTTCTTCCCATCTCTTTGGTAAAGTATTGCTCATTTTACGAGCGTAAATGTAACATCAGCATTTGTACGTATACAGATTTTCGTCAATGCACTGCTGGATGCGGGATTCCCCATTACCAGATGTCGTGGGGAAGCTTCCATGACAGTTCGACAGCACATTGGTCAGCGCGGTTTTGTGAAAGTGTGGGAACAGTGACGTTGGAGCCAAGAAAGTGCGGCAGAGAAAGTGCGATGGATGTGGCTGTACTACCCCTCTGATGCCAACAAAGCATTTCTGCGTGAATCGGCATAATTCTAAAGAACATGAATATGTACACACAAATCTACGCATGTAACACGAGCCTAAGGATAAATGGAAAGTCAAAGAATCGCCAAACTGTGACCGTGGTGAAGCGCAAACCATCAAATGCATCCCCGATGAGTGCGCCATCATCCAGGGCGCACTCCCTAGCCGAATCGCTGCAATCCGCACAGCGTCTCCTGGTTGAAGCACCTTAAGATTCAACTGTGACATCATCTACACAAACCGTTGCTTACATGCCATACGAAGGAAGAAGATGAACCGATGAACCGACGCATCGTTACACTCCTGGGGGGCGCGCTTGCCGCCGAGTCCGCCCCGCACGTTCCGGTTATGAAGGAGACTCGGGAGAAGGATTCGGTTTCAAAAGCCATGAGGACTCCCAGGGCCCTGAGCGCAAGCGCAAAAGTTTCGCGCGATGTCGCCGGAGCCAGGGAACGTCGCCGATCTCCGCGCTCCGCTCTCACGCACGGCGGCGGCGGCGGCGGCGGCGGCTCAGCGTCCAGGGGCCCCCACGATGCTGATCGGCATGAAATCCCACGGAGGCCATTTCCAGCGCAGGTGCTCGAGACCGCTCGAGAGCGCTTGCCACTGGCACGGCAGGGGTTTGCGCGTACCGACCGTGCCAAGAAATATAGAGTGTCGCCTTAAAGCGGACCCGTCCGCGAAGTGATTAGACTGTGGGAAACTCAAATTGTGCTCGGGAATTTCCTTGTTGACGAAGGGAAATTATTCTCGATGGAACGATAAATTGAACGGCTAATTAATGTGGTACAACTTCCTAATTTGAGAAGCCACCGAATCAGCTTTCGTTAAAGTGTACTCCCCGATCGAATTAAGATCCGCAGGTGTGAATTAATTTGAAAACATTCAGGTGCGAAAGCAAAAGAAATCGCAGCAGTGAACTGCGGTCATAAACTCAAGAAACTAAGCAAAACAAAATCTCACGAACCAAGTCCTCACTACGGGTTCCAGCAAATTCGCTCTGGCATCAGGATGGCAACATAAACGATCGCCGATTAACACACGGACCGTCACGCGTCCCACGGCGGGTCGCATTTCACACGACATCCTGGATAGCGCTCACTTTGGGCTACGGATCCCCGTCTCGTGCCGCCTACTCCCCCGTCTTACTGGTGAGAAACCAAGGTTGCCTCCACACAGGCGCATTTGGCCACTGAGATAGGAGGAATGAGGGAATTATCGTGCATAGAAAAAAGCAGTTGCTCGTAAATTCGCTTGTTATTTATATTAATATATATTTTTTTAGGGCAGTGTTCTTGATGAATGTGTTTAGTTTTGTATTACTTGTGCACACCATTGACAATGCAGCAGCACCACCACGGTGTTTTTTTTTTTTTAATCGGGGAAAAATGTCTTGGCTGCCACAGCGAACCTCAGTGTGGCAAATGCAGCGTCAGGCAGTGGAGCATGGAACTTTTAAATCATCTCGATTGAAAAACATTTTTCTTGAGAACTGCTTTTTGTGTTTAGTTTGTTGTTCTTCCCCCGCACCTCCGATTAGCACGGTTGGCTACGTACAGTGCAGAAGTTCAACATACATGTGTACATCCGTGGAATGCCACGGGGGCTGGGAAAATGTGGAGTGGGAGCGGGAAGCGGAAGGTGGGACAGGCAGCACGGGAGAGAGCGGCAGTGAGGGGGGTGGGTGTATGCAGTTTCTGATCGTTATCATGATATCATGAGCCGGCATGTCTTAAAGAATTCTTCCTTTTCATTTTTCTTTTGTCACGAGTGAGGGCCCGGGCACCAACGACCCCGAATAACGAGCCGCCACCGCCTCAATGCCACCCGACGCGCTGACACAACTTGTGGAAGGCCCCCCACTATCGCTGCCCCTTCCACCCCACCCCATCCCCCATTACGCACCCGTTGGCGGACACGCGCGAGCCGATGTAGTCCTTGGCGGGCGACATCGGGACCGGCAGTGATGAGTACGCAGAATCCGTCGCCGGGGCGGCCTCGGAGCGGAGGCTTCCGCCGGGGAGGCTTTTGGGGGAGGCCGCGGAGGAGGGGGAGGCGGGCGGCTGCCCCGAGCGGCGACGGTTGCCGCGGGTGCCGCGGTCCACCGAGTCTGCGTCGCCGCCGGGGGTGAGTCGGCGCCGCTCCCGCCGGGACTCCTCCTCGCCGTCCTCCAGGTTGAGCGCCGTCTGCCGCGCCGCGGGGCGACGGCCGTCAACGGCCATCAACGGCGAGGGGGCGGCCCGAGAGGGAGCGCGAACGCTCGCGCCGCCGGTACCCCGCGGGGACCGCGGCGACGGGGGCGACGGCACACAAGCCGGGACGGCACACAAGCCGGGACGGCACACATGCCGGGACGGCACACCGGCGGCCGTACGTCACCACAGACACAAATCCTCATGCTCGTGTTCTCCACCGTCTCCCTCGGTGGGACCGTGGCACTTGAAAGAGGCAGTCGGAGGAGGCTTTTCGCAATTGAGGCCAAATTCCACTCAATCGTTCTTCGTGCGGCCCGGCACGAGGGGGTCACGGCGCGGAGCCGGCGATGGTGAGATTCTGGATTCAACTTTCTATGATTGCCAAACAACATCAGGTGCGTGCAGTGTGCAGTGGCTTAATTTAGCAATGAATAGAAGGGATTTGTACATGTCACAAGGACAGGAGTTGGGAAGCACTCGTCCTGATGTTTGTTAAAATATGCAAAGTAGTGTTCCACTCAAAGACGCACAGGGAAGAGCTCATCTCCTGACAAGATCGCTGAACCGCAGGAATGTGGCGAATGTGGAATCGCCACCGTCGACTTCTAACGAAGGCGGAGCACCAGCCAAGCAGTCCGCCAAACCCAGATTAGAACTCGCAACCTTTTACAACTATTATTGTTACTATTTTTTGTATTATAGCAGGTAAGGCCCATAGAGCTAAAAAGCTCATTGACTGAAGCGATCTGACCACAAATGACAGCTCAACGAAGTGGCTTATCAAGTGGAAATGTATCGCAGCTAAATAATCGGAGGACCCGGAGAAACATCCACGCGACTACAGAGAGAACATGCAAACTCCAAACATACAACAGGCGTCAGGGTCAGAATCAGACTCACGACCTCCTGTATACCAGGCGAGGCAGTTAACATCTCTCTACCGTGGCGCCCCAAGAGCCGCCCCCTCGACCTGAAAGATCGATTGCGAGCCCGCACGCTGTGCCCGCTACGCCGCTTTGCACCAGTCCCGACGATGCCTGGAACCCGAGCGAGAGTTGCGGCCAAACCTCGTAGGCGTGCAACTGCTCCACGAACTCTGGGTTGGACGTCTTTGTGCTCAAGTGGTTCTTCACAATGTCCTCCATGCCCTGGGCCTCGAGCCAGTCGGTCATGTCGTAGAACGAGTCTTGATCGGGCAGGGACACCAGTGTCTGTTCGGCAAGGAGACACGGGTAAAAACAAAAACAAAAGACAAAGATCCCCCGTATAACCTTAACAGACTGTAGGGGCAAGTGCCATTAGCGAGCACCTATGAAAACCGGCACGGCACACGAGGGGGTGGATGGCCAGCACCATGCCCCACCGCCTTTCTCTCCCCAGTGGTGATATTTACACATTGCACCAGATACTAATTTCAGGCTGAGTCGACCTAGGGGAGGCCTAGGACCGGTTCAGATAATCGTCACTGGTGTTGGCCGTGAGCGGGACTAATAAAGTACAACCATAACCACAATCATATAAACAGAAATCTATTTTATAGCAATATATTGGGGGAGACATTTTGAGGATATTTGAATATATATTATAATTACAGCCTTGGCGTAAAGCATCACGTGAACTCCGGTCATCCTCGAAGCGGCTTTTGGATGGTCATCGAACAAAGACGGTCACTGCATCGCGCGTTTTCAAATGCGCTTCTGCGGCCGTCTGGAACGCTCTTCCTTCCGATATTAGGAAGCCACTGGAGCTATGCACTTTTAAATATAAATTTAAAACTAATTTCTTTCCAACTGTTCTTTGTATGTAGATTGTTGATTGTCCTTTCCCCGCACTTCCAATTAGCACGGTTGGCTACGTACGGTGTGAAATAAAAAAAACATACGTACGTACATACGTACATAGTTTACATACGGACAAAGCAGCGGTGAATATTCCATGCAAACGAGCGGCAGCGCTGGACATTTTAATTGCCCGACATCCATAAACTCCTCGGCCATTATGAAGATTTTGGAAAACCACAGTGCGGCTTCTGTTTACTCCGACCGCGCCGATACCTTGTTAATGACCGTCATGGCGATGACCAGGAGTTCGGGATCGCCGCTGTCTCGCTCGCTCAGCAAGGCCATCATGTTGCACCAGGGCTTGGCGCCTGGTGGGGGAGAAAAAACAATGACGAAGAGACACACACACACACGTACACACAAAAAGACAAAGGTCCCTAGTATAGCCTTAACAGACTGTAGGGGCAAGTGCTGTTAGCGAGCACCTACGAAGTCTGGAACGGTACACAAGGGGGTGGGCGGCCAGCACCACGCCCGACCACCTTTGTCTCCCTAGTAGCGATGTTTACACACCGCACCAGGTACTCATTTTAGGATGAGTTGACCTAGGAAAGGCCCAGTACCGGTTCAGATAATCATCACTGGTGTTGGCCGTGACCGGGAATCGAACTCGGGTGGCCAGGTTTGTAGCGCAGCGTGCTAACTGCTACACTACGCTGCAGTGGCTATCCAGCCTCAACTCTGCATGGCTTGCGAGGTCAAACAAGATCAGGGGGAGTGTACCAGGCAATTTGATTACCACAGGAATGATTGGCTGTGTGGTCCTTCTAAAAAATAGCTATTTGCAGCCCCTTGTCAGTCTACTGCTGTGCCGATGTGTGTGTCTGCGTGTGTATGTATGTATGTGTGTATGTATGTGTGTGTGCATTTTAATATTTGTGCGTGAATGTAATTTCAGATGAATTTGGGCCACGTCACTGCCCCATCACTGACGTGGAGTGGGGAAGCATGCATCCAGCAGGGGATGTAGATGTAGCAAAGGACTGTACATTACGATTATTATTATTATTGCAAAAGTAAAGTATAAACTAACTGGAAGAAAACTGAGGGTTGTACTGGAATTTTTGCATTTACTACCGACAAAAGTTCGTTGTGCACATTACAGTTTTGTTGAGATTCGTTCAGATTTTGGGGAACACTGCGGTGAATTACTTAGCAATTTGTGCAGCCATCTGTGAGAAGACAGTGCAAAAATAATAGCATATTTTACAAAATTACATTAAGTATTTGGATAATCTTTACGAGACATGATCTATCCACTGCTAGATAAAGGCCACCCCAAGCTGTTGCCATCTAGCCGCCTTGTGACGTAACAAGCCATCTAGTTCCTGCACATCACCACGGTGCGAGTCAACTCTTGGCCCACTCCCTCCTTTAACTCCCGCTCCATCACTAGACTCAACCGTCGGCCATCACCCCTCCCAGCGACGTGTCCTGCACAAGGGCTCGCTCACACGAGAGCCCAGGATAGGGTGTCAGCGGTGTGAGTTCTCACGTGTTTTTTACCCGACCGGGAGATGAAACACGCAACTCGGTGGTGGTGTGTGGGTGGGCGGGAGCCGCTCGCCAGGCCACTCACCACGTCGCCGGTCCACGGTGCCGACGGCCTGGATGAGCAGCCGCGGGTTGGTGGCCGTGTACTCCACGAACACGAGCAGCAGCTTGAGCGCCGTCTTGACCACCAGGCGCGACTGCTCGCCCACAGCGCACAGCGTGAGGGACGCCCTCGCACCGCGACGCCGGGGAGGGGGGCGGGGGGGAGTGGGGGGGGGTCCCGCGTGTCCTCGAACCATCGCAATACGCGGCCGGTAACCTCCAATCTTGCCGAGCGATCGATCCGAGCGATTCAGCGGTAGGCTGACAATCTCGTTTCACCGTTTTACCACGTCCCTATTTTAAAGAGAATCGCACCGCTTCCTAAAAGTTTGGCACAAAAATAAAAACTTGGTGATTTTTTTTTTTATCGGTACTCGACAAAAGGACTTCAAACGGTACAGCCTCCCGCTTTCACTGGTAAGTTCGGCAAGTTGGCTGCTGCCCGGAATCACAGGAATGTGCATTGTGTATTTTTGCCAATCGACCAAAAATTCTGACATTTGCTGCCATCCCAAAGCTCGGCAGTCAAGCGACGAGGGAGCGCTCCGGTTTGGTAGGGGCCCTTGTTTTTGGCCCAGCTTGGCATCGGATGCACCGAGGGGGGCGGTAGGGGGGGGGGATAGTTGCTGCCATTTATTAATCTGGAATGCCTGGCGATAATTGACATTCATTTTGTCCTGTCAAGGCCCAGGTGACACCCGCTGCCAGATCTGCGGTGACCTCTGCAGCGCGGCAAATGAGGCAGAGGAAACACGCAGCGTGAGGGAGGAGCGATCATACGCTGCGGCGATCATCTACTCGGGGTGTCTTTTAACTGATAATGAACAGGGAACAAACATCGTGACCCGTGAATCGGGCGATTTTTTTCATGCCCCGGGAAAAATTTGCAATCCAGACGGCGGCGCACACTAAAGCCAGTTCATATCACGCAAGCAGAACAGAGCGCGTGCATGTTTACAGTGAGTACTATTCATTACTTTCACTGAACATGGGCCCCGTAAGAAAGACGAAATAAGCAATAAATGTGCAAATTTCATTTCGTTATAAAAACGCAACGAGCACACACGCGGGGCTTGCTCGCGTGCGTGCGTGCGTCACAGCACGCAGGCGCGTGTGTCTTGGGTGCAATGGAGCGAGGCGAACGCTTATTAAGTGGAGTAAATAAAACTCCGCTTTGGGGTGGTGGGGGGGATATAAGTCAGCTCTGATTGCTGCAGCGTGCACGTTTGCTGGGGAACGGCAGATTTAACGCAGAGCAAAGCGATACGAAGTCGTCAATACAGTCAATGATCGCCATCGACTTGGACTTCGTTAAGTCAGGTGGGCCCTCCACTCCCTGGCGAATGGGAAGTGGCGGGAGACACACGTACGTCGCTGGCGGTGAGCTCGTACAGCCACTGCACGGTAAGGTTGTGAGCGATGACGCCATTCATCCCGTCCACAAAGAGCATGATCTGGCTGAGAGCTGGCAAGGCATGCACACACACACAAAGGTCATCAGTTTAGATTGTTAGGCTGTCGGTGCAAATGCTGTGAGTGAACACCTACCAAGTGGCGGAGCCGGCCAGAGGGCCTTGGGGAGCGGGGAGTTGGGGGGGGGGGGGGCTGGAGGAGTAAATAGTCGAGGGCCTCGCGTAACAAGGACTCCGTGATCGGCCTGCGGGTGGTTGAGTAACGTGGCACCGAGTGGCATGCTGCCCCAGGCCTAGTGGCACATCCGAGTCTCCCTCCTAAGTCAACCATGCCCGGGTTACCTTGGTCTCCCAGTAATGATATATACATGCATGCTGTATATACGTACAACGCCACTTGTTACTTTACTACCGAGTCGACATAGGAGAGGCCAAGTACTGGTTCAGATCCCACTTGCCAATTATGTTATCCATGGCTGGTAATCAAACCCACGTTTCCGTGATTGTAGCGTAACGTGTTAATCACTGCTCCACCACTCCCCATTATTACGCATGCAAAATAATGATGCAAATCTCATCGCCGCAATGCATGCATCAAAGGTTTTACTTCAATTTATTTTGTATGTATAGTGTTGCTATGATCCCCGCTAGATTCTGCTATATTCACTATAATGTAAACCATCATTCATCACAGGCTAATCGTTATGTGCATATCCATGACGCAGATACACACACACACAAAACATGCATACCCACTCACAAATCAAATATCCCCCGTGTCATCTTCAACAGGATTTTGGGGCAAGTGCTGTTAATTATCACCTCTGCAGCCTACCCACACACACATTCACAGAGAGGGCGATTTCTGCTGAAGAGGTATCAACATGTTTATTTGGACTCATCTTCTTGGTTCTTTCGGTAAAATCGCGTAGAAGGGAAATAATAAAAAAAATTTAATAAAACATAATAAAATAATTCTCACGACGTTTCGGCCACAACGCAAGCAGCCGTCCTCAGGTGAATTATTTTATTGGTTTATTTTTATTATTTTATTATTTCCCTTCTACATGACTCTACCGAAAGAACCAAGAAGATGAATCCCTGCAGTCACGAAAGCTTTAATCGAAATGTTTATTTATAATTATATTTATATATATGTCCTCGGGGCATGCGTTATATAAACAAAAACAATGACATTCTCTGAACTCAACGGTCCTTTAGAGACGAGATGTCTGTTGACTGTTTCGACTCATCCATTTAATTGTCCTTCTCCCACACTTCCGATTGGCACGGTTGGCTACGTACGGTGCGAAAGAAGTTCAACGTCCATCCACACCGTGTACATCCCCCCACACTGCACGCTACGACGCTTCCCCTGTCTGCCGCTTCACTCAAGCTGCTCCACTTGTGGAACTCTTCCCATCGTCTCTATCCCCGAGTAGTTATACACACTGTTCAAGTCGACACGCATTCTCACTCTTCTTTATCGCGCCCTCAATGGTGCTTTTTGATTGTGGCCACTGTCGCGTTTTGGGCCTCTGCTCCCTGCGTCCGGCAGGCAACTGTGACTAAAAACAAGCAAACGCAGAGTAGCGGAGGCTGCTGCTGCTGCTGCAACATCTTGGCAAGGAGGTGACACAGACCGAGGGGGAGGTGCCTCTGCGTCACTTTTCCCACTGAGTCCTTCAATGGAGCTCACTCAGCGCCCACGGAGAGAGTCGTCGTTGTGGAAAGGACCCATCGCTGTGGCTACTGTACTGCTGGGTTCTGTGGCCACATCTCTTCGCAAATGTCAAAAGTGTTTAACGACGCATTTCTTCATCCGCAGTGGAGCACCCCTTTTACGGGACCCTTTTATACGTGACTCCTGCCACCCACGGGCAAATTCTATCCGAGCAAAGCTCCGTTTCGACTGGATGCACTGCTTCTATCGTCCCACAACTGTTGTTCGGCCAAGAGGAATCAGCCCAAAAGTAACGGTGAATCGAATTGCATGTGCGCATGTATGTGGAACTTCTTTTGCACCGTACATAGCCAACCGCGCTAATCGGAGGTGCGGGGGGAAAGGACAATTTCGATTTAAAGTGCCAAGCTATTCGCGGCTGTTTGTGCGGATAAGGGTGAGCTTTTTCCACAGGTAGTTCCAGGTAATAGGATCGATGAATGGAAAAACGCGGATACAAGAAACGCTACGTCCACAACGGGGCTAACGTGACCAAGTGCAGAGCAAGTGGGGTCATCTTTTTTTCAACTCCGCGATGCAACTGGGAAATTCTAATCTGCCAACTTGACGAGCAAACCCATCAGCAACAGAAAAATCGATTAGGCAGGCTGGGAAACAAAGAGATTCATGCAGGCTGCCCGTATGGGGACAGCAAAGTGGCCACACACTCAGTTATTTTGAGCTGGTGGTCTGAATAAGACCAATGGCTTCTGTAGGTGCAACCCGGTGCAGCTTCGTGTGTTCTTAATCGTCGAGGTAATAGAGAGCGGAACTTTGTTTGCAGCGGCCCTGAGTCGGAGCGCTCTGAAATGAACATTATCCCACTGAGAGGCACGGCAGCAAACTCCTCTCTTTGTTTACTCCCCAAGTGTTCCCCTGGCTACTGCTGAGATGATTCAGCATGCAGCCTTGAAGAGATGAATCAGAATGGAGGGGGGGGGCGGCGCGGGGCGGAGGGGTGTGACCAAACGCTCCCGTGACTCTCGCGGTGCGTGCCGGAGGTGGTTGCCGCCCGGCCTGTCGGTTGACCCGAGGCACGCAGCAGGCGCATCGCAATTACCACCGCCATAACAACGACGTTACAGCACGGGGGTTGTTGTCACGTGATATGTATGAGAATTCGTGTTTTGTATTTTACAGGCCTGCCGTCATCGATTAATGTATTCTCTCACGCGTGCATTCTATTTAATTTACGCCCAAAATGTTTATTGGAATAACTTAAGAGATCGCAGCCAATCCACACCGCCGGGTCGTATTTGCGGTGCCGTGCCGGTATTGGGGCAGCCGTTTTGCCCTACTTCACCATGCTGGTCAACGCGGGTTTGTGAAAGGGGAGAGAGCAACATCGAGCAACTCAGTAATCACTTGGGTCACCCTTGCAAGAGAAGGAAATGTTTCACGCATCTCAATAGGGTTATTTAATCTCCTGGTTACATCAAGGATACAAGATGATGAAAAATAAAAATAGGCTTAATCTTTGCGGGTAAGAATTTAGGTGTTTAGATGTTCATCATCTTGATAGCTAATCGACCTGACCTATTCATGCTTTGACATTTGCATTGCCTTTGTTTGTCGTCTGTTGGCATTATCTGGCCTAACGCTGGTGGCGAGACAAGGCCATGAAGGAGGCGGCCTCTGGTGAAGGCCCAATATGGTTCTGGGACAACGCCCGTACATTTCCAAAACATGTTTGTTTTGTATGTCTTACAACAGGCATGTTTGGTTGATGCAGACTTGATGCCTTGTGATAGGACACACGCATGTCATTACATAAAGGACACATACTAGCGATTGATGTTAGCCGCAGCAGCTGGGAATATAACTCGTAGCATGCAGTGCGCAAAGCGCCGCGCCACTGCTGCCCCCTTTATAAAACATCACCTCCCTGCACTGACACGCGAGGCTTACGTAATAAATATAACCGGACAATGAATGTGCTGACCTGACTTGATAAATAAAAAAAACTGCTTCGATTACGGGAGACCTTTCAAAGGTGTGGCCGTGACATATGCACAGGGGTGGGTTAGTCAAGCAGGAGACTGTACCTCTGAGGATGTAGCTCTGGTTGTTCTGGTCTGCCTCGGTGCCCACTTTAATAAGGCACGTCAAGCCCTCGGCATTCACAAACTCGTGCACCAGATCCTTGTCGTCCTGCTCGGAAACAAAACACAAAAGCCGACAAAATCAATTTGATCGTTGGCAGACGGGAGAGACAGAGAGAGAGAGAGAGACGGGGATAGCACATTCGTCAGAACGTGTACTGCTGTTGTATATCAATGCGTAAGTGCATCCCATTTACCTGAAATATCTGTTTTAATGCGAACAGCGCTCTCCTTAATTCACGGCCGCTGCAATTGTACAGCTTCTCTGCAAAAACAAAAGTCGAGCATGCTTTCAGAGGCACTGGCACGGAGAGGTGTCTGTGACACACATGTACGCAACCCGGGCAAGCGGCGGTGATGTGGCTGATGGAGAAGGTCACGTGTAGTCGCAGAGTGCTTATTAAGATGTTAGAATTCACCATGTCTAAACAAAAGAGCTCTATTCAAAGGCTCTACGGTTCATTTACCGGTCAACATACGGCGTCCGAGACATTCATTGGAAATTCATGCTCACTCAACGTAGGCACTTCAGGCCCCTATCTCCAGAGGCAAAACCTTTATCTATTAACAGAAGGCCGTAGTTTATGTTTCACGGCTGTCTGGCGCCGGCACGCAGCCACTTCTGGTGAATCATAAACAATTCCATGGTGAATGGTCATGCACAAGTCCAAGGGCAACCATGCTTGCCGCACCAATTGTTAATATGTGATTGGGAAACTTTTTTTTATTGAATGGGCAGCGCAGCCACCCTTCCAGTGATGTGATGTGTCGTCACGATTCCGGGTTGTGAATCAATAAAAAAAACACAAATACAGTATCATTTTTAAGAAGTGGCCCAGAAGTTGTGGCAAATCCATCCTAATTTCCATGTTTACATACGAATAAGTTTACTTGGAAACGGTCTCCCAGATGTGTTTATTTTCACAGAAAACAGGAATCCCCGAGAAATGGCAAAAATGCATCTTACTATCCGCATATATCTGCAGATGGGATTAGTCGCAATGTGGAAGCAGTGGAAAATTGAGCAGCAGAGAAATGTGAGCTGCATAATCCATTACTGAAGAAGCTACCAACATTACAATCGAAACGTCCTGACATCATGCAGAAAAAACATGCGGTACAACCTGGAAAATTCATCTGAGGGTTACATACAATGGATATGTTACATTTCAGCACCCCTTACACTTGTAAAGAAATTTAGACGCAGTATAAATCCAACAACGCATTTCAAGTAATTACTGAATACTTTACTTTCCTATAACACTACTGTCACTAGGTGAATTTGCTGCGATATTGGAGGCTCAATTACTTAGACAAAACACACAATCTTGTACAGGCACAGCCACGTAGGACTGTGTAGAGTAGTCTCGTAAACAGGGGTTGTAAAATGGGTTATTGAGACCATATAAGTAATGGGGAACGATAACAACAGTCCATTTTGTGTCCGAAAGAAACACGCTCGCTCTGCACATCGATTCAGGTCCTCGAACGACAAGAAAACCCAAACACAAGAGAGGTGGCGCGTTTATCACTGCCGCCCGCGGCAGTGGCCACATTTCCTCGACCCTTTGGAGTGGCCCATTTGTTCTCAACGACAAAATGGCCGCACGATGGCCTGGAATAAGGCCCGAGAGCTGGCGTCACGTGCGACGCTGGCCACACCTTGCGTGTGCGCTGTCTACTCACTGTTTCATCGTGCAAGACGCATGGTGAAAAGGTGTGCAAGTGACCAACAGCCCCCTGCACACTTCATGCAGTTTAGTTTTTAACAGCACCAACTCTTTTTTTTATATTGAGGTATCTATTACCGGTTGGAAAGTAAATAAAGATTGTTGGAGAAGAGGGGTGGGGGGGGGGGGTTAATGGGTTGGTAGGCGTGCGATATGAATAAGGGCAAGAGCAAGAATGGAAGAAGGAAATTTATATTACCTGCAATGACACATGGGTCAGAAGCATGGACATTGACAGGAAAAATGGAATAAAAGCTGAAGGGTGCACAAAGAAGCATTGGGGAGGTGTGTGCCTGGAATGACAATGAGAGGAAGACATGGGAAATTTGAGCACTTGGATGAGAAAAAATGCACACGTGAGAAACAGCATGTTGATGTTCATAATAGTAATAAGTGGCCTTGGGTAGGGATGCAACGCGAGGTAGTATTATGGCTGGCTGTCGAGACTAATGACAGAATGGAAGCCAAAGGAGGACAACACGCCTGAGGTGATATCCAACGTCGCCAAAATCAGAGATGAAAGCAGTTCGTGTGTGGATAGGTGCTACATTTATTGCTGCATTGTGACAAGAGAGGTGGTGATGACATGCAGAGGCGTTCATCCAGCAACAGATAGATGTTGGCTGATAGAAATTATGATTCATTCAACTGGCTCTTCTGTCGATTAAACTACGAAGGTCTGAAAATTACAGAGCTTAGCAATCATTCACTGCCTAAGCTAAAACTACTTTCGACGCAATCTCACTGCCATAGCTATCGCCCAGCAGTTGCAATCTGTTCGTTGCTCAATACATCAATGATGAATGACGTGTAATCGCTAGCCTCTCTCTTCACCTTGTCCAAACGTACACTTTGCCCACTCTCTCGTATTTGCTAAACATCTACTGCTTTGCAACTCACAGATGGCAGTGAGGCAGCGGGCTCGGAGCTATCAGTCCTCTCCATTAAAGGTTATTGCCGCTCTCCCTGTAAAAAAATGCATTTTGGAAGAATTTTTTTTCCTGATTTCTGGTGTATTTCACAACCCTGGACTCTGCATGATTCTGAAGTTTTATGGGAGTAATGGACAGACATCTTTCTGGAAATAAAAAGGAAGATGACGCACCAATTATTAAATACATTTTCATTTTATTGCTGGGGATGGAGTAAAGATGAGTGGTTGCAATAAAGCAGTCTGGTAGGAATGTGTGAGTGTGCGTGAGTGTGCGTGTGTGTGAGTGTGTGCGAGTGTGTGTGAGTGTGTGAGTGTGCGTGTGAGTGTCTGTGTGAGTGTCCGTGTGAGTGTAAGTGTGCGTGTAAGTGTGCGTGTGAGTGTGCGTGTGAGTGTGCGTGTGAGTGTCCGTGTGAGTGTCCGTGTGTGTGCGTGTGCGTGTGAGTGTGCATGTGAGTGTGCATGTGAGTGTGAGTGTCCATGTGAGTGTGCGTGTGAGTGTCCGTGTGAGTGTGAGTGTGCATGTCTGTGTGAATGTGCATGTGAGTGTGCGTGTCCGTGTGAGTGTGCGTGTGAGTGTGCGTGTGAGTGTGCGTGTCCGTGAGAGTGTGCGTGAGTGTGAGTGTCCGTGTGAGTGTGCGTGTGAGTGTGCGTGTCCGTGTGAGTGTGCGTGTGCGTGTCCGTGTGAGTGTGCGTGTGAGTGTGCGTGTCCGTGTGAGTGTGCGTGTCCGTGTGAGTGTGCGTGTGAGTGTACGTGTGCGTGTGAGTGTGCGTGTCCGTGTGAGTGTGCGTGTGAGTGTCCGTGTGAGTGTGAGTGTCCGTGTGAGTGTCGTGTGAGTGTGCGTATCCGTGTGAGTGTGCGTGTGAGTGTGAGTGTGCGTGTCCGTGTGAGTGTGCGTGTGAGTGTGCATGTGCGTGTGAGTGTCCGTGTGAGTGTCCGTGTGAGTGTGCGTGTGAGTGTGCCTGTCCGTGTGAGTGTCCGTGTGAGTGTGCATATCTGTGTGAGTGTGCGTGTGAGTGTCCGTGTGAGTGTGCGTGTGAGTGTGCGTGTGAGTGTGCGTGTCCGTGTGAGTGTGCGTGTGAGTGTGCGTGTGAGTGTGCGTATCCGTGAGTGTGCGTGTGAGTGTGCGTGTGAGTGTGCGTGTCCGTGTGAGTGTGCGTGTGAGTGTCCGTGTGAGTGTGCGTGTGAGTGTGAGTGTGCGTGTCTGTGTGAATGTGCATGTGAGTGTGCGTGTCCCTGTGTGAGTGTGCGTGTGAGTGTGCGTGTCCGTGTGAGTGTGCGTGAGTGTGAGTGTCCGTGTGAGTGTGCGTGTCCGTGTGAGTGTGCGTGTGCGTGTCCGTGTGAGTGTGCGTGTGAGTGTGCGTGTGAGTGTGCGTGTCCGTGTGAGTGTGCGTGTGAGTGTCCGTGTGAGTGTGAGTGTCCGTGTGAGTGTCGTGTGAGTGTGCGTATCCGTGTGAGTGTGCGTGTGAGTGTGAGTGTGCGTGTCCGTGTGAGTGTGCGTGTGAGTGTGCATGTGCGTGTGAGTGTCCGTGTGAGTGTCCGTGTGAGTGTGCGTGTGAGTGTGAGTGTGCCTGTCCGTGTGAGTGTGCGTGTCCGTGTGAGTGTGCGTGTGAGTGTCCGTGTGAGTGTCCGTGTGAGTGTGCATATCTGTGTGAGTGTGCATGTGAGTGTCCGTGTGAGTGTGCGTGTGAGTGTGCGTGTGAGTGTGCGTGTCCGTGTGAGTGTGCGTGTGAGTGTGCGTATCCGTGAGTGTGCGTGTGAGTGTGCGTGTGAGTGTGCGTGTCCGTGTGAGTGTGCGTGTGAGTGTGCGTGTGAGTGTCCGTGTGAGTGTGCGTGTCCGTGTGAGTGTGCGTGTGAGTGTGAGTGTGCGTGTCCGTGTGAGTGTGAGTGTCCGTGTGAGTGTGAGTGTGCGTGTCCGTGTGTGTGTGAGTGTCCGTGTGCGTGTCCGTGTAAGTGCTTTTTTCGGGGATCTGTAGTGTCGCGGTTAGCGCACTTCGCGATGAACCCGGCGACCCGAGTTCGATTCCGCTCACAAAAAACACTAGTGACGATTATATGAATCGATCCTGAGCCTCCCCTAGGTCAACTCAACCTCAAATTAGTACGCGGTGCAATGTGTAAACATCTCCACGAAGGAGACAAAGGCGGCTGGGCATGGGTGTTGCTCAACCACCCCCTCACGTGCTGTGCCGGCCTTCATAGGCGGTCTCAAACAGCACTTGCCCCAACAGCCTGTGTGGGCTATAAGGGTGGAGATTTTGTGTTTTATCACAGCAGCACACAACAACAATAATGTCCCGCCAAATTCATGCCATGCTCCCACTCCATTCAATTTCGCTATTTGATTCCAACAATAGATACGGCGTTCCAACACAGCATTCATCAGGCACGGCCATAAAGAGGGGAGAGCCACATCGGTGCGGGCATGCACACAGCCTGCTGACTATTTACGATGGCGTATTATTCTGCACTGGCGTGGAAGAGTAGGCCACATTCTCTCGAGATTCAGCTCTCCAGAGCTCCATTCAGTGGGGGCCCTTCTGCCAGCCGTGGCGTGAGCCAAGACATTGCAGCATTGCACATCTTTACCTATTCTTCACGAT